ATAGTGACTCCTTCCTCAAGTGGGGGAGGATCTACGACTGCAACGCAGCAGCCGCAGAATGCCGCTGACACTTGTACAGTGTCAGCCGCAACGACACGAAGTAAAGCCAAGAACCGCGCGTCTGTGCAGGGCACAGACGCCGACAAGCGCACGAAGAACGTGTCTGTGCGGGGCACAGACACCAACAAGAACAAGAAGAAGAAGAGCGTGTCTGTGCAGGGCACAGACACCACGAAGACGAACGCAGAGGCCGGGCCTACTGCTGGAAACGAGCTGAACTCGTTCAGCTCGGACGCAATCAACTTCGTGCAGCGCAGACAAGCCGTCATTCGGTTTGTCCAAGACACTATTGCAGTATCTGTCGACCGACAGAAGCTGAACGCAGACAATGTTGGCAGGGGCAACACTAATGAATTCGAGAAGGGTTCATTAGTCTTGTTAGCTAGTCAAAACCTGCCTAAACATGCAGTTTCCGACTTCGGGGCGAGCAAGCTCGCTCCGCGCTTCATCGGACCGTTCACTGTGCTGGCACGGCACGGCAACGCCTACACACTGGACATACCGTCTAGTATGCGCCTCCATCCGACGTTCTACGTCGGACGGCTGAAGCCATACCTGCAGCACGAGCTACCTAGCTCGGCTGAACCGAAGCAGAAGACTCGGCGGAAGCCATTGTCCTCTCCAGCGCGACTTCGCGCTGGAGCAGCGGGTCGGGCTAATGGTCCAGCTCGGCCGGAACGATCGAGGCGGTCTGGGAGTACTCCACGACCGGAACTCGGTCGTGGGGAGACGCAAGATCAGGGTCAACACCAAGTTGACCACACAAGGGGCGTGTTTCCGCCACCACCGCCGCCGATTCGTGATGCACACGGCTCAACTCGATGGATTGTTGAGCGGATTGTTGATCACAGTATCCCGAGAACGAACAGGCAACCAGTTCGTTTTCGTATTCGTTGGAGAGGATTTCCTCCCAACCAAGATACATGGGAGCCACGGAACGTCTTGCTCCAAGACGTTCCAGACTTGGTGAGGGCATACGAAGCCCACCATGCGCTGCATACTGAAACGTAATGCGAGCGCTGCTGTTAACAGCAGCGCCCGAAGACACTTCGAGGGCAGACATAGGTACCTGCCCCCGCGGCAGCGACGCGCTTCGCACGTTGCCGCGCATTCTACTCAACAGCAGAGAGGTTCTCCGCTGCTGCGCCAGCGGTCTTCAACTTCGACGCGCTCGTTCCATCATCTCTCTCTTCAACGTCACACATTGACCAAGTGGTCAATGGTGGTTGACGTGCCGGGACCGGCACGTCTAACCTTGACGGGGGGATGGTGTAACAGAGTTACACGCACAAGTGGCTACAGTCACTTGTTACTCTAACAGATGCGATGTCTGTTAGAGGTTTGAACACTTCCTCGACCTTGGTGTAGACACACCAAAGGCTACATACATTTACGACCACCACGACGGGTGGTCCATACACATTTAGGATTCCTATTGGCTGAAAGCAGCATCTTTTAGCCAATGAGCGACATATATAGCATTGGAATTCTGCCAACCAGCCGTTGGCAGATTCCTATCTTAGAATATTACATTTAGAGGAAGTCAGAAACATAAAACAAAAATAGCAGTTCTCATCTTTTACCAAAACACGCTACTTGGAGTCTTTATCTTGTTTAAAGTATACTCGTGGATCTCGAGTATACTTAACTCAAGTAAAAGAAACCTACGCTTCCTCATACACGTGCGCATACGTGTAAGCCGTAGTAGCGAGCCAAGGTAGGCCCACTACATCGTGTCCCACACCAAGCCCTCGCAAATGTGGAATCTGCCATCAACTCGGTCTTAAACTACAGCACCAATGTGTCACCATTTACGGCTGATCTGGGATACGTCCCGCGCAATCCACGCACCGCCGTTTATGACTCACTTCGGCGTGACATACGCGGCGGGCTTGGTAATGATGTCAATTCACCGAGCGCCAGGCCGCCGTACTACGGCAGTGTCAGGATGCGTTATAAGACGCCCAAGCTCGCATGGCAGACATCTACGATCGTAGCAGGATTGAGCAAAAGTTTGACATCGGTGCGCAAGTTTACTTGAGGCGACGCTGCCCCCGAAACGCAGCCACATCGTTGCATGCATTGAGAAACAGGCGCTGGGGCCTTGCTGGTCACAGTTCGCTCCCAGGAGATTCCGTCCGCGGCGTAGCGATCGCTAGACGCTCCCAGCTCCCGTTGTACACTGTCCCAGGTACGCCACATCTCCGTAGTCCCCATTGTCCACAAGCTCACTTAACTTCTTAATCAAACCCGCCATTCCAACTACACTCCAAAAACCACAACGCAGCCTCGATATCTGCACAGGCACAGCCGTCGTTCACTCGCAATCCAGCCAGTTGTAGTCCTCTCGCGCGTCAGCGCACTCGTAGCCTTCTCGCCCGAAGGCCTCTCGCGTTCCAGGGCAGTCACAGTCGTTTTGGCGTGTCGTCCAAACAGCACCCTATGCGATTCCCGGGGATCCTTGCCGTGAGCGTAGCGCTATGCGCTCGGACGGGTAGATTTACGTGTGAATCTTGGCGGAGATTAGACGAATACATCAGCTACAACAAATATGTATCTGACAGTACTGAGTTTCGTGTGGCGGTGAGAGCAGAGCAAGGCAGTTGCGCCGGTGCTCGTGCTGACTCTGCTGTGTGAGATGATAATTCTACTGGGGTTTTTGGTATTTGCTCTGTCCAAAGCATGGACCACAATTTAAAGAATTGACATGAATTGAGAATATGAATTGCCTCAGATGAATGCACGCGTCCATCTACCCGATAGATCGTAGGGCTGTCGCATTTTTTCGGCTCGAAGCCGTTAAGTCGAAGCCTCAGAAACTCGCGCCGCCCCTACCTCAAGCGTTACGCCCCCGTGCTACACGAACACACCTCCCACATCACACCGACGTAGCTTAACGAGAAAGCAAGCGACTATGTCCTCTGGATGCTGGTTCAATTCCAGCCGTCGTCAAGATTGCGTGGACAAAAGACGTGTCGCGGTGCTGAGCGCAACGGAAGGAGGTGGGGGGGTTGACTTACCTCGACAAAGCCGTGTGCACTTCTGTGGGGAATTGATCTTGCGTTGGTACATACTCAAACATAAGCTAGCGACGGTATCTCTTTTCTGAAAAAAACGATGTGTAAAAGCTTCATCCACGTCGGTGAAGTTCAGCTGAGACATTATGCTCAGCTGCAACTAGTTTAGTTTATGTCTCTAATCGTTCACAGAACAGGCTAGTACCCTCAATCCGTTGATCCGGTGCATCATTTTGTCCTTGCTTCCTTTCTCAGCACCGTGGTATCACCAGGTACGCCCGACAATAACTCATTTTGGTGTTTTTTCCCATGCAATAACCAATTTCATGCTTGAAGAGTCAGTAGAAATCAACCAATCACCATCTCTAGCTAGCATTTTACTAGACAATCAACACGGACAATTTGGCACTGTCTGTGGATGTCACAAGAGCCAAATGTTCCAGTATTACACCATTGCTCATGATTGCTTTCATTCTTCGTTTTGTAACGCCTAGTATGGACTCACTCATATCTCATACGCGCTCTCCTGTTGTGTCGTCATGGCCAAACACAGCAAAAGCTACCAGGTAGTGCTTACTTCTGAAAGTACAACCGCCAAGACGATACCGATTTCGGCAGGTATGTAACCCCTGAGCGCCCGCAGCACCTCCAGGTACACCGGACCGGAGGCTAGGACTGTATCGCAGTCTCTCAGAGTACGATGCCCACGGCGGACGAGGGGGCGCCTCCCCACCCGCGTGTTTTGCAATCCGCACCGCAGCGAAATACGACACCAACATGTCGTCAGAGGTCGGCTCCAGAGACGTGTCGCCGCGCGTCAGCGGATTCTAACAAACGAGAGGGTAGATTCGCATATACGAGCCACGCCAGCCAGCTTAACCCTTTCAACCCCGATAAAAATTCTGTATCTATAATAATAAATTCGAGATCCTTGAGTGTGTCACGCTTATTAGACCATTTGATTGGCTGATGTTTATATCACATATCAGTACAAAGTTTCGATCTGCTAGCCCTCCAAAAGGTACTCAACTATGTGACAACTGCAAGACAGTTGTATTATTTAGTCGAACTGCTAAGATCGAGTACGCGCCGCACCCGTACGTGCGGATGTCACGTGCGTGCTTCGACGACCTTGGCATAGTGACGGAGGGGTTCGCTGTCTCGACCAGCTGCCTTCACAGAAGTTTAATCCATGTGCTGAACAACGCCGTGGCTGGCAAGCTGGCGCTCCAGCTCATCAAGTAGCTGCCGCATGTTTCGGATCGGTGCAGATACATTCAATTGCACCGACACACTAGCAATACGCGTGTCAGGCCTGTAGGAGTTCCATTAGGTGCAGTTGATCGCCTGCACGATGCAGTGCATCTGGCCAGTTTCAACCAGATACGGCATCACCCGTCGTGGTATTTGTTAAAACGTACGTACCCCCGTACGAACACGAATGGAGGTATCCGCAACCATAATGATAGTTACCGCGTACGTACGGGAGTACGAACAGTAGTGAGTACATATCGTACGTACAGTAGCACAATTACAGGCATAATCTTGCTTTGTGTACAGTCGTACGGGGCTTCGGCCGAAGGGATAGAAAGAGGTCGCGAGGCGAAAACCAACACCGTGGTGAACAACAAAGCTAAGCAAAATGTGTTTTATCACAATAGAAGGTGCCACGTCAATATTCCTGTACCGTTAATGACGATAGGTAATAAGACGAAAAACTCACTCGCGGCTGAGGCTGTACAACTGATAACGTAACGTGGTACAAATGCAAAAATGATAACGATTTTCTCATCGGATAAAAATTTAGCGTGAATCTTTTTCTGAAAGGTTCCATAAACATGTAAATTCACTACCAGCTACATTGTTGACTGCGATTACAGCTTGGTCTCAACCATGTTTCCCATTTCCATTTCTGCTTTGAACATGGCAGTCCAGTTCCGCTCCGGGAAGACCTGCATGACTCCGACCGTCGCCCAGGAGGTTCACCGCGCTCAGCAGCGCACTAAAAAATTAGCGGCCAAGGGCACCCATGACTCCGCCATAATTGTAGAGACTGCCCACTTCTACACGGCGCACATTCAGGCGCTTCAACATCAGCAGAGCGACCTCGCGTCGGAGTTGCAAGCTGCGGAGGACGCCTACGCGGATCCGAGCAAGAACTACGAGCAGCTGAATACGATGTACGACGAGCTACGCGAAATGTACGACGAACTCAAGCTTCATGCCGACCGTCTCGAGCAAGAAGTTGCGGCGGCATTTGAGGGCTATTTTTGTAATTAGATGTTCTATAACCTAATATCTAATAAAACGAGAATGGTTCACCTCCTTTTGGGAAGCTCATTTCTGAATTTGCGCTGTAGGTGACACATCAAATCTTTTTAACAGGTGTTGGTTAAAATTCATATTATACTGTGATTTATCGTTTAGGGTAGCTAATGTGATATTGTTTGATAAAATTTTGATGACAATCATTTTATTTTAACACTTAGAGAATTTAAGGATGCCAAAAAGAACTTTTGCGAGTCTAAGTGATATAGACGATGCATATTTGACACCGAACGATGCTGAAAGTCGCGAAGACCGCAAAAGACGCAAGGCTAATAAGCGCAAGGCCAAAAGTAGATGGAATATTCTTCATCGCGCTGCGATACGTTCCGAGCAATCCCTGACAGAGCGTATACTGAATGCAACGAGAATGGCTGTTCACCGTCAACAAATGTCGCCCGAGGAACGGCGTGCATCGCGCTCGCGTCATACACTTCAGGTTGCAAATCAACATGCAGTACAGTCTGGACCAGCTCGCCAGCGCGCTCGCGCGACTAACAATGCACAACATAGAGCTCGAACATCTCAAGGAAGCGGGACAAAGCTGTGTGCTTTAGCCACTACCAAGAACACCACCCTCGACACACGATTGGATCTATGACCACGGAGTGCATACACTGTCACGCTTTGACCTGGAAGAGCGAAAAACGCTTCGACATGCTGTCTGGATGGCCGAGTCGGCCTCGCCCCTCCAAATGATCCACCGGCTTTCCTCAAGAAGTTCGTGTCGACTCCTGCTTCTCTCCGCCAGATTCGTGCGTACAACAACGTGCTCGCTTTCGCCTCTATGGGCGCTTCGATTGGAGAAAACGTTGCCGTCGACAACAACTACGCAAACGGTCGGCAAGGCGTCTACACATTCCGAGTTCAAGGTACGATTTGTCATTGAATTGGCTCATTACTGCCTGAGGAAGGCAGCGAACCGAGCTTTGCACAAGTTTACGTCTACGACAGGGATTTGGAGCATCAAGTGGACAGACGAATGCACATTCTGGATGGTCTGGATCGTCCTACCGTGAAAGCGCTTCAACAAATGCTAATGGCCTACAATCCGTATGTCAAACAGTTCCTTACCGCCGGAGAGAAGGCAAGAAATGGTGTCGATCTACGCTTGGTGATACACGAGCAGCCAGGGACTGATTAAAGGACACACAACCGCCCTTCCGCAGACGAGGTTGCAGCAATTATCGTCCACGAGAATTCGGCAAAGGAGCGTGATATCGTCTTGAGTCGTCGTGGAGGTGGTCTTCAACGTATATCCGACTTGCATCCTGCTTATGACCCGCTGGAATTTCCGCTACTGTTTCCGTTTGGAGAGCAAGGGTGGTCAACCACAGGTGAGTACAAGCCAGGTGTTGTGCGCTACAAGAACAAGCGGATGAAAGTGCGCGATTTTTACGTCTACCAGCTCTTCACGCGGATAAACCAATTTTCTATTTTGCATCGCTCATACCGGCTGTTCCAGCAGTGGTGTGTTGAAATGTACGTGAAGATAGAGCTCCAACGACTCCGTTACATCAAGCTACACCAAAGTACATTTCGGGCGGACCTTTATCGTGGCGTGATTGACGCAGTACTCCATGACGCTAATTTGGGGGAAGTTGGCAGGTTTGTTCTTCTCCCTCCAAGTTTCATAGGTGGCGAAAGATACATGCGCAAGCAGTACTACGACTCCATGGCTATCGTGCGAGAAATAGGCAAGCCCGATCTATTTATCACCATCACGTGCAATCCGGCCAGATATCAAGGAGGCGATGCTGCAGAATCAGCGGGGCGCTGACCGGCCGGACTTGGTTGCTCGAGCTTTCAAGCTTAAACTGGAGGCCATCAAGGACGACATAATCAAGAATGAAGTGTTTGGAAAGGTGCAGGCGCTGATTTACGTCATCGAGTTCCAAAAACGAGGTTTACCGCACGCACACATGCTGGTGAAACTTACGGAAGATTCAAGCCCTAGACGCTCAGAGGACTACGATAAGTTTGTGTGCGCGGAGCTTCCAGATCCCAACACGCATCCCGAGTTGTACCAAACTGTGACGAAATGCATGATCCATGAACCATGTGGTATACTCAACCCTAAAGCCCCATGTATGAAGGATGGCGTTTGTTCCGAGGGCTATCCAAAAGATTTTCATTCTGATACTACACGCGAGGAAATTGGTTACCCCGAATACAGAAGGCGAGACCAGGGCCGATCCACAATTCGCAATGCTGTCGAGCTGGATAATCGTTGGGTAGTTCCTTACAATCCGTACCTGTGCGAGACGTATAACTGCCACATCAACGTTGAAATTTGTTCAACAATCAACGCTATCAAGTACATGTACAAGTACATCTACAAGGGACAAGATCGTGCAACTTTTTACCGTTGAGGCACCCGTCACAGATGTTGGTGACAATACCAATCGGCGTATTGATATCGACGAGGTGGAGCAGTATCTCAGTGGTCGATACATTTGTCCTCCTGATGTGTGTTGGCGTATGCTGAAGTATCCAATGCAGTGGAAGTCGCATGCTGTGATTCAGTTGCCTGTTCATCTACCAGAAATGAACTACACCATTTTTAATCCTGAGCACCCGGAGAGAATCCCAGAACAGCGCCACACCATGCTGACAAGGTTCTTTGAAATGTGCGCTGCGGATGTCGATGCATCAGAGCTCCTTTACTACGAATTTCCACGTCACTACACCTGGGTTAAGGAAGTCAAAAACTGGCAACCGAGGAAACAGGACGGCGAGAAGGCAATTGGTCGGATGGTTTCGGTTTCTCCTAACGATACTGAGCGTTTCTATCTTCGAATGCTGTTGTGTAATGTCCGTGGGCCGATGTCGTTCGAGTATCTCCGGACTGTTAACGGCACGATTCACGAGACGTACCAAGCTGCAGCGGAAGCAAGAGGGCTTCTGGAGAGCGATGGTGAATGGCACCGGTGTATGGAAGAAGCAAGCCAGCATCAGATGCCAAACCAGCTTCGACACCTATTTGCTATCATTTTAGTGCGTTGTCATCCCGGTACTCCAAAAACCCTTTGGGACGCATACCTGAACGACATGTCGGAGGACTTCCAGAGAGACCTCCACCAGTCCGGAACCAGTCGGGAGGTGATATATCAGACTGTTCGAGCGGTTGACCAGTGCTTGCGCAGCAACAACAAGACAATTGAAGATTTCCGCGGTCTGCCCAAGTTGGCTGACTTTAGTGATCTTCACCCTGCGGACGCGGCAACAAACCGATTGATTGAGGCAGAGCTATCGTACGATCAAGCGGAAATGGAAGCTTTACGGGATCAAGCCGATCGCTTGAATGACGATCAAAGAAACGTGTATGACAAGGTGATCAGCGCTGTTCAGCTCGAAAATGGCGACGAGAAGCTTTTCTTTCTGGATGGCCCCGGTGGTTCGGGGAAGTCCTTCTTGCTTCAGACGATCCTAGCGACTACACGGTTGAAAGGCAAAATCGCTTTGGCAGCTGCCTCAAGCGGAATTGCAGCCACACAGCTAATGGGCGGCAGGACGGCACACTATACATTCCAACTAGTGTTGGACCTCACATCTACGTCCACCTGTAACGTCACAGTCGGCTCCGATCGAGCCGACCTACTACGGCAAACATCTCTCATTGTATGGGATGAAGCTCCACTGATGATTAAGTACGGTTTTCAGGCCGTTGATATCACGCTACGGGATCTCATGAAGAACGACAAACCTTTTGGGGGTAAGGTTATGCTGTTGGACGGTGATTTCCGTCAAATTCTTCCTGTAATTCCGCATGGAACACCTGGCCAAGTCGTCAACAGCTGCATTAAGCGGTCCTCATTGTGGACAAACTTTTCAATTCTTCATCTCAAGACCAACATGAGCGTTCAAGGTATGACGAATGAAACGACAGCGATGGAGACACAAACGTTTGCTGATTTTCTACTGCGTGTTGGAGAAGGCCGGAATCAAGGTTGTATCGAGGGAGGACGCGACTACACGCGAATACAACAAGACATGGTACTGGCGGCTCCAGCTGACGTGGAAAAGGCAAAGGCCCTTATTGACGATGTTTATGATGGTATGGAGGAGCGTTACCTCGAAAATGACTACTTTGCGGGCAGAGCTATTCTGACGCCGTAAATGCCGATGTATTGAAGATAAATGACGCAGCAATCGAACCACTCCCAGGGACAATCAAGGAGTACGTATCTATTGACACGGTCGAAGATGCGCAAGGGTCCGATACGTCCGTGTTTCCCGAGGAGTTTTTAAATTCTCTGAGTATATCGGGGATGCCGCCACATATTCTGCGCCTCAAGGTTGGTGCGCCAATCATTTTACTTCGAAACATTAACGGCGAGGCTGTGCAATGGAACACGTCTTCAAGTTTGCCACATGCACGACCACTACATCGAAGCTAAAGGGCTGACAGGAATCCTCACAGGCAAAGTTGTCGTCATCCCTCGCATCCCATTGATTTCTCACAACTCCGGTCTGCCATTTGAGCTTCGTCGGCGCCAGTTTCCAGTTCAACTCGCGTTTGCCATGACTATTAACAAGGCTCAAGGGCAAACACTACGGGCGCTTGGTATATACTTACCACAACCAGTATTTGCACATGGTCAGCTGTACGTGGCACTTTCTCGGGCGACATGTAGGCGTCATGTTAAGATTGCGGTCGACTACAACGCGCACCGAGAGGAGGATGGATATTGCATTCTAAACATTGTGTACAAAGGTATAGTTGATTAGGTAGCTAATAAAAACGTTAATCGGAATTGTGACTACTCAGAGAGCTGCGCCGTTTACGGCGCAGCCAGCTCGCTTGTTATACAGAATAGTCAAGTATGCTTACCATTTCCGTGCGATTATTCTGTACAAACCCACTGAAAAAGCCATCGCTGATTGGATGGGATGCTTTAGTGTGGCGCTCACCATTGGTTTGTCAGTGCCCGAACAACTCTGCGTGCTAATCGTAATATCTGTAATATTTAGTTTCCCCTCAAATCGAATAGTGGATCATTATCTACCCGGACCTCCCCCACCACTGAAGCCAGTGCGTCTCATTTCCCGCCTCGCCTCGCCTCGCCTCTCCCCGCTCCGCGCCCCCTCGACGTACCCAGAGCTAATGACAGACCTGGATGCTTTACTTGCTGAGAACCAGCAGCTCCAACATGTGAGAACTGCCCAATATTATCTTCCGGTGCTGTCGATCAAGATGGGTCAAGAACGAAGCGTTCTCGCTTGAAGAGGCCGCTGAGACCGTGAACGAGCTCTTGGAGGAGACGAACGGAAGCTTGCGCTTAGCGACTCTGTACACTCGACTTCATGCCCAGATGAGGGCGTTTATTCGCACCCAACGATTTCGTTTGACATTGTAAGACATATTCTGTCGCTAAGAAGACGGCTGCAAGATTCGATAGCCTAAGTCATAACACAGAATTTGAATTTTCTTGAGGAGCCCGATACTGAGCGCAGTTATCTATTCCCCAAAGCCCAAGTAAATCCATTCATATCATCGTGAGAATCGTCGGTACCTCCATCATACTGCCGAATAAGGCTCAGGATGTTCTCGTCGACCCAGCATGGTCCCGCACGACCATCGCCTCAGCTGTGGAACATGGGTCCACACCTTTCCACACTGAGCATGCCATCTTTTGGTCCACCTCAGCGCTGAAACCCGAGCCAAGCTCTGAACATCGAGTCATCCAGCTCGCGACAGCAGCAGATTTGTAGTCAGCATGGCCTTCCGATCTAGCAGTGTGGGCTGTGGCCCTCCAATCTGGGTCATCTCGAAGTCTGATTATCGAGTCTTCCGCCAACCCCAACTCCAATAAGTGGGTCGGCTTGCCTCAAGTCTGAAACTCGCGTCGTCCGCCCACCCCAACTTTGAGAAGTGGGTCGTCACGCCCCAAGTCTGGAAATCGAGTCGTCCGCCCGCCCCAAATCTGAAAATCGAGTCATCCGTCTCGCCCCAAGCCTGAAAATCGAGTTGTCCGCCCGCCCCAAGCCTGAAAATCGAGTCATCCGCCCGCCCCAACTTTGAGAAGGGGGTCGTCTAGCTCCTAGACATCGAATAGTCTTGTCCGCTCTAGATTTGTAACATCAGCCAGTGCGACCGCCTCAGCTGTGAGCCATGGGTCGACGCCTCCCCACACTGCGCATAGCATCTTCACGTCCACCCTAGCACTGCAACACGAGGCAAGCGCTAAACATCGCGTCATCCAGCTCACCACAACAGGAGGTTTTGAGACGGCTTGGCCCTTGATGAATTAGTCGGTCGCGACCGAGTAATTGGTGTTTGAAGCAGGTCGTTTGCGTTTCCCATTTCGGAAACGGATCCGTTTTGATACATCCCGCAGCAATTGGGTTCCATTCTTCCACGAAGCATGCCATATTTGCGAGCAAGTAAGAGTATTACCAGCTGCGAGCCTGCGAACCGTGTTACAAAGTGCGACTCTCCGATTAAACTTTGCCGAGCACGTAGGGCACGTAAATGTTATTTCGCAGCCCTTGCCCACGCTGAAAACTGAACCCACCTTGCAGAGATACTGGCGTCGTTTTTTTCTGGTTTGAATAACGTTCTTGACCCTGCTCGAGTTTGTGGCTTTCCACATCAGCCTGCCCACTGGAATATCTCTTTTCCGAAACCGTTGTTGTAAAGTCCGAAGCTTGAAGAGCTAGCAGATCCGTATGCAATTTGCGCAAGAACTTCGCGTGTGTGATCACATTTTCTCTTTTCTTCTTCTGCATGAACTTGTAGATGATAAATGCGTTCGTAACCGTCATGTCCACGAGGCCGAGAAAAAGTTGTTTATAGTACTTCCGGAGGGCAACGGTTTTTTGGAGCGAGTAGCGCTGGAGCCGAATTTGATCGTGGACTTCTACACCGCCCATTCCCTTGAGATATTCAGACACCATGAAGGGACATGGAACCGTCGTTCGACTCGCATCCTTTTCAGTCCGAAGAACTGATGTCGGCACCATGCTACAGCCCGTTGCTAGTATATTGACGGGTCGTGAGTCCATCCAGGACAACGCCATTAGCTCTGGGCGATCCACGGCTTGCGCTATGCGGTACGTACCTCTCGGAATTGTTTTTGGTCGCTTCTTCTGTGTGTATTGGATGTCCTTACACCACCCCAAACGATTCGTCCGCACCGTTCCGACATGATACAAGTCCATCGATCGCAACTTTAGCGATAATGCCACCGAAGAATAGAAGTTGTCGGTAATGATCATACGCTTCATTGGTTGGTCAAGCAACACCTTAGAAATATTGCGTACCACCGCTGCGGGTCCAACATGTTTTTTTGGCTACTTTTTGCTTGCCACAGTACACTTCAACTCTAAAAGCACAAACAAAATGTCAGATAATCAGTTCTTGAGTACCCAGAAACTCAAGTAGAAAAACTCACCTGGCACAGTACACGGTCTTAGCGCAGCATGTCAAATAAAACTTGGTGCCCCACTTATTCGGGGGGTTTCCTTGTTGTAAACCCGAGTTGGATTGAAGCGGCTCTTGTTTGGCATCATCCCCTCATCGAAAGAAATTGATCTTCCTAGGTGTAACATACTCTACCTCTAACCAGTAATCTTCCTCAAGTCATCGACAGTACACTACTGTTTCATTGATCGTTAATATACAAAGAGGAGGGGGGTCACCTCTATGTAATCGTGGACCAATCGGGACAAGTCCCGGGACAGGCAAGCGGTCTAAGTAGATCCCACCTGGTCAAGTACTCGCTCAGCCAATGGACGTATCTGTGATGCGTTCGTCCAAGTCAAGATGCCGAAGCCTCGACGTCAGCTACCATTTCAACCACGAATTCTCCGCCCACTACGACAATTCTGCGTTTTTTATGATAGGGCTCGTGCCCATGAGACCGCGAGGAGATGACAGCACTTCTAGAGTTCCGGAGCCGACGAATGACTGTGTTAGCGTAGAAGAAGAGTCTGAAACTGATTTTTCACTTTAATAAGAATGGATGTTGGTTGTACGGAAAAGGTGTCACTTCAGGTATTTTCGTTGTAACGGGGTAAGAGATACTGTCACTAGCGTACACTGTAGATAAGAGGAAGCTTGCAATAATAAGCTCAAGTCTTGTCTTTAGGGTAAAATCAACTCTGTTTATGTATGGGACGGGGGCGGAGGCCCCCTTACCCTTGTGAACCACTCAAATCTAAGTCTGCACCTGATTGGATGAAATAGGTCTGGCTCCCCACTTTCAACCAATCAGATCATGACAGCAGGTCACACGCTAGCCGTGTGACTGCACCTACTTTTGTGTATGTACCTATGTAACTTCTACCTACTTATGTAAATGGGCCCTTTACATCACCCTCCTCTCTAAGCTGCGCTTAGGTAACTTAAGCGCGGGCACGGAACTCTCGAGAACAGTCTTCACAACGGCGAAAGATCCGACGGCAACACTCGGCAACGCGCGCCGAGCGACGATGTCGATGTCGAGCTCAAGCGACGGAAACGGCGGGCGGCCAACGCTGAACCCGGCGCCGTCGCTCGTGTCGGTGCCCCACGCGATGGACCACGAGCTCAAGCCCTGGGAGCTCTATAGCCTCCAAGGAGCCGGAGAACCGGAATCGTCATTACAGTCGCGGCCGAAACCGCCGCGACCCTTCGCCGGAGTTTCGTCGCAGCCGCAGTCGTGATCGAGGGTGGCCTTCGGCTGGGGCACGCGAGCGCAGTCACTCGCGAGGACGCGGTTCTCCAGCGCGTCATCGTTCGTCTTCGCCAGCGCGAGTGTAGCCTCATACTCGCGCACAACATCCGGGATATCCTGCAGCAGGCGACTACGTGGCTCCCACGTATCCTCCGCTGGCGAATATCCCAGCCAGCGGACGCGATAGTGCTTCTCAGGGGTGCTTCTCTTCGGCTTCGACGGCGCATCACTATCGCGAGGACCTTCCTCGCGACTCCGGCGGACGTCATGGTCTACGATGCGCTCGGCAATCCAGCGCTGATCGCCAGCTGCGTCAATCAGCGGGGGTGGACCATCGCGACGGTAGGGCGGAACATGGGGGTGAAACGTCGCGCGCGACCCTTCGAGTCGAACAGCCGCCGGTTTCGTCGGCCACGTCAACTCATCAGCTACCTGCGCGCTCGGATCCTGCTGCGTCTGTGCCGCGGGTGACGATCGAGCAGTACCGGATAATGATGGCCGAGGCGGAGCAGGCCCAGAACGACGCGCTGGACGCGCAGAACCTTGCGGAGAGCGCTCGCACTCGGGCGAGCGCGGCCAAGGCAGTGGCGGAAGAGTCTCAGCACGATCGACGCGCGCTGGTGGAGCGCCTCCGTCGTCTGGAGAGGGCTGCATTCGGGGCACCGCAGGCGGAACAGTCTGCGCGTGAGCGTCAGGGACTTGGGCCAAGCTGGCGTCAGCGTCGACGTCATGGGGGATCGGACTACGAGCCCGCCCGCGGCGCTACGGACGGGAGTCGGGGACAACAGCAGGAAGATACGGTTTGAGCCACCCGACGTTCTACGTCGGGTGGAGACGCATAGCAGTCGGTATGTCTAGCGTGTAGGCGTCTCCCAGCACTTTGATAACCTTGAATGGACCGATGTATCTTGGCGCCAGCTTGTTCGCGCCAAGGTTCGTAATTGCTGTCGATTGGATTCCGGTGGTCGACAGCAGGACTCGGTCTCCTTTGCGGAAGACGCTCGTGTTCTTCCGGCCTCGCTGGTCTGCGTACTCTTTCTGCTTATCCACAGCAGACTGCAGCGCATCACGCACGAATCTCGCGATGGCTTGACGACGCAGCATGAACTCCGATACCGCTGCGGAGTCGATCGGCGAAGCAGCTTCGCGTGGGGCGAAGTTGGCCGCCGGTGGCCTGGCAGAGTCAGATGCGGGCGCAGTGTCGGTCGATCTTCTAGCCTTCGAACGCGTCCGTGATGCAATTCCACACATGGCATCCGTTGCCGTAACCGGTATTTCCGCGTCCACCGGTTCTGCTACCGGTGGAATTGACGCCACAGTGCTGCTTCTATTCCCTCGCGGCTCGGCTGCACTCGACACGAGTGCCGGGCGGTTCGGCCCTGCATCCATTCCTCCCCCACCAAGAGTGGAGCGCGCGGAGCCGGACGAAGATCCGAAGGCGAGCGTCGCTGGAACGCGCGGATGCCGCGCGTTGTTGATAAAGAACGGCGTCAAACATGTCGACGCATGGACTGCGTTGTTGATAGCGAACTCGGCGAGCGGCAGGAACGTACTCCACGACGGAAACGACGTGGCGTAGCTGCGAAGGACATCTTCAACGGCTCGATTGACGCGCTCCGTTTGCCCATCCGTTCCAGGATGAGCTGCCGTCGTTATCAACAAGCGCGTGCCAAGCAGTTCGAACAATCGATCCCAAAAGGTCGATGTGAAGCGAGGGTCGCGGTCAGAGACGATGGATTCCGGCAGGCCATGATGCCGGAATACGAGGTCGAGGAACAGGGACGCGGTCGCCTCAGCTGTCACTTGGGCTTCGACAGGAGCAAGACGGACCATCTTGCTGAAGCGATCGATGATGACAAGGGCGCCCGAGCGGCCCTGGTCGTCCGATGGAAGGCCGAATACGAAGTCCATGCTGACAGATCGCCACGCTTCCGTGGCGATAGGCAACGGGCGCAGCGGAGCTTGTGATGATGGAGCTGGTTTGACGCGCTGGCAAGTCTCGCAAGTCCGAACCCATTTGCGAATCCACTTGTACATCCGAGGCCAATAGAAGTCCCTCGAGATCGCCGCGAACGTCTTCTCGCGGCCTAAGTGGCCACCCACTAGAGCGTCATGATACTCGTGGACGAGACGAGCACGGAGGTCGTCATCGGCGGGGATGACGACGCGCGGAGGATCGAAGGCGTCCATTGTGTATGTCAGCAATGGGCCATCGAGCTGGTATCGCTCGATATGACTGCGCGTAGGGCGTGTCAGCTTCTTCAATGACTCTGCACTTGGAGTACGGAGGTGCGCAATGATGTTGGCGTAGAACGGATCGTGTTCGTACGCATCAGCAATCTGCTGGCGCAGTGGCAGGACTGGAGTTGTAATCGTCGCGTTGATACCCAGAGCGATGCAACATGCGCAGCCTTCATCTTCGTCATCGTCGTCAGCAAGTTGCTGACCGACTAGTCGTCGTGGGTCGTAGTCTGGTCGGCGGGACAGCGCGTCGGCTAGGATGTTGTTCTTGCCGGGCTTGTAGTGCACCACGAAATTGTATTCGGCGAAGAACGAGAGCCATCGCGCCATGCGCTGCGATAAGTGTGGAGTCTTTATTGCGGTGCGCAGCGACGCGTGGTCCGTGTACACGGCAAATGTCTGCTCTCCGAGCAAGTACACCCGGAATTTGACCAGGGCGTAGCGCATAGCGAGGAGCTCCTTGTCGTGGACGGGGTAATTCCTCTCGGCAGGCTTCATTTGTCGTGACTGGTAGCTCACGACGCGTTCGTGGCCCTCATCGTCGAACTGCATCAGCGCGCAGCCGATTGCAAAATCACTCGCGTCGCACACGACATGGAACGGTTTCGTGTGATCCGGAAGCATCAGGATCGGCGCTTCCGCCAAGCTCTTCTTCACGGAATCAAACGCAGCTTGGTGGTCGGGGGACCACAACCACGTCGCGTCCTTTTTCAGCAGCGAAGACAGCGGTTGGATCAGTCCGGCGTAATTCTTCGTGTACTTGTGGAGATAATTCGCCAGACCCAGCCACTGACGCAGCTCCGTGAGGTTCTTGGGAGTTGGCCAAGAACAGATCGAGGTGACCTTCTCCGGATCTGCGCGAACTCCGTCCTTGCTCACGTAGCAGTCGAGTACGGGAATCTCCGGCGCACAGAAGACGCACTTTTCAAATTCGCGTACAGTTTGTTCTCGCGCATCACTTGGAATACCTGCCTCAAGTGTTGAAGATGGACCTCGACAGCACTGAGGAAAGTCGCGGAGCGGGCGCAGTACGTGAGACACCATGCGGTTGAACGTGGCTGGGGCGTTCTTCAGACCCCGTGGCATCACGAGCCACTCCCAAAGCATTCCGCTGGGGGTGCTTACTGCCGTGAGGGGTATGTCGCTGGACCTGGTAGAAGCCGTCCGTCAGGTCGATGGCGCTATAGATGACGCTACCTGACATGGAGTCGAGTACCATGTCCTTCCGCGGGATCGGGGTCTGTGCCGGGATGGTCGCGTCGTTCAGCTTATTGAACGCGTGGACGATGCGCCAGCCGCCAGTCGCCTTCTTCACACAGAACGTGGGGTTAGAGTGTGGGGAGGTGCTTTCGCGGACGTGGCCGGCCAGGCGGCGCTTTTCGAAGAACTCGTCGATGGCCTTGACCTGGTCTCGCGGCAGTGGCCACTGCCGCGTCACGCAGTACTTCGTTCCGGGCGCGAGGTCGATCTCGTGCCGAACTCCGCGGTCGGCTGGAAGCTCGGCGTGGATCTCATCAGGGAAGACGTCTTCAAACTCGCGCGCGGTATCGTAGACTGGGTTACCCGACTTCTTCAGCGCTTCCCAGGACTGCGCTGCGAATCGCTCTTCGCGGGCAGACTTCGGTTCGGCACTCCTCGGCCGCGACGACGCGTCGTCACCGCTGAGTGCGTGAAGACCCTCGGCTGTCCCGTCGGCCTCGGTGATCAAGCACACCTGCTCGATGTCACCAGCCTTCAGATCGCGAAGGAAGTGTTTCCACGAGAGCCCGGGGAGCCGAGTGATTCCGCGAGCGTCGCGAGGTGGACTCGCGACTTCGATGACCCGCGTGCCCCGTGGAGCACCCTCCACGTATTCGACAGCGCAGACAGATTCCGTCGGGGGAGGTGCGGTTTTAGTGTTGTTCCGTGGCCTGAGACGCCGTCGCTTGGATTTCCTCCTCTTCCTCCTCGAAGACCTCGAGGAGGAGCTCGAGGTGGACGACCCGCTGGCACTAGACGACACATCGTCGCTATCGCTGGACGATACTTCACCCTCCTCTAGGTGCGGAGTCCGCACCGGAAGTACGCGGGAGCACAGCTTGCTCGACCGCCTCGTTAATTCGCGGGAGCACCGCTTGCTCGACCGCCTCGTTGGTTCGCGGGAGTCGCCTTCGCTCGACCGCCGTCGCAACAACCTCGCTTCGCTGCGAGGTTTCGCGTTCATTTGTCGGTTCATCCAACAGCACCGCACATGCCATACAGAGAGGGCCATCGCTCGCTCTGTGTAGGGCTTGCGTCGTGGATGAACGATCCACGACGGTAACGTGGGGCCAGTCCGTCGGAGCGACCAGGAGATGAGTGAACACTTCACTCGCGTCGTAGTCGGCTCGACGCATGACTGATCGGGCCAGCCAGCGATCTCCGGCTGATACCGTGTCAGCCACGGTATGCCCAATATGCAGTCGAACGCGTAGTTCATCTCGATCACCAGGAAGTCGTCGTTGCTACGGAAGCCGTCGAACGTGTACGGCAGCGTGATATCACGCCGTGGGACACGGTGTGGCTTGCCGTCAGCGAGCTTAATGGCGACGACGCCGGGACCCTCGCGGACGGATATGTCCGAGGGAAGAAGCGACAAACACGAGGCGCGGAAGAAGTTGTTCGCTGCGCCCGAATCCAGGAGCGCACGGAGAGGACGCCGCGCGCCGGCGACGTGCAGGCTGACGATGATCAGTCTGTGGTCGCCGCTGGTGGTGGTGGCATTGAAGTGTGCGTGAAGCACTGGGGGGGGGGCTAGGAGATCGGTTTGCCACCGGGGGACCCGGACCTCCGTTCCAGCCAGTAGGGCGCCCCGCACCTACTGGTCCCGGTCGTTTTTTGGTTGAACGACCAGGATCTCGTCGTCGGCGCGAGCGACTGCAGCGTGCATCGGCGCAGGCGCGCGGCAGATTGCCGCGCGATGACCCAACTTCCCACAACGGTGGCAGGTCAGCGAACGGGAATTGCGGCCGCCGCGCGAGTAGTACCGCCGGTTATTCTCCGCGGCTTCGACGGCATCGATTTCCATTGGCTCGGGCATCGCTGCCCGAGCGTCCGCCGGCAACCGTCGCGAGTACGAAGCGGATACCGTGTAGTCCTCGCGCAATGCGAGGGCGAACGCTTCTTCCAGCGACTTCGTATCGGCGCGCGTGAGACAATAGCGCGTCATTCCTTCTCGCATGCCAAACACGAAGACGTGGACCTGCGAAGCCATGTCGATGGGGCTCGTGACGATGCACGAGGCCAGGTGACGACTCTTCTGTACGTAGTCGCGCATGGACAGCTTGCCCTGCTTCAACGCGAAGAACTCTGCACGCATCCGCGATCCGTCTTGCGGAGGCTCGAACGCAAGTCGAAGGTCTTTCTGGAGACTGTCCAGACTCGGGAAGGCGTGTTGGTCCACAACAAGCTTGCCGAGGGTCCACTCCTTCGCCTTCTCCGACAAACGCGACAGGAGGAAGTTCACTTTCGCCGTCGGCGCCTCGATCAGTCTCGAGGCGATGGCGATGTCGATCTCCCTGAACCAGCGGTTCAGGGGCAGTCGGTCTTGGCCGGCGCCGGAATACGTCGACGTCTCCATCTTCACCACATCGTTCCGGGAGGAATGCGAGAGAGTTGACACTCGCCGCTTGGCATCGGCGAGCTCGCGTTCCATGAACTCTTGGGCAGCCTGGCGTTGTTGGTCGGCGGTCGCTGAGCTCAGCAGCGACGTGACGACGAACTCGCCAGACACGGCAGCGAGGCGGTGACGAGCTTCCCACTCAATCCGGGTGAGGTGGGGAAAACTCGTGTGGTCAAGGGTTACACCGGACCCTTCGGACATCAGAACTTGGCTCATCTTGGTCTTGGACGTTGGAAGGACTACTAAGTGCTACCAGGTGTAACGGGGTAAGAGATACTGTCACTAGCGTACACTGTAGATAAGAGGAAGCTTGCAATAATAAGCTCAAGTCTTGTCTTTAGGGTAAAATCAACTCTGTTTATGTATGGGACGGGGGCGGAGGCCCCCTTACCCTTGTGAACCACTCAAATCTAAGTCTGCACCTGATTGGATGAAATGGGTATGGCTCCCCACTTTCAACCAATCAGAACATGACAGCAGGTCACACGCTAGCCGTGTGACTGCACCTACTTTTGTGTATGTACCTATGTAACTTCTACCTACTTATGTAAATGGGCCCTTTACATTCGTCGTGAATTGAGTTTTACGCACGGTTGCATCAAATACGTGGCTGCAGAGATCTCGTGTAATACGATACTTCTCTGTCCCACGAATTTATAGGTAGTTAGGTTTTTTGTGTACCTCACACTGAATTTGATTGGCCATCTGACGATGGTTAGGGCCAGTTTAATTTTTGGCCAATCATATCGTCCCTGAATAGAAAAACCTCGCAATTTTGAGGCGTAATATCTCGGTCACGAAAGCTTTTCACACGCTTTCATTGGTTCGCAAAGCTAACACTGGCAAGGTCTAGCCATCCTGGAATTCTGATGAATTATCGCTAATTTTTGTTGGAATCACGAAAAAAAATATTGTTTGGACTAAATCCGGTAGCGGTAAACGTGCTGTGACTGTCTCAATTCTTGCCGACACTGAACAACAAAAATCAAGCATATGCGCATTGCTTTAAGCTTTGTATTAAGACCTCACTTTCTCAAAAATATGAAGTTGAAGCGAAGATAGTCCCCATTTATGAAATACCTATAAATTGGTGGAACAGAGTAGTACACCGTTTCATGACCAAATGAGAAGTCAAACGACCAAAATCAAAACAAGAGAGATCAAGCACTGCCCCGACTAAAATTTCCTAAAGAGGGCTTTTTCGTCGACATATCCCCGGTTCATTGCCGACGCTGTTGGCTTGACTGTCGTCGTGTACGGCATGAGCGGTCACTCGACACGATCGGCGCCCGAGCTGCCTGCTGGGCTACAACAGCATTTAACAGTTCGAAGTTTAGCTTGGTCACCACGGCCAGTTCGTACTCTCACTACGGCTGCGAGGAACAGGTCATTTGATTTGTACAATAGAGGTCTTTAGCAAAACCGTCCATTCTTAAAATGTGTGTTCAACAGCTAGCCGGATCCACCAATTTCGCAGTGAAACGCACTGGTTCCACAAGTTGATTTGCCCGGAACCCACGAATCGAACAAGCTTTTAACGGTGCAGCGTTGAAAACCGGATGTTTGCTGTGGCTGGTAAATCGTATCTATACCGTCCTTAAATTGAACAGATTCACAACACGCTCATGTAGTACTCTGTAAGTTTGAGCTCCAGTACCTCCTCTTTGCCATGACATCAACGCCTGTGCCAGCGACCGCGAGCCGTACCAGTGCAAGCGACATCAGCGACATCAGCACACGAGCAGAAAGAAGCCCCCCAGCTCAACAGGATACCGCTGCAATAAGCTGGTCAGACAGCGACGAATGCGACGAGGACGGCGCACAGGTGCAGATACTGCGTCGACTCACTCGGGGTACCAAAAAAGAGCGCATCTATTACGCATTTGGTACGAAGCCAGTAAGGGTGATGAATGCATCGTGGCTGCTGCTATCTCAACATTCCTGTGTGCTGACACACAGTCAGAACAACTACCAAGAGCTCCGTTCAACTTTAACGGACTATCAAATGAGTGCATCGACAGGTTTCGATTTGATAAAGCGCAGCTAGCTACCCTTGTCAAGCTATTCGACCTCGGCGCCATTCGAACTCGAGAGCGTACGGCAGCTACTGGTGTCGAAGGTCTATGCATTGTGCTGTATAAGTTGGCAGTCCCAATACGCTGGAGCGACCTTGAGTCATTTTTTGGTCGGAATTCGAGTGGTTTGTCGAATTTGTTCTTGCACGTGCTGGAGTTGCTCGACAGCAAATTTTCGGACCTCCTCCATTTCAATCACGAGTACGCTGCGGAGAGCTTACAAGCGTACGCCGACGCTGTTTTTGATGCTGGTGGGCTACTGCAAAATGTCTGGGCGTTTGTAGATGGAACCGTAAGAGGAGTTTGCCGTCCAAATGTTTAACAACAGTAACTATTTAATAATATAAGCTGAAATACTGAAAGCGGGAACTCAGATGACCTTGTGGCGCAATGGATAGCGCATCTGACTTCTAATCAGGGGGTTGTGGGTTCGAGTCCCATCAAGGTCGAAACTTTTTCAAACGAGTTGTGGGTACTAGTATGACCATCCTATTCTTCCATCGCTCTCGGGACATTAAGGCCTAGTTCTAACCGCGTGCCATCCGTGCCATGCCATGCCATGTCATTTTTCATTGGCCGAGAGCTCCTCGAGTTTAGGTCACTGGTGCCGTGAAAGTGCTATGCATGGCACGCTTCGGTGCCATGGCAATTGGTCGTGCCATGTGCCACAATGGGAAAATTGCTCGCGACGGGCATCAGACTTCGCTCTGCTGGTATAAACTAGTTCATACACCTATTAGGAACCCATGTAACCCGCTTTTGGCCGACGGTGCTAAACTGTGTTTGTAGTTCATCTTACCATGGCGCAGGCCATTTCATTCGGAAATAGAGTGCCATGCAAAATCGGTACCTAGCCCTATGGCATGGCATGGCACCATGGCGCGCGGTTAGAACTAGGCCTAATGCGAATCCATCGCGGTTACCCTCAGACAATGTGTAAGGTACACTCCTGGCCAAATTAATCCGGCCACCCACACTTTTGGCCGTAGCTCCGTCAATTTTTAACACTGGTTGACTGGGAAAAGGGTACCGATTTTCAGGATTTGCATTTTTTTACTTCTTCAAAAGCGGTTAATGCCGCAATTTCGCCGTTCCGACATGACAGTAACTACCCATACACAACAACAAGCGTTATTGCCTTCGGATACTAGTGTGTGTGCGTCAGCTGTTGCCCAGTATCCGCCCAACCGCTCACTCGATTTGCGCGCATTGGGCCTATTTGGTCCCTAGCTTTTTATAAAAGCTATGTAGCATAAAGCAAATCTAAAAACATGTCATTATGGAATAGAATGCGATCTTACTTAACACATCAATCTACTGTGGAACTGCCATGTAGTAGCTAGATATGAGCCGATGAAAATGGCTTCTAAGCGCGGAAGTTGTTGAAAAGCAACTTGATCCTCTTGCTGTTGTCACATCGCAACCTGATCCGCCAATCACATCGCTCCAATTGCGCACTATCAGATGATATCGTCTGATTGTCTGATTTGCATTCTCTAAAGCTGAGGCCACCTTGCCTCGCAACCGCACAAATGCAAGCGCCCTACCTTAGATAGCTAGTGCCCTAGGACGATCCAAAGTACCGCACCACCTTCATTTCAAATATCACGAAGTGTACTGTAAGATGGGTTAAGCTCTGCGTTCATTAGCGAAATATTTGAAATCCTCAAATTCGACAGTGTCCCGAAAACAGGCCATGTGCGGTAACCCTTTCCCAGTCAGCCTGTGTTAAGTACTCGCAATGCGCTTCTGATATGTCCTTTGTGTTGTATAGAGTAGTAGGGTGTCTGTGTTAACATCCTGGGTTTTGCGTTTTGTACTACAATAAACCACTTTGACCAAGTGGCCCAAACTTCCGACCACCCCTGACTTTACTAAACTCAAGCCAAATGTGCTGAAATGATTGTATTAGTGATATCCTGTCTCAAGTTCGGTACGGCTGGACAACCGCTTTTCAGCTTTTGCGACCTCTGGTGCTCACCCACTACTAGCGTTACGGGTGTGGACCATATTGGGAGAGTGTAAATAATATATTTATTGGGTGTAAGGCGCACTAACGTCGATAATTCAATGTAATTATCGCACGTCTTGTGCTGACACCATTTAGAATGCTAGTGAGTTAGAACTACTCACTTCATTTACTCATTATGTCATTACTTACTTTATCAACACACGTGTATTCATCAAATGTCGCATCAGGTATAAACAATGGCGAAAATAGTCAGCACCGTTGAATGTCATCCTCCACATAAAAATTCAGATAAATCCCCGTCCGTCACAACTGTAAAAACACTTTGAATACACTAAATCTATTATAAAACACACTTAGAATGTCATATAAAGTACATAAAATCATATGATATACCCAGGTGAAGCCTACTGGTCAAATCTGATTGGCTGGTGAGGTTCTTGTTGTGCATTCCACGACTTTGTCTGCCGGACTTAAGGGTTACCGCTCGTCGTTGTCTGTACCCGATTGAGTTTCTGGTCGGGTAGTGTAACCTGGTTTGAGCTATCCGAAGTTGGTGTGAGCATTTTATACAGCTGGCGGTACATCTGGAGCTCGGCTACTGGTATCCGATGTTCGTGAAGGGGCCGGCTGGATGGTTTCGGGTGCCCGATGTCAGTTTGACAAGCAAGCAGACATCCCATATGAGTACTACTCATGTCTTTCTTACTCACTCTAAGGTGCGCGACCAGCTTATCGCAACATCAGGGGTTCTCACGGTTGGTAGTTTTTCAGGTTCCAGGAAAAACGAGCGAATCAGAAGAGATCAGTCAAGCCTGCATGCAGCTTCTTTTGCCTACCATGCCAGGGGGAGCAGGTTTGGTTGCAGATTTCAGATCAATGCCGATTGGTCGAAATGGTGTTGAAGGGTGATTGATTAAAGGGGAAATCCGTTTTGGGTCCGCAATTTAAAAATAATTCGGTTTGGGGTCCGTTATCTAACGGCTTTGTTAAAATGGGCGTTTATTGAGCATTAAAGATGCTTTAGAGGACAGAAGCAGTCATCGGCTATGGGTTCTACTGCCAGGTTATTTTGGGTAGCTATTCGACACCTGTTTGGGTTAGTAGAGCGCAAACTTAGCGGCACACGAAGCATCTTTCATTCGTACTAGAGAAGCAGTCATTGGGCTTAACTTAACTTCCGTTTTTGAGTCGACAAAGCTTTTGCTGACTATGGAACATGTAAGTATCCCAACAGGCTTCTCAACGGGGCTAATACCACCTTTAATGGCCAATATAACGCCCAATTGAACAAATCACTTAGATAACGGGCCCCAAACCGGATTTTCCCTGTATTAAATGGACAGGCTCTCCAGGGGAGCACTCGCGCCGACCGACTCACACAGATCGCTGCCCCAAAGTGTGCATGTAGTATGGCAACTGCACCAACAAGCACTTCAGCCCGAGATCTGATTGCACGCTGCAACTAAACTAGACGCCACTATGCCAAACAAATCGTGAACTACTGATGAGGTGCGGTGCGTTTGGCTGGGTAGGCTGCATCCGGCGGCAACACCTCGGGTTTGGCTAGAGGCGTCGACGCGGCCCGCAGCAGTGACGTAATGAGTAATAGCGGCTCGAAGCGATGAAAAACAGCGACGCGGCTACTAATAGCGACGAAGCTAGCAGTCACGGCGTCGAAGGCAAAAATCCCGACGCCAAGCGACCTCTGGGCGATCGCTCACGCCTGCAGGTGCGACTACAGTTGCAAGAGCAAACAATCTGTACGATACCTTACTTGTAATGGGCCTACCTTGCTACCTTGTACACGTGTGCGCACGTGTACGAGGAAGCGTAGGTTTCTTTTACTTGAGTTAAGTATACTCGAGATCAACGAGTATACTTTAAATAAGATAAAGACGTGTTTTGGTAAAGATGAAAACTGTTATTTGTGATTTATGGTTTGACTTCCCCTAAATGTAATATTCTAAACTAGGAATCTGCCAACGGCTGGTTGGCAGGATTCCGCTAACATGCAAGTCGCTCATTGGCTAAAAGATGCTGCTTTCAGCCAATAGGAATCCTAAATGTGTATGAACCACCCGTCGTGGTGGTTCCAAATGTATGTAGCCATTGGTGTACCTTACACCAAGGTCGAGAAAGTCTTTCGAACCTCTAACAGACGTCGTGTCTGTTAGAGTTACAAGTGGCTGTAGCCACTTGTGCGTGTAACCCCGTTACATTACTCGAAGCGGCGTGAGAAAAGGCCGCATAGTGGCAGGCAGGATACGAGCATGCCGCAGCAGGTCTGTAGCCGCGAGTTGCTTGGCATCATGAAATACAAGCCAGCCATCACCTGCTAGACTTCTAAACCTAGCGTTAACATCGGTAGTGTAGGTTTCATCCCCTCACGGTTAGAAGGCTTATTGTGGTTCTAGTGTTTTGTAAGCGAGCTACTTGCATCAAGGAAAAATCAGGATGCTTTAACGAGCGCCGGCCAGTTTAGCACAGCAAAAAATATTGGTGTTTGTATGGCGAAGCATCCCCCTTTGCAGAAAACCCGCAATGCGTTACAGGACGATCCAAAATGTGTAAGTTTTGCACCATGGTGTGTACGTTTTTCACCACAAGCTCGAAGGGGGATGCTTCGCCATACAAACCCCAATATATTTTGCGGGGGTTTTCGGTTCCTGGCTTTGATCAATATACACCATGTTAATGCTGTATACTACATGTTACAAGTATGCGTACTTGATCTAACTATTGCCTTCCGTAAGTACGACACATTCCTATAACCGGCGGGAAACTGGTTAACACAGACAGACGCACATGTTGTCTAAGGCGCCCTCGGATGGGTAGCTAAATTTCAACAGGGTGTATATACTACAGCTTGTGTCCTTTTATTGGGGGTGAACAAAAATCAAACACAAGGGCGGGTTTATGCTGGAAGTATTCTATGATTGCATCCCAACATACCAGTCTGTACATGCCTTGAAAACAAAAACCTGCTGTACCTAGCTAGCAATCAAGTGACACGTCCTCTCAACCGCGGGCTAACGGCATCTCAATATTATAATAGCGCCCGTCCTGCTCGGTTTTATTGGACTGGGTCGCTTCCCCAGGCTGTATTCTCTCTGACGGGGTGCTTATTGGTACCCGCAAGCGCAATATAACCCTACAGATCAATATATAGTGTCTACAGTGTTCTTTCTTTCCAGCTTACCTCTTCTTTTACATATCCTGTTATATCGGGTGACATTAATTCTACATTTCGAGCCACTGTGTACAATCATGTATCATATCCTGTCTGATCTGATCGGAGTAACCAGGGCATAGTTGTGGCACTGTCTCATACGCATGATGGGGAGATCCTTTCCTGTTAGCAATCTACTACCAATCAAATAATCAGTCTAACTCACCATTCTCTGTAATTTCCACTCGTTCTTTGTACATATTTTCACCTACACCTGTGCATTTCACGTAGAAAATGACATGCTGCTCTTTTTCATAACAGGTAGTCATATACAACGTGTGGGCACGCGGGGGGGGGGGGGTTAAGGTATATAAAAAGGTTTTAAGCTTTCGTTTGACCAGCCTCATGCCACACGCTCCTCAAGCACTTACGAGCGCTTTATCGCTTAGGCGATCTTTACGCGAAGATCGAGCACCACCAGTGTCTGCCCCAGACTCCCGCAATTCGCAATCCTGCCCCTGGCTACACGCAAGACGTACTGGTTGGTCAGTAAGTAGCGAAAAGCAGACTACATGTAAGCCCATAATTTACGAAGCGTCTGCACGACGACGAAGATCTGCAAGCGTAGATAACTGTTATGCGCATGCAGACAACGAAGCAGTACAGTCGAATATAAGCGCAAACATAATTACAATTATCGAGTTATCGTTGCCCCTACCACACTTCGCACACCAAGAACCTCAGGGGCCACCAATAGGGTACTAAGGCCCTTGTCCAAGTAGGGAACACGTTCTGTCCTCAAACATTAAACGTCTTCTTATTAGTTAGAATATTAGTAGTACATTGTACCGATTTGCGGAGTTCGCGTTCCGAACCACCTGTTCTGGGAACAGCTCCTCGAGGCGTGCTGGTCCAGAACATTTGTGCTATGGACGACACCACTGCTGCTATTCTCGCTGCTGTAATAGGAGCCTGCGTCGGCGCGGTCGTCGCTGCTGCAGACAAGCGCGGCTTCCGGCAGCGACCTGGTCCCACCAAGACATTTGCCACTCGTATGTTCGAGAACGCGCTGCGTACACCGGGATCGATTGGTTCTACAAGAAGCTACGGTGCGACCAAGCATCGTTCCTCCGCATCTACAAGCTTGTGCGTGCAGCGTGGGGAAGCGAACCCGGCCCAAACTGCAAGCACAAGATAATCAAGCGCGTGGCGCTAACGATGAATTACCTGGCCCAGGTGGCACCATGGACCAAGCGGCCACAGCGCTGGGCATATCAAGGTCTCGTGGGGTCGTTTACATTAACCAGAAGCTTGATGTTCTCAGCGCCATGTCGAATACGTTTGTGGTGATGCCCTCGGAGCATGAGGTCAATGCCATTGAAGATGGAGTTTTCGCGATCGCCGGCTTTCCTGGGACTATTGATGCCGTGAATGGTACGCTCATCAGGATTGCGCGCCGCCACGATTTTGAAGGGTGGTATTGCCGCAAGAACTATCCTGCATTCAATGTGCAAGCTATCGTCGGCCATTGCGGTCTCTTTCGGTCAATATCGATCCGCTCAGGGTCGAATAACGGCCAGTAGCTGTGGAATGGGTCTGCTGTACGGAAACGGTAAGTTATCGGTTTGGTTATCTATGCTACGCTGTTATCTAATCTATTGAACTTGTGCGTCTTAGGCTCTCAAGCTTTGTTCCACCAGGAAACACTTAGTTGTAGACGCGGGCTACAATTTGTGGACCCACATGCTCACGACGATTCCGGAAGCCGAGGCAGTACAAGATCGCTGGAAGCACATGTACAATCTGACGCACTCTCGAACAAGAATTGGTGTCGAGTGTGCTTTCGGCCGCCTCAAGAAACGCTTCAGAATTGTGTTAGGTAAGCTAGAGGAAACGTCCTCCGATAATGTGTAAGTCAATTATAGGCTGCGTAGTTCTCCACAATTTACTTACCCTGACTCAAGACACTATGGTGGAGAAGACCCCCTTTTGCGCTTTGCGCCAGCCAGCGTCGCCGAAGACCCGCACGAAACTGAGCAGCCAATTGCACATGAACAACGGATCGCTAAGCGCGATGATAGCACGGACATTTTAGCTGCAGTCTAGTTGAGTAGCAGAAATTTCATTGACAGCAGTTAATATCATATGCTATCTACTCGTTCTTCTTCGTCACTAACCCCTGTAACAATTGAAGCTGCATCTCTTGGAAGCGACGTGTCTCTTCGTAATGCTGCAGCAGTACAGCAGTCAGCGAGCGGAAGTGGTCTTCCCAGTAGGACGGGACCCCAGCGATGCTGCGATTGTCTCCATGCCACCTTGCGGCGCCGTGGCAAGTTGCGCAACAGGAGGTGGATTGGCCTTTGCTCCCACATCCTCTTTGATTCTTTGTCGTCTGTTTCCTCTTCTTCTGCATCACCGCTAGAATCGAGTAGGGCATCACCGCTAATACCTACTCGTCCTCCAAATGCATCGCTTAAAATGGACCAAAGTCCTGCATTCATTTCACTTTCACGAGCTGCATTACCGGTTACTCTTAGCTTTTCCTTGCAATAATGCACTTCAACTTCCGATATTTCAGGGAAACCTGTTATCATAAACTCCAGTTAGTATTGTATCATTCATTTCTACACTCAAACATTGAAATAGTACTTGGTTATGGGTCAGCACAATGCCCAGCGTCTGTGACAGCAGGCTGGCAAAGTGTTGCCATGCGAGGGCTTTCTTCGTCTTCGTGTCTGCGCCCTCGAGGTGCCTCTTTGACGTCTCCGTCCGCGAAAAGCAAGCACAGCAGCTCCCCCACTATGTCATTGCTCCACTTTACACGCTTGGGAGGCGCTTTGCCAGTGATCGCCCAATATATACTGAAAATGGATTGTTGGCGAGACGGCCGTCTCAATCAATATTGTAACAATACCAATACCCTCTTCAATATATTGCACTTAGCCGATTTAATTGTGTATCTTGATGTTGCAGTTGCCCTCAGTGTCTTATCCGCCTTGGAATAGGTCTACCTTCCTACCGTTCGAGCGGGCAGGAAACGGGTGAGCTCGATGCGCTACAGCGCTGCGATCTCACTTTTGAAATCAACTCGCAAGCCTCTACCCTCCCCGCCCAAGCCTCCCCGCCCAAGCCTCCCCGCCCAAGCCTCCCCGCCCAAGCCTCCCTCTCTTAACCTCGACCAACAAACCTCGCTGCCCGTCCTAAAGAACCGTCAATCAGCCCCCTTCGCATCCCTTCATCCTCCTATCGGTCGACGCGTTAGCCCAAGCAGCGCCAGATCTTCACGACCAGCCACCGAACTGCAACAACAATGACCGTCAACGCAACGTTCGCCTCTTAAGCGCCAAAGCTCGAGTCCAAAGTGGTCGTGCGCATGGTGTTCCGGGATCCCAACGAGTCAGGTCAGACTTGCAACGCGTGCAACAAGTTCGTCAAGCAGCTAAAGAAGGCGGGGTATACCAACCTCATCAACCACCTCGCCAGCAAACATTCTGGCTACGAAGACGTCGTCCGAAGTTGTCTGCGTGAACGGCGCAAAGTCTCCATGGACATGTTTGTCGACCGACTCGCGCAATCTACCTACCAGGGAACGAACTCGTCGTCCACAAGAACTTCACCTTTGCCGACGTAGACGACGAGACCGTGCGTGCGGCGGTCAAGTTTTGACTCGATCAACTCGAAGACGCTGAAAGCTCGCATGGTTGCGACTGTCAAGCTTCTCGAACCTCAGATCGTTGAGGAACTGAAGGGTGAGAGATTCGTGTTTGTCTTCGACGGAGCTACCGACAATGGGGAGCATTCGCTGGCTGTATTCGTGGTGACGTGAAAGGGATGGAGGTTCCTCGCCTTGTCGTTGTTCATTGACGAGAGCAGCATGACGGCAGATGAGCACATAAGATTTCTCGATCTAGTTCTCGAATAATACGAGCTCGACATCGCGAACCTGATCGCTATGGACAGCTACGATTAGAAGTCCATAGTATTAGCTGAGATACTGGCCGCTTCTGTACAATATTGCCGAGGGTCTCGACAATCAATATTGTGCGAGTACAATAGCCAAAATTGTACAATTACAATTCTTTTTTACCGATCCCTGGCGCTTTGCCAGGCGTCTTTTGCTTCTTACTTGGGGAGTTGGGGCAGCTGTAGCTGATTTCGGCGCGCGTTTGCGCTCCGCGGACGCCGGCGTCGTTACTGCCCTTGGGCTCGGCGTGGCCGCGCGGTCTACAAGTGCTGTAATTGGTTCCGGTGGTAGCACTGCACGGCGGCGCCAACTGCGTCACGGACCACGTCAGAGGGAGCGGCAACGTAAACGGTGGGACCGCAGCAGACGATGCGGTCGTTGTGTCGTCCGGAGGCTCCATAGATAAACTGCTCGTGGTAGCCTCGAAACTCGGGCTACAGGAGCGGAATTCGTGGGATTGTACTGCGACCGGCGGGCACCGTTGACCACCGTTGACCACCGCTTTGCTGTACTGACAGATGTACAGTTGACCCCGAGAATAATTGACCAATAGCAACAGCCGACCACTCACAGCCGCATTTTGCACGATCCTCACTGCTGTACGAAGCCCTCAGTCACTACAAGCGAGGGCAGGAAGTTCTCGCCAAGCTCCTGCTGCGAGGCTCCGATGCCCACGCAGTGTCGCTCTCAAAAGAAGTACGTGTGCGATATCTATCTACTACTGTGATGCTAACCAAAGAGCTGACATTTTGTGATGTACTGCGTGATATTCATCATTTCTGCTGCTGCATCTAGTACGTTCGACTATGACACGACTCAATGAACGATGCAATAGCGGGGCTGGACGCTGTATAACTAGCTGCAGGCTGGCGAGAAGAGCTACGCAGCCTTAGTGCCTGTGCTGCCGGCGCACGAGGTCGTGTAGTGCGCCAAGAGCAGCAAGACTTTCGTCTTGGGTATCCCCAGCGTCACACCCGACGTCTCTGCAGCGGCGCTGAGTTCCACACAGCCACCGCAGATTCAGTACAGCAACAAGCAGCAGACTGTAGCTACCAGTATCGCAGGCGGCAACTCAGCTATGAGCTCATCGGCACTACCTGCTACAAACGAAGGCATCGTGTTCTCGCTAACCTCATCCTGCTAGGCTCTGGCGCCCATGCTGTGGAGGGCAGCAGTGGAAACAATAGTAAGCGTGTCACCTACTACGGTCAAATAACTAGTGTGGCTTTGAGTTGGTAATGTATTCCGTGTTTTAAATGTTTCTGCTGCTGCATCTAGTAGGTTCACTGGTCGGCTGATGTGCGACTCGCTGAAGCTGCAAAGAACGAAGCTATCGTGGGGTTTGACTGCTGCCGGTACTGGCACTTTACGTTCCTGCTGTCTGGACCACACTTTCGCTTGGTGGTTCGGCAGCTTTCACACGCTGGCCGCTTCTTCGCTACCGGGGGAACAGGAAAGCCACAGTGACAGCAAACTCCTATTATGTTGTTCCGGTAGACACAGCTTAGGGGGGAACCTTCTCAACGCTATCGCCTCCTGTACGGCATCACGCGCAGCACTCTCTACCATAACTGCGATGGTTGCAAACTATTTTTTTTAGAGTCTCACTAGAGCGGGCGGGCGGCCCGCCACCCGAAAGGTGGCGGGAACCGCCGGGCCTGTCGGCCCGGGATTACCGGTCAAGCCCAGGAGAGTGGCTGGCTAAAATTGATGGTTGCAAGTGGACCAGCTCGGAGCACAGCGTTCCCTACGATTCTGGCAGATGTCGTCACAACAATTTAACGAAAATTCAGGAATAATGCCCCTTACCCGTATAGCACCCTCTAAAACGTACGTATCCCATGGTTACATTGCTACATCCATACAAAAATCAAGTACATGTTTATGACTTTGTTATCCAAAACATATTTACGCGTGAGCTGTGTACAGCGGGTCCGGTAATTGAAGGTACCCCCATGTTGAAGTGCACATTTTGGAACATCCTGGAGGCTGTAGACATCCGTTTGGCGCGCAACTTGGACCACACGATGCAGAATTCGTCTGTGGGTTCGGTTCCAAAGCGCTGATTGGTGTTTCGCAATAGTATTCCACCAATCATCGATAGAGTATAATCGGGATGTGCAATAGTCAAGGTACCCAGGCAACTCTCTGCAATTTATATAGAAATTTGTATTGGGAAATTTAAGTTGCTCAAATGTTGCACTAACTTTGCCGCCAAAACCTATGGACTGCAACTGCTTGTGGACGTCGGTGGCGCCTCGATGTCGTAGCTCATTCTTCATTCTTCCTCCTGCAGCCCATGGGGCGCCAACGCCACCAGTACTCGCACGACATGCGGCTCCTTTGCGTGCAGAAGCACCTACGTGGTCTGGGCTACACTAGGATTAGCAAGATGCTCGAGATGCCAAGGAACTCCGTTCGCAATATCGTCCTGTTCTACAAGCGACATGGACATTCTGTTTTTCCGCCCCGCCGAGGCCGCAAAAAGCTCATGGACGCTCGCCAGGACCGCCGAATCGTTCGAGCAGTAGAAGCCAACCGCTTCATCAGCGCGGCGCAGCTGGCTGCCCAAGTTACCAAGGACATTGGGCGGAAGATCTCGCGCTGGGCGATCCGTTTGAGGATCCACGCGGTCGGTCTGAACGGCCGCTCCTCGAGAAAGAAGCCCTACCTATCGCCGCGCCACCGCCGAGCGCGTTTGGCCTACGCTAAGAAGTACGGTGACCCAACGGCGGACGACTGGGAGGCCGTGCTGTTCACTGACGAGGCCAAGGCAGAGCTTCATGGTACGACTGGGCGGGTGTCCGTGTGGCGTCGAGCTCACGAGAGCTTTTCGGAGAAGTGTGGGCTCTCCACGTTTAAAAGTGGCCGCCGGTCACTCATGGTGTGGGGCTCGATCAGCGGTAACGGCGTGGGGACGCTGCATATCTGCGAGGAGTCCGTCACGGGGGAGTACTACCGAAAGATATTACGATCTGAAATCCCGATAACCAAGCAGCTGAATGACCTGCCCAGCCCCACACCTTTCGTCCAGGACAATGCCTCGGCTCATCGAGCCAAGAAGACGAAGTCGTGCCTCGATGAGCTCAACCTGCAGAGCTTAGGACACCCCGCTCAAAGCCCAGACCTCAATCCAATTGAGAACGTCTGGGCTGAGTTGAAGCGCGGTCTGAACAAGACTCCTGCCTCTTCACTGGACGACCTGAAGATGAGGCTGAGGACCATCTGGTCCGAGCTGGACGACGACATGATCAAGAAGTGCGTGAGGTCGATGCCAAAGCGCCTTGATGCGGTGAAGCAAACGCGCGGAGGTCACACCAAGTACTAGGCTCAGGTTGTACTTCAAGGTTTGACTTGGTTTTTGTATCAGATATCGATCATGATCGATGGGAATAGAGAGTACCTTCACTTTTGCACACGGCAGTTCATAACTTTCGCTAAAACATTTTTTCTGTTGCTCTTTAGTGTAAATACTGTAGTGTAAAATGATGCTGCTGTCGCACTGCGTCGTGTCGTCCAAGTTGCGCGCCAAACGGATGTCTACAGCCTCCAGGATGTTCCAAAATGTGCACTTCAACATGGGGTACCTTCAATTACCGGACCCGCTGTATTATCCACAATTTATCTGATTTTGTTTGAAAATGGGAGGGCACTAATCAGTTGTGCCCGGGGGATTATTCAGGAATATCCGTTATAACCCATAACATAGTCGAATCCACAACCACCCTTTCGAGAGCTCCGCCATTGAGCTACTTTAGTGGGGTCAGCACACCTCAAAGCAGGGATACTCACCTGCGCGCCAGAAGGTGGGATTAACTCTACACAGTTCTTTGTGTGAGCGACAGCCCCTCTTAGCCGTACTGATGCGCGGCACGGCCCCATCAATTCGCCCTCCTGGATGGTTACTTCGGCACACGTAGACATCACTTCGCGGTCGCTTCGTTACTGACAGTGCGCGCACTGCGGCAACCCCCGCGTGCCCAATGCCAATCATTATTTTCGCATAATTATCTTTTGACGGGCGCATTGAATATTTTTATAGGCATACAATGCTCAGTACATTTGTATGTGCGTCACACCAATTTGTCGAAAAGGTCGGAGGTCGGAGATTTCATGGTATGGAGTAATATTCACTCTATTCCAACCACTACTCGTTTTTGCAATCTCAAACCGCTCGTACTCGACGAGTATCACCCAATAAATGCCTTAAATTCGACTAATTTTGGCCAATCAGAAGCCTTTCTGATGTAGGGCATTTTTCCAACTGTTCCAACCATATTTGGTTGGAATTTTGTCAGAATATTTTTAATGTCGTACAAATTTCTATATAAATGCATATCGCGCTTCCCAACAGTTTCTGAGAGTTAGGATAGTTATCATAGCCAGTGCACAATCGGAATTAAAACACTATGTACTGTAGATTAGGGGTAGGGGTCTAGTTGGGCGATTCCAGTCAGCTTTCATGAGGTGCTCAAAGCCGCGAGGAAATTGCCTCTAGAGGCCTGTGGGTCGAGAATTCGACTTTTTAGATATGCATGCATTTATGACCCTGGAGCGACGTACACCCTACTGAGCAAATTCATTAATGAGGCCGGAACTCCCGTGGGGGGCCACAATTTGGAGCAAACTCTGCCGGCAGTGCATTGGTGTGGCATCCTATTGGTCTAATTATTTATCAATAGCAGACTTACATAATTCTGGTTGGCTGATCGATTAGCCAATCAGCATATGCCAACTGTCGCCACCAGCTGAGACGTCGCCGACCGAAGCCAACAGAAGCCAAAGGCCCTCACTCCTCTTTTTTAAAGCGCTAGTGCTCAAGTCTCCCGACCAAGTCCCGCCGCCAAGCACACACCACAGCAAGACCAAGGCTGCCCCCCCCCACTCCACCCCTACCTACAGCGCCGTAGCTCAAAGGAAAAGCGCCGAGCTTTGGATCTGGAGACACCCGTTCAATTCGGGTCGGCGCTAATCATCATGGCTGGGAGCGGACGGGGTGGCGCTAAGCTGCGTGTGACGCTGCTTGTGTGCTGATACCCTAGGAGTGTGTGGCTGCTGCTACCGAGATGCTACTGCTGGTGCGTTCGCAATGTAACTGTATATACTTTTGCGTAGTCTTCGTTCTGCTTTGTACTTGCGTGGGAGATATCTAACGACTTAGACATGACCAACGACGGCAAGGATGTTTTGCGTGTCTACAGGGGCAGGGTCTTGGGTACTACCGATCGCGACGAGACGCTTGTGTGCCGCGATAAGACACCGGTCTTGTGCAGCGCGGAGCACGCTTCCCGAGCCTTTCGCCTTGATGCCGCGGGACGCCAAGAACCGCAGCAGGGCTGCCTCAGCGCGCGTGCCAATGTGGTGGAGTGGATCCGCTGGAATTAGCAGGGATCCCACACTCACACACTGCGCCCAGACACCGACTAACGGAGGGGGTACTGACACGATGTGGAAGAAGAGTTTTCGCCGTACTCGTGTTGGACTGCCGGAAGGACCGAATCGTCAACTGACTCTGTCTGGTCGCAGTGGACTGATATCCAGTGACGTGGAGTGTTGCATGTGGATAGTGGATGCGCATGGTGGATTTGGCGGGACCCGGTGCTTGCAGTAAGCATGGGCTCACAGGATCGGAGATGTGCCCACCGGATGAGCGCTCATATTCGGTGTGGAGTAACACATCCTGTCCGTCCGCCGACTTCCCTGACCGCAGGATAAGCCTAAGGCGCGCAAGTGCAGCCAGTGAACGTATCCTGGCTGCTGCCTGCATTGGCTCCTTCAAGACATCGGACCAACCCCCAAGTTCACCGTGCCCACCATGCTCCCATGCGCCCAAGACCTCGCTGGACGAAGAACACTGTTTGCCGGACTGGATTGTGGTTCACCCGGTAGCGACGCACCGGATGCCAAGGTGCCGTACCGAATGAGGTCGGACCGGATGGTCAATTCGGTCTGACCCCTGGTGCCCATACTGGATCGTGACCGCACCAACAACAAGTCCAATAGTGCTGTGCGTGAATGCACTGTGGCAGCAATCCAGGACCGGATCGACCAAGAACGTCAAGCGACACAGGATGGCTCACGTGATTAGACGCAGAGGTCCAGTGCGGATTTGATGAGACGCCGTACCCACGTACCTCTGTCGCCAGATGATGAGTGTTGCCGAAGGAACGTTGACGTCGACAAGTTGCCCGATAACCAAGCCAAGTCAAGCATACCCAAGCTCAGTGCAAGAAGATCGAAGCCCCGTGCACAAGGTCGAAGCATATCCAAGACAAGTCAAGTATAGTGAAACCTTTATTAGAAGTCAGTGAAGTGAAGTAGATAGCTAGCCAAACGTAAGATCAAACAGAAACCAATTTGCCGAGAACACGCGGGCGTCTTTCTTCGGGCTGGGAATTCCCCCTGACATTGACGTCTTCAAGAGCTTATACGTGGGATCCGCCTTCGTGCGATCTTAAAACGGAGGACGCTTCAAGGCCTCACTGGTGTTGCGAGCACTGGTGTAGTGGGGACTCAAAGGTATCAAGGCAAAGTCGGCAGGGACTGGGGTGTCGCGCCCTGGAGTGATCTATGAGAGCTCTATTTCCAATTTGCGTGCTCTATCCGGGCATCCATTTCATATTCCATCCTGTGTGTCTTAGGCGGTAGAGGTAGTCACCCCCGAGACTGAATTGATCGACTACTGTGTGATAGGATTGACTTATATTTTGTATTGTTCCCTCACTCTGTGAGGGTGGTGCGCGTAAGTGAGTGTGCATCCAGGGTTGACCAGTGCCTTGGGTGACGGCTCGTAAGTTGACTGGCGTATAGACCGGGTCTTAAAGAATAAGTGGTGACTGTATATTTTGTGACGTTTAGCTCGGCATTGTATTTCTGTGTGTTGGTTATATTGAATTGTGGATCTGACTGTGGTCCCTTCGATTCGGTCTGACCTTCTGTTCATTCGGTGTAGTCTGTTTCAGGAACACTCGATTCTGTATTTACAACAACTCACTCGGTGAAGTCCGGTCCGCCAAAGGTAAACGATACCTATAGGGGTTGACACAAGGACACACGCCAAGTCCAAGCGATCCGCCCGGTCCCCGGTTCACATCCTGTGCTCCGAGGACTACCGGATTGCAGCGGATATCTCTGGTACTCCGAACCGATTCGGTCCGGCATAGTGCGCTACACACCTGGACGATCAAGGCGTTCACCCGCCTCGCCTCAGTACTCCGATAACCGTAGGTTGCTGAGTGGCTCACCTTGTGTACCCGTCGGCGGGCTGGATCTGCTCTCTCGTTGACACGAGATGCGCAGCGGGTGAGCTTGAACGTCCTTGGCGGGGACTTAGGGAGATGTTGGGGTAGATCCGCAGTGGGGGTTCCTTCACGCGGGTCTGGGTAGGTCGATCCTTGGTCTTGGCCGTAGATCTTGTGGATCCGATAAGTAATATACCAGATCCGGAGTTGTTGCCTTGTTGGGGGTGTTGTATCCTTTTCCTTTACGTCGCTTGCCGCCTACTATTAGCGGGGGAGTTGGGGGGCGAGGGCCGAAGGGCGCGAGCTGCTGGCCAAGCTATCCAGCAGTCTGCCACGTGTGCGGGGGGCAAATCACTTGAATAAAGTATGGGCCAATACTAATCCCAATACTAAGGACCAAGTGTGTGGTTCCCAAGCAAATTCGACTCTGATTTATGTTAGCCTGTACCCAGCCTTCCCATCCGACTTGGATCCTATCCATGACTGGCTCTCCCTCCTGCCTAATTATCCCAACATAGCCACTGTACCAATAAGCTGGTACGGATCCGCGCCTAATCTAGGAGATCCTAATATAGATGAGCGGATCCGAATACACCACACCACTCGCACCTGATCCAACTTCAACTGTCCTGATCCCGCAACCGTACCTCCATCCCGCAACCATGGCGTCATCAGAGGGACTGTGCATCGTCACCAACTGCCGGATCCCACTACCCAGTCAACTGGCGGATCCAGTCCCATCAAGACCCTTCTTGAGCGGATCTTCTCACCACACCAACGTCCAGCGCCTGGGCCTTGTAGTCCTCCGAGGTGTCGTCGAGGATGAAGCCGCCGTCCAGAAAGAGCTTCATGAAGGCGACGACGTGACGCGACTCGGACTTTCGCTGGAGTCCCAGACGCGTGGCGTCCGCGTATACCACGTCGTCGAAAGGTTCGTAGCTGCCTTCTTCCTGCGCTTGGGCTTGGGTTGGTCTTCTAACGCGGCAGGTGGTTGTGTTTCTTCAGTGGTTGCTTGAATCTGTTTAGGCGGTCTCCATGACAGTCAGGCGAGCGTTCAACGCGCGGTTCATCTGATGACATCCCCGACATTGCTCCTGTTTCTCTTCTCTATGCTTACGTTTCGTGTCAGGTTGAGGCGGCGAGTGGTTCAGGACTGCAGACCAAGCCAGCAGATCGGCTCGCGGGATTCCAGCGACGTTCCAGCACTCTTCTACGTCGCGTCACGATCGGGGCGCCCGGCGACAGCGCCTTTAGCTGCGGGAAGTACTTGATCAAGTACGCGGTGAGTACTATGAGGACCTTGCAACTGACGTTGAACGGGCGATCTTTGTGGCCCAAGGATGTGCTGTACAGGAGCTCCTGGAAGCGCCCAAGGTGTTCCTGCGTCGAGTGGTCAAGCGCTTCGACGTCGACGACCTTGGGATCGTCGTCGACATCGCAGCCACTCAGCACGCGAGATACCTTCCGGTACTCTTGCGGCGTGTTGAACACGTACGCGAAGGCCTTGTTAACCTTGCTCATTTCCCAGGCACCCGTGTCGAAGACCCACTGCGCCGCCAGCTCCTCGTCCGCGTTCGCGTGCTGCGCACCTCCTCTTCGGAAGGAGTGCGACATCAAGTCGCCGGTAGCACCTGGCGGGTCGGCGACGCGCTTCAAGAAGCGATTGACGTACGCCTGGGCGTCATCTTCACCTTAACCAGGCCGCTTTTCACGGAGGGCGGCAGCAGCGGGTGGCGTTGGGGCAGCAGCGGTAGCAGCAGAGCATGGCGAGGACGTGACGTCACCGGTGGACGTGGCCGCTAGCGCGAAACCAAGCGATACCGGCTCCGCTTCCAGCAGGTCGACAAGAGGCGCTCCGGCATCCGGTTCTTGGACCTTGGTCGACACGAGCTCGGGGAGCTGGCTCAAGAGAGAGCCGCACGGTGCGTCTTGCGTAGTCAGGGCGACAGTCAACGCGGGGAGGGGACAGGTAAAGAAGTCGGCTTTATCGGGGACGAGCGTGAGACCTTGCTCCTCGGCGGTCTTTACGCGAAGCAGGCGCAAGTAGAAGGCGCCGTCCGCCGACACGGATATGTGCTACTTTTGGATGTAGCCGAGGTCCGAGGAGCGGCCGAAGCAGTGCCACATCAAGCAACCAAGCGTAGCGCCCTGGTAGTCAGAATTCACGCGCGCAGTGCTGTAGACAAAATCAGTTAGAGCACGTAAGTCCTCCTTCGTACAGGGAGGCGCCTTATTAATAAATCCGCCCTTTTCTCTTTTCAAACAATGTTTATCTAGAGTTTTGCTTTGCTTCAGGAGCTGTAGCTCCGTCGTCTTCCTTACGTGCGGATACAGATCGAAAAGCCAAAGCTTAACATTTCTGTAGTAGGAAACCGCCGTATTACGTGCAAGCTTACCTTTCTTACCTTCATTAGTGACCAGATAGTACCCAAAACGATCCATTGTCGCTATCAAGCGCTTGCCGGTTGAGTCAGATTCCAGGCTAGCTTGTAAGTACTCAAGACTAACCTGTTCATCTTCCAGCATCCGCTTGAAAGCGCCTACCGCAGTGGCCCGCGCTTTCTGCGTGTTCACTGGGATGAACGACGAAAGATTTATGACGGCTCTTCTGCTTTTTGACAGTGCTTTGTGTAAGTATGATCAGCTGTCCTAGCCACCAATGCGAGTCCTAACGTAAGCGATACTAGACTAGGATAATGCCTAATCCGCGGAATTGTTGAAATCTGCCAACAATATTTATTTATATTGAAATTTGTATTAGCATATTCATATTCCTGGCGGCTTTCCTACAAATATATGTCGGAACGAGTCGGAATACAATAAAAACGACACTTTGATATCATTGGCTAAAACGTCTTCAATTACGCCTTCTGATTGGATATCAAATATATCGCACAAACCCTGCAAAGCTATCTGTCGGAAAAACCACTATATACATCCATATCCCAAAAATATCCGTCAGTTTCCAACCCGAGAGGTCGGTACATAGATTTTCGTTTAGAGTGAAAAGAGCAGGCAGGCTAGCATTTCGATCGCATCGCTTGGTCGTGCTAACAGCAAGAAGGCCAGAACGACGGCGATTAACTCGTTCACGACGTTCTTGGCCGCGGAGAGCATGACACTCGAAGCCCCATCGGCTTATCGACGGGGATAATGCAAGTAAGGTGTTGCGTATTATACTAGACAAGTATGCATATTCATTAGCGACATCAGTCGAAAAGGTAAGAGCGACCAATACGTGCCTAGCATAATATGGCAACATCAAGAACTGGCTGGTAGATAAGTACCCGCTGCAGGGAGTAATTAGTTAAATCGCATCTCCAAAAAATCTATCTGGGCTGGGTAAGTGTTAAAACTCAGTTTTGGTTGGTCAAACTTAAGCTTTATTTATTGTGCCTTGCAATTTTTTTGGCAATTCCGATGCTCAGAAGTCGGATATATCGGGTCAGATATAATTTTCAGCTCAGAGATAAAGACGAGGGACCCCAGGTGGAGGTGGGATTTAGCTGGTTAAACCTCGGTCGAGTTGACCATCAGGTCGGAATTGCCGTTTTAAATCGGCCAAAATGACTACCCTCCAGCTATATCGGATGCTGCCCTGGAGGCCGTCGCGTTATATCGGATGTCGCCCTCCTTGCCGACTCCGTGTCGACTTCGGCGCTACTATACACCAGGACAATTGTCGGACCGGTGGGGAAAGCTCAGGTCTTGTTTCGGCAGCTACGCATGAGCGGATCCGCGTCGCTCAGGCGCTGGTACACGAGAGATAGCGTCGTTCACGACGAGCAAGAGAAAACAATGACAGGCTCAGGCGAGCAGGAGTGACGTATGCAGAAGAAACTTACTTAAGTAGGCTTTACATGGACAAATACCACACCATTTTGCTCTAAGAACGCTACTTTACTTCGCTTCACTACCGAGCCGTAGATGGGGTCGAATACGTTCTTGTAGTTGATGGTCCAGACGGCGCTGCAGACGATGGCCTTGGATAACAGCTCCTCGACGTCGTCCGTTATCAGCGTGTTCTCTCAAAAACCCAAGCCGGAGCTGTCGAATTTGGACAGAAACGTTAAAGAAGACAAGGGTGATGGGAGTAAAAACTCCCCTGTGGTTATCGAGGAAGGTGGTCATTCACCAGCTGAACCATCGAGTGAGCAAGCACCAGCAGCCGATCGGTCTCTAGTATGTGAAACCATGACACCTTGCTATAGACCCGACAAGGAGCAGCACAGGCTTCAAGTTATTGAAAGCGACCTGAAAACACTCGAACCCAAAGTGTGGCTGAATGACACTGTCATCTCCTACTTTATTCGTGAGTTTATCGAGGCTCACAAGTCTACCTACAACTTCGATGGTCAGTTTTTCGGGACCATTCTCATGAATTACAAGGCGAACAAGCGAAACATGGGGAAACCCTACGTGGCGTCCTGTGGGATTACTGCGAATTTCCCCTACGAGACGTACCCGACAATCTTGGTACCTGTGTGCATGGACGTCCATTGGAGTTTCGTCGTGACTCAGAACCCCGTTCTCAAGATTAAGGATCTGGCGCTGGTTATACTGCATGTTGATTCCATGCAGTATCACAACACTGACCGAATCCACCGAATTCTGGGTGGATACTTCCGTAAGGAAGCATTGGAAAAGTTCCAGGTAAAGAAGATCACATACAAGGTTAAAGCCCACAAGACCAAGCCACACCAGGACAACACATACGACTGTGGCATCTTTATGCTATACTTCATGCGCGAAGTCAACAGAGCGATCATGCGTGCAAAAGGTAACATCATTCTACCGCTATCCATTGCTAACATTTGTGCGCTCCCAAAACAAACCCGGGACCACTTCAACTGCGATTTGGAGCGAATGGAGTTCTTCAGGCTCTTCCGCAACGACCAAGCAGTGCAGTCAGAGATAGCTAATCGCTAAGCACGACTAGGCAGGTAGATTCGAGCGACACTCCGTGTATATAAACAAAATACATGTCTACATGTCCATTCGCTTGCATACTCACATACACATACAGCCGTACAACACCCACAGACCTGAATGCCTCCACCCGATGACAAAAAGAAGATGGAGTCGAACCAGCAACCTCAGGGCAAAGCCCAGCGCTCTCTCACTGAGCTACGTGGTCGACAGGGGGAGGGGCAGCAGCCGGACGCGCACGCGGGCTGAGACGGCAGTGAGTCCAGGCTTGAGGTCCGGGCAGTAGGTTAGAAAAAATGAAGACTGATAGGGCGACTGCTTTGTCGGCGAGGCGACTCGACCTACGACAATCCAAATCAGGGCTCGAGGTCGATCTCCTGGTGGATTTGAGCATAACGAGGTCGATCAACGGTAAATCGATCCCTTTTGCGTTTTCAAAAGCGCAATTCGAGGTCGATCGAAGTAAATCGAGGTCGTCCATGCTACCGCCTTTGTTTTGTGCCCTGATTTGTGGGCCGGCCTTCCTCGATCTAGGCCATAAAACGGGGCGACATTTTATCTGCAAAGCACAATATATCTCCATAAGTGTCGGTCAAAAATGTGGTGTCCCAAATTAAGTAATTTTTCGGAAAGATCGCTCCCTTTTTGGGGTCTACACTGCCTACGGTAATAAGTCTGACCTAGACTATTTTTGATTGAATGGTTCATTGCTCTTAGACAATAAATAGTCTGACCTAGACTATATTTTTGCTAAGACTATTTATGAAGCAACACACACAAAAGAGTCTTACTCGGAGTTTTCATCGACCGGCTTACCTTCGAAGTGCTCGCGGTGTTTCGCGATAATATCTTGAAGATGCGGGTAGAGCTGGCCAACCGACCAGGCACAGGTCGATACTCAAGAGTATTTCAAGGCGAAGGGGTTTAATTCCCGGCTGATCACCGCTGCAAGAACATCCTTCTTGCTCAAGAAGAACCCGAGTTCGAAAAATGGCTTGGCTACGTCAGGTATTGGAACAAGATGAGCGATAAACCATTTTGGTACATCGATTCCAAGTGAAAGTCCACATCGAATCATCGCCTTGCGCGCATAGGACATGCCGTTTTTGTCCTTTTGAAGGTTGACAGCTTTCACTGCCTCTGTAGCAAGCTGGATTTTGTAGCTTCCCAGCCCATGAGCCGTAACCCAGTCGTGGTGATTAGAGCCTTGCACCCTCACCCGCATGGCACAGGAGAGACTAATTTTGAAGTTGATGTGGTCAGACTAATTATGAATTCTACATTTTGACCAGTACAATATATAGTCTGACCACGACTATTTTCGAACATAGACTATTTTCGAACATAACTATTTCCGCACACAGACTAATTACCGGTAGCAAACAATTGCAATCTCACTTAATTTGGGGCACCATATTTTTGACCGACAGTTTTAGAACATTGACCTACAGCTTAAGAGCACTATGTTCTAAAAAAAGGGTACAGTTGTCTCGTCCATTTTAGGCGGCTACTGTACCACAATCTCTTTTCGTCAAGATGCCGTCGTCGGCGGAGGCGGTGAAGGCTGTGAAGCCACGCTCGAAGCTGCAGTGGCTTAAACGCCTCACAGCCGATCTGGACGACGATGAAGACTCGTCCGACACAACTCCCCAGCCCACTCCACAGAAGCCGCCAAGGACGCAGGAAAAGAATCCTCCGCTAAAGGAGCCGGGCTTAGAGGACGAGAAGACACTCCGAGTGGAGCCACCTCAGCTGCCACGGAAGGTGGTGGAGGAGGAGAAGGGCACGGTGAGAAGAGGACTACAACGCAAGCTCGCCGAGAAGAAGGCAAAGCAGAAGCGTCGCCGAGGAGAGGAGGAAGAGGAGGACAACGCTGAGGACCTGGTCAAACTCCCTCACACGAAAGTCAAGGGCGTCAAGCGACGGCGTGTCACCGTGGCGGGCCCTTCACGGGGTGCTGGTGCTGCGAGAAAAAGGAATGGCGTTTCTGCGGTGGTTAGTAAAGATGCAGGCGAGGACAAGAAGCGACAGCGTGGACGACGGCGACTAGACGAGGAGGTGGAGAGCGAGAAGATGGTGGCCGAGAAGAGGAAGGACGAGGAGGTGGTGGATGAGAAGGACGAAAAGGTGAAGATTGACAAATTTGCGATCGAGAAGCTGAAAGACGAAGAGGTGAAGGACGAGAAGCTGGACGACGAGAGGCTGGGCGTCGAAAAGCTGGAGGTCTTTCAGGTGAAGAATGAGGAGGCTGTGAATGGAAAGCTGAAGGACGATAAGATGAAAGAGGAGAAGGCTGTGAACGAGAAGCTGAAGGACGAAGACGTGGAGGAAGAGAAGGTGGTCGACGAGAAGCTGAAGGACTTAAAGATGGCGGTGGACGAGAAGTCGAATAACGAGAAGGTGACGCACGACGTGACGGACGAACAGCTGAAGGATGAGAACGAGGCCAGGGAAGAGAATCATGATGAAGCTGTAGGCGCTGCCGGGTGCAAGGATATCGTTTCAGCTGATGGGGCAGAAGGAGACAAGCCTGAATCAAGCCTGCCTCCGCTGTCACGTTCTTGCGCTGGTGATCTTAAAGGGAAAAAAGGCGAAAGTCAGAACACGATTTCGGACAGCAGAGACGTTGATGACAAAAGCAAGGTCGACGAGACAACGAAGCACAGTATGCTGTTGGATATGATGCCAATTCCGAGGAAGTCACCGTCGAAAAAGCTAAAAGCTCCACCAAGTGCCGATTTTGTAATCCCGAAACGATCTGTCAAGACTAGTGTTGGAAGAATGGAGAGGGCTTCGTGCCCCAATCCAACGAGGGCGAGCCATCTTGGTAACAGCAAGGATTTGGGTAGAGCAATCCCGGTATCCATTAAGCCAGCACCCTCGCCGTCGCCTGAGCCGAGTCCGACGTTTTCCCGCCGACCTCCTGTGCAGATTCAACGGAAACGAACGAAAAATCCCGTGCCACTGAAGAAGTCGACCATTTCATCGCAGGACCGAGCACTGATGCGTCTAGCCCGAAAGCGGAATTCTGTTTTATCGGCTGCTGCGGAGCTAGCAGCTCAGGGCCCCTCGGGCACGGCACGCTCTAAGAACAGTCCAGTCCGAATGACGGGATACGAAGTCTTTGACGAGGATGGCAAAGCTTTGCCGGATCTGATTCCTCGCTTGAGCTGTCCAACCAAGCGGGAAATGGCGTCGAATCGGCATGCCTACCCGGCAGTATTTTTTGGAGTGTCTCTCCCTGCCCCCAAGGCGAAAGATGACTCCAGTCTCAGACCTGGTGATAGCGGTGGGATCAAGCGCGTGGGGCGAACGATGAGCTGCTACGAAGAGCTGCGGTTCAAACGACCTGAAGACAGAGAATTTTACCAGCAGCGTATGTATGGCACAACTTTCGTGCCTCAGCGTCTGCGTGGCTGGACAACGCTAATTGTGCGCAGTGCACGCTTTGAGCGCAAATCTACAGGCATTCGCTTCAATCAAGATCGAGATCGGGATGAGTTTGCGGCTGCGCTAAGCAAGCGTTACACGTTTAACAGGTCGGTTCCGCGCTGCGATATCCCGCGTGAAAACTGGCAGAAGCTTATGCGGAATCAGCCTGGCACCGTGTACTTGCATTATTGCAATCGCGAGGACGCTGAGCAAGCATCGCTTTTGTTTCGTGATGACCAAGGAAATCCCTTGGAGCTCCGACTTGAATACAAAGCAGGTGTTGTAATAACACGCAGTTCTTCCCCAGCGACCAGAATGGAGTCTCAGGGTTCGTATCGGCGATCAGGATCTGCTGAGCAATGCGCACCAGAGTCATCTCCAGTCTCGTCGCAGGGCGGAAGTGCGCGTAGCACACCATCTTGGCGACGAGAACGCCAGCGGACACCACAAGGTGATTATCGAAGTTCGAGGTATGGTCGAGGTGCCCCATCGCAATGGTCTGGGAAAGAGGGTCGCTACGGCCCTTCCATGAGTGGGAACAATCGGCCAAGTCCTTCAGTGGAGCGTAGATCAAGATCGAGATCGAAATCATTCCATGGTCATCAATATGGTTCGGGGGGTGAGGAACCCGGTGCTGGGGCCATCAAAGTGCTAGATGCCCCTGAGGGAGACAAGTCGCAGCCATCGAGCGCGAATCCGCTGGATGAACGGGTGATAAAGGACCATGAAACCACAGTTGCAGAAACGAAAGTCGGTGGTATTGACTCCATACGGGGGGATGCAGACACTGCCGCGCTGAAGCGAACTGCCGTGCCGACGACGACGCGTGGCCAGAAGGCTTTAGAAAGCGGTACGGGCCAGGAAGAAGGTGAAATTGGAAGTAGCGCCGCTGACACGGTCACCACGGACAAAGGTGATGAAGGGGAAGGAATGGAGCACAATAGGTCCCCACCACGGCGGCAGCACCAGCGCAATCTGCAAGCAACGCAGCAGCAACGAGAGCACGAGCGTTCAAGGGGAAACCGTGGCTTCGATAGAAGACGTTCGAGATCGCGTTCACGCCCGAGGGGATCCCGTGGTGAGAACTGGGATCGTGGCAATAGCGGTCGCAGGGGACGCATGCATCCGGACGAAATGGATCGCTACGGTGGGCCTGGCTATCAGAGTGAACACCATGACCACCGCGTGCGACCTCACTAGCTACGTCGACTATTTCTGCTGCATGCAAGCCCGCGTTCAATGACAGCTGACTTGATCATGTCGAGTTGTGGAAACTCTCTAGTGTATGAACTCGAACTGGATGAGCAACTACGGCCTTAGCGTGTACGCAATGATAACGCTTTTTGAATGAATGACCGATGCAATATGACCGGGGCTTCCAAGTTTGCAATGAGGTTTGTTGAAGCTTTCACGGCGATACATTCGCAAACGCACTGGTGTATTACTACTACTCTAATTTGCTTGAGAGGCTTCACTCAGTGTGATCTCCACGGAGCGCGCTCCTGCTCACAGTGTGTGCGGCTGACAGGGGCGAAAAATGAGTCGCTGTCCCACGCGTACGGAGACGAAGGGTAAAGCTCTCCACCATTGTGACTCGCGGCAGCGTACAGACTGCCTGTCGGCCCAAAATCCAAGCACTCATTCAGCATTCGCAGCTCGAGCAGTTTCTCCATGGACCGGTTGTCTTGGCGCTCCAACACGGGCGCAACCGGGAGGATGATATCGTGCAGCTCGTCGACGGAGAAATTGAACGTCTGCTCCGACGACGTGCTGGTAGGTGTCCCGCTGTAATCCTCGCCGGCCTTCAAGAACCCGACGGGGTCTGTCACCCATCGCGGCGCACACTTGGCTGGAACAGAGCTTGCTGCGTCCGCGGCCTTGCTGCTCTGGGGGCTGTTGCGGCTGTCGACCTCGCGCTTGGTCAACTTGGCAGCAGCGGAGTTCACGCTGTCGCCCGTTCGCATCAGCTCCGTGAACGTCCTCTTGCGCCGAGCGTTCGAAGACGCGCCGACTGCCGCAGCTCGCACGCCGTTGGCAGGCGGCCGGCGGCTGATGAAGTCGGCCAGTTGCTGCGGGTGGCAGCGCACGAGGTGGTGGTGGCTGAAGGTACACACGCTGGACTGCGTCTTGGTCCACTTGCGGAAGCCGAAGTTGTTGAGCTGGCGCTGGAAGGATGCGAACTTGCCGTGCTTGAAGTACTTGGGCAGCACGGCGATCTCGAGGCGCTTGGTGTCGAAGATCTGGAAATACGTACCATCCTTGGACCACGTCAAGATCGACTGGTCCTCGTAGTGGAGGATGTCGTAGAGGCTGCGGAGGAACTTGGGCACGCGCATCGCGCGGAGCGAGCTCGACTTGGAGACGGCGACGGGGCCCAGGCCGCGCTCGGGGTGGAGACCAAGCGGAGGTTGCTGCTGCATGGGGGGCATGCGGACTCGGTGCATCATGGTGGGGGCGTTGCGATCGGAGCGGGGGGCTAGAGGGTAGAGCGAGCTAGCCAGAGATAGCTGCCCGGACGAGATCCAATTGGGAAGTGAGGTCGCGCCCGCCCGCCCCTGCTTGCATACCGCCGTTCCGCTTTCAGTGGGGCCTACTGTATCGGCTCTCGACGCCACCACCAGAAGCGCCGACGTGCCCCAAGCATACTGCACACAGAGCCACGTACGCCGACGTTCCATGTTGCACGTTGCTTCGCGCGGCTGGGTTCAGCGTCGCGAGCCCCGCTGGACGGTGCAGTTCCCCCGGTTCAGCTGGGGCGCCTCTGCTCGTATCGCGCTCGTCGCGGGGGCCGCAAGCTTCGGGCCGGACATTCTGGCGCACGTCGCGCATTTGGGCTGTCCCTCCTGGCCAGCGCTGACCAGCAAATCCTCCAGCTGGCCAACTTCAACGCTGCTTGGGCGCCGATGGCGGTGCCACCGCTCAAGTCTCCGTTGGCAAAATCCAGCCCTACCAAGTCGCTCGTGGCACCAGGTCCAGCTCCCAGTACAGTAGCAGCAACTCATGGGGAGGGGTCTTGCTTTAATGAAGGCCGCTGTTTGCAGCCTGCAGCGCAGGTGCAATGCCTGCTCACCAGAACCAGCACACGACTGGTATACAGACCGTGTTGCATTGCTGCAACTTGAGCGCGGCGGGCTGTAGCTGGCGGGGGCCAGCACCTTGACCGCCTCGCAGCTGAATGCGCTCCCGTGCCTCGGTCGCCGAGCTACTGAACCTAGCCGTCATGGTCCATGACTGCTTGCATGCACCAGCTCCGCCCTGTCATCTCGGCAAAGCTTCTTGTCGTGACGCGTTGCGCGTGAAGAATGTGTCTTCTACCGAGCGCGGGCTGGTGGGCCTGGACCCAACGCAGAAAATCCCGGCGGTGCTGCAAGGAGCCCCACCATTGCAAGGGTGCGGCGACAGCTGGGCGGACTCCGTGACAGGGCTCCGGCGCCGAGGGCTATTGGTAATGGCGCAGCATCCACACCGGCGTTGCGCCGCTGCTTCCGGTGCGGCAAGGCGAAGCTGATTTCACCTAGGATGGAGCGGTGTCGTGCGCGATTCGAACGGAGCTCAAGCTGCCCGCGGCGTGCAACCGGAGCGCGACGTCACCACCGCGCTGGAACTCGCTGACGACTAGCCGTAGCTCTACCATGTCGACGAAAAGCAAAGATCATATATTGCTAGAGCCGCTAACCACTGGCAACAACTACTGATCTCAACAGGACCAGCACCGAGTCCTCTTGACACCCTTTGGCCGCGAACGTTCCCCGCGGCGTCTAAATGATATCGAACACCTTCTTGAGCTTGATGACGAGCTGCCAGTCCTCCTTCTGCAGGTCTTCCCTGAAATTCTCCTTCAACGCGTCGATGCTCTGGCGGGTCAGGCGCGACACGAGCTTGTTCTTGTGGTCGAAGTGGCGGCCGTACATGACGCTGCCCTCGTTGTCTATCCGCACGGCCACGGACGCGCCCTTCTTGGCGCGGTCCACCTCCTTGTGCTCACGTTCAATCGAGCCCACCTTACCCACCAGGAAGCCGCCAGCAGACGGCACCACGAGCGGCGTACCCACCTTCAGGATGCCCTCTTCAACGTCCACGCCGAGAATAATCGGGTCCTTCTTATTGAACACGCAGTTGGGCAGGATCTTCAGCACGCACGGGAACACAGCAACCTCTGCGAACTCCTCGCGACGTGCCTGACGGAAGTTGTCCATGTACGCCGTGAACTGGTCGAACAGGTGGTAAATGATGTCAGCTGTGAAAATGCGCACGCCAAGGTCCGCGGCCAGCTCCGTGGCGTCGCTGTGAACCTTCACGTCGAACGCCAGAATGGTAGCGAACTCGGGCTGGTGCTCGAGCTGCACCGAGGCACGCATAACGTCCTTCTTGTGCACGGGTCCGATGTTCACGCACGAGACGGGAATAGGCGGGTCACACGTACGCAAGAACTCCAGAAGCGCCTCCAGCGCACCAAGAGTCGAAGCCTGCACCATGACACCGCGGCGGGTGGCTTTCACTGAGTCCAAGATGCCCGTAAGGTCGGACATGACCGAGTCCTTCAGCTCCTCGACGTCGTCATCGGGGCCAACCACGTAAATCTGCGTACCAGCAACCGCCTTTTCGAGACCCTGAGCGCAAATCTTGACACCCATAGCGGCCTTCATCTTCTGGTGGTGGAGGTACTCGCCCTTCACGCGGATTTCCTTCATGGGGTGCGGGGTCAGCAGGGACCGAATCGTGGTCACCACAGGTCCATCTAATGTACACACGACAATAGTCGAGCCTTCCTCAAGTGTACCATTCACCAGGATCGTATCAATTGTGGTACCGAGACCCTCGATAACCTTCACCTCAAGCACGGTACACTGCAGAATATCCACGAAAGCCAGCGACTTGGCCATGCGCTCCTGCGTCAAACGCGTCAGCATCATGAGCAGATCCGGCACACCCTCACCCGAGATAGCACTGGTGGGAATAAGCGAGACCGTGTGCGCCAGGTCCTTGTTGCGCCAGTAGACCTCGGCGTTCAGCTTCTGCTCGGCAAACTCAACAATAATGGACTTCATGCGGTCCTCAAACTCGCGAATGACGTGCTCGTTCTGGTGCTTGAGCGCCTCCTGGACGGGCATGTCGGGCATCGTCTTCCATCCGTAGCAACGATCGATCTTGTTAAGAGCAACCACGAACGGAGCTTTCTTCTGGCGCAGCAGGCGCAGCGACTCCAACGTCTGCGGCTCCAGACCGTGCATGATATCAACCACCAGAATGGCGATATCACACAGCGACGAACCACGCGTACGCAGGTTCGTGAAAGACTCGTGACCAGGGGTATCAATCACAAGCAGACCGGGCAGGCGGTACTCGAGCTTCATCGTCTCGGCGAGGCGAGCGGTCTTCTGCTTGATGGCCTCCACGGGGAAGAAGGTCGCACCGATCTGCTGGGTAATACCACCAGCCTCCGCGTCCTGCACCTTGGTCTTACGGATGTTGTCAAGCAGCTTGGTCTTACCGGTATCGACGTGACCCATGATACAGCAAATAGGTGAACGGAGGTTGTCCAGGGACACGTTGGCGCGCGCAGCAGCCTCACGCTCGCGACGACGCTCAGCCGCCTCCTTCTTCTTGCGCTCCGCCTCCATCTTGGCCTTGGAACGCTGACGCTCCTCCTCCGCCTCCAGGCGCATCTGCTCAGCCTGCTCCTCCTGACGCTTCTTGAGCGCAATACCCTGCTGGCGCAGACGCTCCTGCTCCTTCTTCTGCTCGAGCAGCAGAAGGTCCTCGTCTCCGTCGCTGTCGCTCTCCTCGGCAGACGCCTCCTCCTTCACCTCCTGCAGCTTGTCCTCCAGCGAGGCCACGACGTCGCTGGTCTCCCAGTCCTCGTCATCCCACGCGTCGGGGGCCTCGTCCTCCTCCTGGGCCTGGGCGGCGTCCTCCGCCTGCTCCCAGTCGTCCACTTCCTCTTCCTCCTCCTGCTTCACGACCTTCTTCGGCTCGACCTTCTTGACCTCTTCCTTCTTGGGCTCCTCCTCCTTCTTGTTGTTGCTCTTCTTGTTCTTCTTCTTGTTGTCCGAGTACACGACCTTCTTCTTCTCGCCAGCAGCGGTGGGCACGATTCCGGCCTGCTGCATGGCCTCGAGGGCCGCCTGGGCCTTGGCCGCCTTCTGCTTCTGGGCCTTGGTCATGTACGTGCCCTCCTTCTTCTGGCGCTCGATCTTGGCGGCGCGGGCCTCCTTCTTCTTGCGGCGGATCTCCTCCTCGCGCTCGAGCTCCGCGAGGCGCTTGGCCTCCTCCTCCTGGGCGATGCGCTCCTGCTCCAGACGCTCCTGCTCGAGGCGCTCCTGCTCGGCCTTGAGGGCGGCCTGGCGCTCCATCAGCGCCTTGGCCGCCGCCGACATGGGCTTCTTCTCGTCGTCCTTCTTGGCGTCGGCATTGGGTTTCTTCTTGCCCTTTTTCTTCTTCTTTTTGTCGTCCTTCTTCTCGCCTCCAGCGGCGGGGGCCACGCCCAGAGACGCCAGGTACGCGGCGGCGGCGGCGTCCACGTCCGACGGCTTGTCCTCCGTCTTGTCGTCGCTCGCCTCCTCCTGCTGCTGCTCCTGCTGCGGCTTGGCGCCCTCGTTGGGCGCGAACTCGTTCAGCAGGTCATCGAGGTCGTCCGAGGCGGAGGCCGCGGCCTTTTTGGCGTTCTTCTTCCCCTTTTTCGGCGCCATCTTGTTGGCTCGGTCGTCTTCAGTGTGATGTGTGCCGGAGGATTCTGGTTCTGGGCTCGTCAATCAATGGCTCACACGATTCTACCCGACCATACTGGGGCCAAGACAAAAGCCGATCCGACAAAACCACCTGGTTTTGTTACGAAGCGCAGCTATCAAGGCATTCGATCATAATTTTCACCTGGTTTTGTTACGGCATTCGACCAGGACGATGATAATGTCTTGGGTGGGACATACGAATCTGTTGTAGCTGGTGCTACACTGTGTAGCCGTTGCTGGGGTCTAGCCCAGCAACACCAACACTCTGCAGAAGATGAACAGCTGCAGCAAGTAAGGACGGTTGCTCAGCTGATGAAGTATGGACTGTTATGCAGACGCAGCAAGTACGGACGGTTTGTGCCACCAGAGTGGTCACCTCCAAGAGCATGCATAGGACAAGAGCAGCTAGTGCGAACTAAGGAACTGCTCAATACATATCACTTCTACATTTCCTTTGGAAGCGACACAACAGAATCACTGGGTGGGATAATATATTTTGAGGTTCGGCAAGCTACTAGCCCAGGTTGTGCAAAACAGGTATTATTCAGGTCTGGCGACAGGTATTGTCCAGGGATAATTTATCCCGTTTTTTATTACCGTCATTTCAGCTTTTGCCTCTCAGTCACCAATTCGAGGGGGCCAGCTCCAGCCACGTGGCATTCGACGTGCGGCGGCTGCTCGGCCCTGGAGACCCCAGCATCATGGCGCGCACCCCCAAGACGGCCCATATCAAGGCGCAGATGGCCGAGCGGGCGCGGCAGGAGGAGGAGGCACGCAGGAAGGTGACCAGCGCGCGCACCAGATCGCAGCGATCACAGGCGCTTCAGGATGTCCGGCTACGCAGTTCGGCCCTCATGCGACTGCAGAAGGCGACTCATCCACTGGCGATGAAGAGGAGAAAGCGGCCGAAGAGAAAGGAGATGTCGCAGAAGAAGAGGAAGAAGAAGATGATGAAGAGGAAGAAGACGCCGAAGATGCAGACGAAGAGGAAGAAGATGCAGACGAAGAGGGAGACGGAGATGAAGAGGTTGAAGAAGATGAAGAAGAGGGCGCGCAGAAGAAGAAAAAGAAGAAAGGAGCTACCAAGGGCGGGCAGCGCCAAGGGAAGAAGCGCACCGTTTCCGACGTTGAAGACGAGGACCTGGTGCACGTTCTAGCGTTCAAGGCCCAGCATGACTCGTGGTCCCTGCTTGATTTCAGCCTACAGGAGTACATGGATGCGACGCGACAGAAGATCGTCATCGCAGAGGTCATCAACGTGGCTCGCCGAACGCAGACTTGCGTAAGCAGGTCCGCTTCCGTGGGCTTCCTGACACAGAAATTCCTCTCGTGCCCGCCCTATCAGCGGAAGTACATCTGCACACACGGCTGGAAGGAGCGTGAGAGATCGACGGGGAAGAGGACGTCGCACAAGCTCCGCCGCACTGAGTGTCCGTTCCAGATGCTTGCACAAGTCGTCCTTCGCCGAGATGGAAAGTTGGGCATCGTCATGAAGCGAGAAGTTTACAGCCACAACCACCCCATTTCCGACGACATCTACAGGTCTTACCCAGGTAACTCGCCAGGTTCCTGCCGAGTCTCCGCTCATGCCCGGAATCGAGCTCCTGGTCGACGCCCAAGCCAGCACTTCCAGCGTGTACAAGTACATCAGGGAGAACTCGAACCACCGCGTCTCGATGGACGACGTGCGAAGCATGATCAGGCGAATGAAGACGCAAGGCAAGTGGTTATGCTGCTGTTCTATATTATATGTGTGCTGATGCTTATACTACTTATGACTGCAGGCGTGGAACTGTCCGATGACGACGCGGTTGCGGAGATGATCCTGAACTTCAATGGAGAGTCGCCCGCTAATGTAGCTTCCGTTCACGAAAGCCAACGAGGAGATACTGATGTTATCTCGTTTACCAGTGGACACATGCGCGCGATGGTAGACAACTTTCCCGAGGTTCTGCAGATAGACTGCACGCATCAGACAAATCAGTGAGTCCCCCAACTTTGTTATGCATATCATCCAGGTTTACACCAGGTATTAACCATGTTTTCATATCAATTGTGGATAGATACAACTACCAGCTTTTCACGATTGTAGCTATGGATCAATATGGCCAAGGGCAACCGGTGCAGTACTCCCTCATTGAAACGAATGGCGATTAGCACATGTCAAAGTGCCTCGACCACTTCAAGCGTGCAAATGAGCACTGACGGTTCGTGCGGATAGTCATCGTCGACAAGGACATGCGCGAGATCGATGTGATTCGCAAGAAATTTCCGGCGGCGCGGATTCTTCTCTGCCATTTTCATGTCATCAAGTGGCTTCATGAAACCATCAAGAAATCGCAGACCTATGGAGCCTACGAAGCAGAAGTTTTGACGCAGATGAAGCACACCATCACGAACATGACATACTCCAGAACTGAGGAAGACTATGTGCGGCATCGGGATGAGTTCAAGAGTCTGGCCTCGCGGAATGGTCGTGTGGAGCTATGGGAGTATTTCGACAAGAACTGGAATGCGTGCCGAGAGATGTGTGTGGTGGCTTACCGTGTCGATTTGCCACACTTCGGCAATCACACGAATAATCGTGTCGAGAGCCTATTCGGTAAGCTGAAGCGAAAGCTGAAAGGCCATCTAACTATGCGCGCTAGTCTGGAGGTGCTTCTGGAATATCAGCGCCGCAAAGAAGAAGCCTATCGGTCCAAGGTCGGGATGCCGGGTACCCTGAGAGACGCCTCGTACCCTGAGGAGTTGAACGTCGCTCTGGGCATGACCACGAGGTGGGTAGCAGCTGACAATTTGACATTGCTACGAACCCCGGGGTTGTCGATACCTACGCTTTCAAGGACAATGGTGCTACGATCACCGTACAAAGCGAAGAGAACGAGTATCTCCTCGAGAAGGAAGGCTGGGTGTGCGACTGCGAGTTTTCGCAGACTATGAAGCTTCCGTGCAGACATGCAATGGTCTACAGAAAAGTGTGTGGAAGCCCCTTCATCATCCCATTCTCTTCCATTTCGCCCAGGTATGTCCAGTTTTACTATGAGCATTGACCAGGTGTTATCCAGGTATCTCGTTTTATCCATGTATTGACCAAGTTTTAACCATTTTTGTTATTGATGTGCATGAATAGGTGGTTTGGACAGAATCGCATCTCGCAACAGGAGTTGATGGAGGTGGAAAATCCGTTCGTGGCTAAGCTCTACAAAGGGCATCCAGCTGCGAGCGCTGGCAGTTTGAGTGAAGCCGAGAAGTATCGGCGTTCGCAGCAGACGTTTGGTCGAATCAGCAGCGAGCTTGTCCGATGCGATGACACTGTGTTCGAGTCTGCGATGAAGCAGATTGATAAGTGGTGGTACGACTTACGTCAAGGGAAGTTTCCGCTGATGCAAGCTGATGCAGACTTCGTCGATGATTCGGGCCCCGATCGGGTTGGCGCTAGTGGTAGCGGGGGCAACAGTATTAGCAGTGATAGCCACGGAGGCGGTGGAGGTAGCCCAAGAACGGGGGGTACGAATGCTCGTCCTAGTGCTTCTGGTGGAGAGGATGCAGCACACGAAAAAGGACCAGATGATGACGAAGACGAACCCCCGACACAAGTGACAGCCTCCGCCCAGGAATCGGTGCAGCCAGGCAAAGGCTCAAAGGTTCGACTGACAAACAAGATGCGTGTCGGTCGACCACGGTTGAAACGTGCTCAGATGAGAGAGAAGGCAGCATTGGCGCTGAAAGAATACAACAATGGAATGAAACTCAGAGCTCTACTACGAGATAAGGACGTGACGGAAGTGGCAGCAACGCTGGAATTGATTAAGCCAGGTGTCCGCGAGCTCAGCTCGTTTTTGACTACGCATGAAACAAAGAAGAAAGGTGACGGAAAATCAATCCAGTGGATGTCGGACACGGAATATATTTGCGAGGTTGTGCACTTCCGACTACCGGAGTCCGTCGTTGAAGACGCTCTAGCTAAACTGAGAGGTGGTTTGGCAAAAGGGGAGGAGATTGAGCTGGACTGTGATGGAGGGGTGACACGCGAAACGGAAGGTTACGTGGCCGCCATTGAGAAAGTTGGCAGATTTACCTGAGTGCAGTTAGAAGCGATGCAGTCGCTGTGGAATTGGCAGGCTACATGCCGGAATGCGGTACTGTGTTGCACATGGCTAAGCCAAGACGTGAAAGGTATCGTAGCGGACCCCGCCCCCCCCTGGGCTGTTACTTGGCAAAGTACTCGAGTGCTGGTCATACACACCGCTACATGGCTTTGGCTTCGACCTGACCTACGCAGACCTTTTCTGCTTCAGAGACTCCGCTTGGCTGAACGACAACGCCTTGCGGGCGTTTACCGTGTTTCTGTCTACTTACAAGAACAACGTGACGGTGGTGGTCCCTCCTCGTAAGAAGGGTAAGATGGGGAAGCACATACTCGCACCAACGTCGCTGGACGAGGTTGCTAGTGGTATTGAGGCGCATGTTTTTGTATTTATGCCGGTCAATTTTGGTTGAGTTCATTGGGGATGCATCGTAGTGGACCGTGAAGCGCGGCTAGTGAAGACGGATGACAGCATGGGTGGGAAGAGAAACAAGAAACGGCTAAAGAAGATGGCGAGCGAGCTCCTTGCAGGCCCCCTTGAGGATGAAGCTTACAGCGACATCGAAGTGACGGAGCCGAAGCAGACAGATAGCGATAGCTGCGGGGTGTTTGAGTGCCGTCTATTGTGGACGTGCGTTGACAGCGAAGTGCCAAGTGATGTGTCTCCCAGTGGCGTCACCAAGCTGCGTTGGGCAATGCTGCACAAGATCACCACGATGAAGCGTAGCTAGACAGTGAGCAGCAGCGAGAAGTGCATCTTATGGATAATACATGGACAACTTTTGTTTGCAACCTGTACGAGTAGATGGGTACACAATGATTGTTTTGAAGCCATTATAATGTCGTGTGGTTCCGATCGATACCCATCGACGCCACTTCGACTTTTTTCCGAGTAGTGCACACATGAGTTTTCCAGGTTTTCATACTTGCAAACTACCTGGACACTGAAACAAGAAATGAATGGCTAGAATGCATCCGACACAGCCTGTAGGCCGTCATTTTCACTTTTCCTCAAGTACTACGCACATGAGTTTTCCAGGTTTTTAACCTGGACATTAACTGTTCTGGTAATTTAACCATCCTTGTTTAAATTATATTCATCTGATAACGCTCATAATTCATATACCTGGATATAACCTGGGGCATCACCTGCAGAATCAGAAATCTGAGTATTTTTCTAACCTGGGAAACATGGGCGCGTAGGCTGTCCTTTTTTATTTACATGTATTGTGCTTTGCAGACTTTTGGCACTTCGGACTGTAACTTGTACGACTTATCGAGCATGACTTATTGATAAATCGTACTCGAGTACGAAGTCGTGGATGGTCAATCAGCACTATTACTAATAAGTAGTGCGCATACGCCATCTCCCGCATGATTTAGCACATCCAGCACCTTTTGCACTTTTAGAAAGTGCCATTTCCGAACCAAACCGGGTTCGAGACACGACTTAGCAACTCGCATTCAAGGCCACTATGGTTTACCGCTAAGTGTACGAACACTAAGTGGATGCAAAGCACAATACTAGGATCGCACACTGCTGTCTACAGGGCCGCTCGCTTGATATGGGTCGTGATGTTTTGATGAACGTTTACAGATACAGTATTGCCCCACTTGTGTTATTCACTAAACTTCGTCTTCAATATATTTAATAAAGTAAAAGGGATTGTAGTTTTCATCAAGCGCACGTACAGTTGGCGTTTGTAGTAGGTGGCAGCTTTCTTGGTCGACGTCTTTGGCAAAGACTCTTTGCTCAATGAAGCCACCCAGTTTCGCCGGTTGTGCCTTGTCGATCGTTCAGATTGCTCGTAGATGATCCTCTTTCCGCACAAACTGATTGTCACGTGGTGTTTGAGGTGTAAACCACTCACTACCAATAGGAACCGGAGAGCATGCCAAGCAAGGTATCATTAAACATGGTATCGACTTGACATGGTGTTCCGCTGAGTTTCGACTCGTCGATCTTAATATTTAAAGGGTTAACGCGAGACTCTGATTTGTTTAACACAATGATATAAAACATGATCATGGTTATTTTTAATCTATTGGAAGGGTGGGGGCGTCGGCCTGTATAGTACAGGTTGTAGTGAAGGCTCCACTGCAGTGTGTTCATTTACAATACAACTCATCAGAGCAACGCGATTGAGATCCTCCAACACTAGTCATTGGGCGAAAGCCCCATGATGGCGAGCTTACTTGCAGTGTTTCCGGCGTCCTTGCCGCTCAAATTTTTACATGAGGGCATCTTAGCAAAATGCACGTATATGTTGGTGTGCTGATGAGGCATTCATCTCACTTATACTAAGTATCACATTCTGCTATTTGCTTCCACAGTTTGGCAAAGATCCTGCTACGGTTTCCGAGCTTCGTTTCCTTTGGTAAGTAGACCTCTAGTATTTAATACTCTGGTATGTGATATTACAGGTACATATGGTTGTTCCTCGAGTGAGTGAGTTTCATGACCATCATTATGTTCGATGTGTATTGTCAATAATTTGGCAGGTACGGCTGCCGCGGAATGCGCTGTCATGTATGAGAGCTTCATTGGCGTGCCAAATGCACAGAGCAGAGGGAGGTCGAGCTAGCACGAATTATATTGGCGCGAAGCTTGAAGGCAGTGACGAAAGTAACGGGAGGAGGGTGGTGGCAGTGGTTATTGTAGCGGCGACGGAATGAGTGGTTCTAGTAGTTCTAGCCCAGTTGTTACTGCGCTAGATAAGATAAAAGCACCGAAAAATACATGTACCAACGACATAACCATCAATGGACCACTATTTACTATAGAACCGAGCCTGAAGCCATTCTCTTAAGGACATTTTGAAAACTCCATTTAGGTACTTTGGATTGTTTATGTACCAAGTGCCTAGTTTGTTGATGCCTGTGTATTGAGCATTCAGTTTTGTCGTGAAATGATTGCGTCGGTTTAACGCAAACATAAATCTATTACGGTGCTATCATTTCAAATTTGGTAGGGTTTTGGGATTCACCCAACAACTCTGGATTATTGCCGCTTGCAAATACTTTGCCCTCTAAAATAGACCTCTAAAATAGACCACGCCTGTCTCTTAATATGAGTGGACACGAGATAGGCGAGGGCTGATTTAGCTTTATGCTTTGCTGGGGGCCGCTTTTAGGCCCAGAAACTCGGTTTGGCCCGTCCAGAATGGCATTTCTGCGTTTTCAAGTCGTAGAAAAGCGCCTTGGTCGAGAAAACAGAGCCCCAAGCTCGGATCTTAGATCCCATAAGAACAGCAGTGTACTTAAATCAAGATACGTTTCCAGGCCTCAGCGAGTAGTTTAATACTTTATTCTCGGCCTCTTGGGTGAGATGTTCATTTACCCCAAAACCCATTATCCCAGACAGACCCGCCGCGACCCTGCAGCGAGTGGCAATGAATAGCACTACACGTGCAACCAATGTTGGGGGGAAAACTCCAAGTTGAAGTGAACGTTGTGTGTGCATTAAAGTGTAGGCTAGCTACAGAGGCCTACCACAGAAATGGGATGATCGCCCGGCGGTTTACCGGGTACTCGTCGCGGAACTTGTCTTGGTACCAGCGATGGTTGCTCAAGGCCCGGGGCACGAGGTTCGTGGCGGTGTACACAGCGAACGACAAACCTGCAGGCGATTGGGACAGCAGTGTCCAGCCTGTCCATTCCAGCAACTCGCTCAGGTAGTTGGGCGACGACACGTACTCGAACAGTCCACCGTAGGGAATCTTGTAGCCCGACTCGCCAGGTTTGCGCAGATTGATCAGCACTTGGTCCGAGTAGATGTTCATCGACAGACCAAACACGAAGAGAGCGACTCCAGCGTAGAACGAAGGCCGTGCAAACGGGCTATCCCCGCTGTAGTCGCCATACTGGCTCAGGTACCGAGCGTTGATGTACGCGTTGATCACATTGTAGAAGTCCCCGGAAAGCATCACGGTCAGCGGCATGCGTTTGTCCTTGCTGGTACGAATCAGGAATGGGTAGATGTAGGAGCGGTAGACGTAGTGGCATCCCCACAAGCTTGCTGCGATGAGGGGGGTAGTCTCCGAGCGGTGCTCACCCCACAAGTACACGACGGCAAACCAAACGGCCGAGGGGCTCTCCATCAGGGCCCACCCGAGGCGCGTGTTCACCGTTGGCCCCCAACCGGGCCGAAGATGACGCCCGTAGGGTGCAGTGATGAAGGTCGTCGCTGCATACGTTACCACACCAAGCGCGAAGACCCCCTTGACCAGCCAGCCATGCAGCTCTTCCTCCGTCCTGATCCCGAGCAAGTCCATCGTGGCGTGAATGTCAAGTCAGAAGCGTATCCGACAGCAACCAATCAGCGCCTTGTGACAGACCCTATACAGTCTACCGGTCCACTCCATTTGGATAGCACCCTGCCTGCACATTTGGAGCAGGCTCCAACGTCACCACTGGGTGTCCTGATCTATTACTGTTTGCAACGGCATTCATCACTAGCCTGTTGTCAACGGTATCTTCCTCGTAGCTGTCGCTCTTGCTAACGCTACGCCACACCAACAGCTACCGAGCCTGGGGTCGTTGCGGCTGGACTTGGCCTTGGGGCGAACTTGGCAAGCCATCATTATTACGCAGGATTATTCGGGAAACGCACACCAGCAGCACACGACTTCATCCTCGAAGTAGCTCCCGGGAACTGCGTTGGCAAACACCTCGGCCGGGATCCGTTTTCAGGGTCATGGGGATGCTTTATTCAATTTGGGGCGCGTGTCGCGAGACGCCGTCATTCCACGTGTCGGCGGCACTTCAAACAATCGATCACTCGCTCTGTTGAACGTCGCGAACGCGCACACCCGTTAAATGCAATGTACCAAAACAACTATGCATAGTCTCGAGCCTGACGAGCAAGCTGAAAACGAGCATCAAGCACCCAGCCTGTTGGATGCGCCACGACTTCATCTTTATGCGTCCTTCATGTAGGTATCCATCTCGTTGTCCAGGTCTTCGGCGGTCTTGGACGGAGCAGACTCCTTGCCACGGCCGCTGCAGCGCGAATATAAAAAACATGTTTAGAACAACTTGTACAACGACAGCTACGAAGCAGTAATGACATACCCCTGGCTGCCCCTCTCGCCACGTCCGCGAGCGCGTCTGTTGCGACGGCCCTTCTGCTGGTCGTTGTCGTTGTTGCCACCACTGCGCAAAGTATTAAGCCACGATCAGACTCCAACATGATCAACGTGTACGCCACAGGTCGGTGCCTCACCCAAAGGAAACCTTGAACTTCACGTCCTTGTCGTCGCGCTCAAGTGCCGTGCCGAACAGTCCGTTGCGGACATTCCTGTCAGCGTCCAGCGAAATCTGCATCGGCTGGCCGTCCAGTGTGCGTCCTACGCAACGGAATCCAATGCGACGCGATCAGAAAGAGTAGAGAGGGTTAATGCACCGAAGTGACTCACCGTCGTATTGCTTGATGGCCTTGTCTGCGTCCGAGCGGCGGGCGAACCACACGCGAGCGATGCCCTTGGATCGGCCCGAGCGGTCGTACACAATCTCAGCCTTGGACACCTCGCCAACCGTGCCAAAGAGCTCGCGCACTTCTTCCTCCAGGATGTCGAACTTGAGGTTCTTCACCAGAATCTTCGTGCCGGGGCTGGCCGCGTCCTTACCACCGAGACGCGACAGGATGGAGGACGAGCCACCTGGACGTAGGTAGTTCATTGGGGACATTCATCAATTGACGCGTCAGTAAAGCCTTGCTCCCGCCACCGACCGAACGGAGAGATACGGCGCACCTTTCTTGCCGCCCTTGCTGGGCTTCTTGACGACCACGGAGCGCTTCTTGCCGCCGCGGTTGTTGCCGCTGTCGGGGGCGTCATCCAGGTCGACGTCCATGTCGTCGTCGTCATTGCCGCCGCGCTTTGGGACAGCAAGGGAGAAGCAGCAGCACACGTGTGAATTTCTGTCTGCACCAACGCATCGTAACGTCCGTCCCCGTTGCTACCAGCAAGGCGCCGTGCTCCCCGCAAAGGAGAGGCTCTGCAAGACCAGCGCAGAGACCGAAGAGGGAGTAGGTTGCCTTGTCCGTAGCGCAGGAAGACGGAGAGGGGGAGAAATAGACCGAGAGGCGGGAGCCCTTCAGGTCGACGCGACACTTACAGATCGCGAGTAGGGCTGGTTGCGGCTGCGGTTGCGCCGACGGCCGCCGCGGATGGGGCCGGCAGCCTCCTTGTCCTTGTTGGCCTTGGCCGGGCGCGACGCCGGGTTGGAGGCACGGGTCTTCTTCTGAGCGATCAGGTCGTCCAGGCTCATGTCGAGGGAGGCTAGGATCGACGACATCTTGGTCTCTGAGGGGGGATATTCACTGAGCGCAGAGCATGAGGAAGGCGGAAGTCAGCATAGTGAGCTAAATGTAGCAGGGAATAGAGCGCCGAGGCAGGCGTAGAAGCTGGCTGCAGTCGTACCTGAAGGTTTCTTCGTGGAGTGAGCCACGAATCGCTGGAAAAAAGCCCAGCGAGGGGGATTGTTGCGCCAACCTCGTACGACCTTCCGTCCACATTCCACACTGAGGCTGGTAGAAAAACAGAAACGGACAGAGCGCAATCTAAAGCCGCGAAGCGCCGAGTATCAGTTCAAGTTCGCCATGATGAGGACGCTGCTGGGCGCCGCGCTGTGCGGCCTGGCGGCCGCGACGTCGGCCGTGTCGGCCTCCACCCTGTTCCCCCACGTGCCGGTCTTCCTGTGGTCCCAGAGCTCGTACGTTTTATCCTCCTTCGCCCTGCTGCATTTGCCTGCCTCGAGCCGTGGATCTTACAGAGCTTCGCTCTTTGTTGCGCAGCATCTTCGCTGGACCCAACGCCTACCTGAGCTCCGAGATGGATGAGTCCGCTGTGGCATCGGCTGTCGAGCGCGTGCTGACGCGAGATGCTAGCGCTGACAAGGAGGTGCGTTTGCGTCTTGGCAACAGCATTCCCCTCTGTCCCCTCACTGATAACGCTCGTGTTGCTCCTCTCAGGGCGTGCTCAGCACCGAGCTCTCTTCGTCCCAGCAGTCCGAGGTGATGTGTTTGTTCCTGCTGCCGTCGCTTACGTCGGAGGATGTGTCCCAACTCGCGAGATCCGCAGGACAGGAGTCCTTCGTGCAGAACGCCGTGCAGAGCTCCAAGTCGTCGGTAGTGATCCCTCACACCACCCGCACCAAGCCTCTCCTCCCCGAGATGGCGAGTGCCCAGCCCCACATCGTGGCCTCTCAAGACCTGGATGTGTTTATTGCGTCTAGGGAGGGCAAGGCGCTGCTCTCCAACGGCAAGACGGAGCTGCTGGTCGTGCAGCTCCCGGAGACCCTGCCGCTGCCCGACGTGGATGCCGCGATCCAGGCGGCTTCAAGCAGCCTCAACGCCGCCACCGGGGGTAAGACAGACTTTGGTCTTACTGGTAACGACGCCAGCTCGCTGGACCTCCAGGACCCGCTGGCTCGTCGCCTTGCCGCGCAGACCAAGTCGAAGAAGTCGAACTCGTCTGCTGAGGCTGCGATTCTGTGCGAAGCGGGCTACCTCGTCGGGTACAGTGCGGCGGGCAAGGCCTTCTGCTTCTCGCACTACGTGAACATCACGCCCGACATCATGGCGGGCCTCCTCTTCGGGCTGCTGTTCATTTTTATGGCGTACATCGGTCTGGGCGTGCTCCACCAGATCCAGACGCCGCAGAGGTACCCGTCGCACGGAGCTCCGCGCGGCAAGGAGTTCTAGGCGCGTTGGCTGTGGACTTGAAAGTGAGCAGCATAGCCAGCAGAAGCGAAGGCAGGATGCATGCAAAATGAAAGTTTTATATTCCCCAACATCCATCTACTACGTATCCTGGTGCCAACGGGACTGTCACCGCGCGCTGTTCTGCAGCACGCGAATGTGCAGCGAGCAGCCTGTGCACGGCACCACGTCCACGCCGTCCTGCAGCTCCTCCTCCGTGATCTCGTACAGGTCTCCGCAGCGGCACTGGTGCGTGAAGAGCACCTCGTCCTCGTCTCCGCCCTCGCCCGGCAGGACCTCGCGCTGCATGTCTGCGAGCGGGACCTCGTCCGAGACCACGACCACCTCTTCTTCTCTCTTGCGCACCAGCTCGTCCTGCTGCAGCTTGGCGTCGTACTGCCGCCGCAGCTCGGCGCTCCGCAGCGTCTCGTAGGCCTCCTGCACGCGCAGGAACTGCTGCTCGTCCTCCGCGTTCAGGTCATTCGCGCGCTTGTCTGGGTGGTAGCGGCGCGCCGCCTGGTGGTACGCGCGCCGGACGTCGTCAGCGCTGCAGGTCGCGGCCAGGCCTAGCACCTCGTAGAAAGAAGAGGGCGCCGTCATGAGCACCACCAAGCAGCGCGATCAAGGTCCACCCTCGGCTGCCAACATTGGCGTGGCATCCAATCACCAGCGAGAAGTTGATTGGATGCCTTTTCCCGATGAGGCGGTGTTGTATAAACGAGCCAGATAGACTAGTTTAAAGTCGCTCTGAGGATCCGCCTCATACTTCTATGTATACTACTACAGTGTAGTACATGTGCGGGAATTTTGTTGTTGAAAGGCATGTTTGACCCCTTGCAGCATATATCGCGATGATGCCGGAGTGGGGTACTTAAGTCGATGTTATTAATAATAAGGAAGGTGATTGTGTGCGTGTGTCTGTGTGGGTGGGCGGGGGTGGGTCTGTCCATGCCTTCTGGATGCCCCCCCTGAATATCACGTGTGATGAGCAGCTAACCTGGTACAACTCGGAACTCCAGCTCTCGCTGGTGTCAAGAAAACCACTACTCTCTAAGCTGGTTTCGACCTGCTCGGAGCTGAGAGCAGCGGTCCATTGCTCAACTCGCGATGGGCTGGTCGAACTGGGAGTCCTCGTTGCCACAATATTAGTCTAGCTAATGTTTGCCTATGCAAGTTTTAGTAAAATTTTGATGAGGTAGTGAGGCGCAAAATCCTCAGTGCCTCAGCACGCTTCAAAGCCATAGGGCAAGTTCGAGGAACGTGACGCCCTACCCCGTGTTCTTCGCTCAAGTCGCAGTTGCAGTCCAATAGCCGACACCCCGCGTGCAGCAGTCGCCTCCGTCCGCCGCTGTCCTGCCAGCGGCCTCTTCCTCTCCGTCTGCAGACGCGTGCGATCCACCGTGTCGTGAAGCTGGCGCGTCTTCTCCTCGTGGCCGATGGCGCTGAAATGGTGCGTGCGTCAAGTCCCAATCCTCGGTCCTGCGTCTCTGGGTTGAGAGACGTGTCCTTCTCACTTGCGTCTCACCATGTTCTACCTGCAGAGCCTCTCTACGAACGGCGGGACTGATCGAGGTGCCTTTGGTTCGGTGGCCGCGCTCTCCGCGCACCCATTCCCGTTGCTGCCGCGTGATCGACCGCCGCCGCCGTCCTACTCCATCTCGCGCTCGCAGATCGTCGCTAGCTCTCCCGACGTCCATGGACTCTCGCGCAAGCGCAGCCACAGCGGCGAGTCGCTCTCGGCGCAGTCCGCCGGCACGCCGCCTCGCATCTCGTTCGCAGCGCCGCTTGTGTCGTTCGCTCCTCCGGCGTCGTTGGGAGGGACGTCCAGTGCCGTTCCGACTGCTTCAGGCCGACCAGCGGCAGTGTCGTCGTCGTCGTCGCCGTCTTTCAGGTGCCAGGTGCCAGTGCCGCCAAGCGCCAAGCGTCTGCGCCGCGAACCTCTGAGCCCCACGTCAGTAGGAGACGTCTCCGACACGAGGAAGTTGCCTCCTGCCAAGACAGCTGTAGCTGCGACTCCCGGAACTGCGCAGATGCAGTCGATGCTACGCGGATTGCAGCATCTATCGACCTGCGGCGCCAATGGCTGCTCAAACCCATTGTGTGTGTCCACGCGGGCTTTTGTAGACAAAGTGAAAGTTCATCGAGCGAGCATGGCGGGCAAAGCGACGCATGACGAGAACAAGTGCGGCGCGTGCAAGCTCTGGGGGGCCATCGTGAAGGCGCACGCCCCCACATGCTGCGCTGGTGCTACGTGCCGCGTGCCTGGGTGCTCGCCGCAAGAGTGATACTCGTGGGGAAACCAGCAGATCATCCTACTCAAGCACAAGCGACTAACTTAAACATGTATTCTTTTTTGTTCACTTCTGGGTGGTCATTCAGCACTATTCTCGTTGTGCGAGTGGGCAAGTCTAAATGTGGGGATTGGCAGCAGTTAAGCAGCAGCATTTCGTTCGCTTCCAGTGCGGAAACCCACACTCCGATTGCAACGGACTTGAGAGATAGCGGGACGACGTGGGCCCACGCAGCAAGTATGGTGCTCAAGTTTTGCAGTCCCCCCTGGAGCGATGAGCCTGCCGCTGGATCGCCTAGCAACCACGATTCAGAGGAGGGCCGCACTACTGCAGAGGGCCAGCGATCGGGTGCTGAGCGAGCGTGGGATGAACTGCTGACTGCCGCTTTTCGCGCTAAGCAAAGTGACGACTCGCATCGATGGGAGAAGGAGTTTAGTGTCTTCTTCGACGACAGCAAACCTGTGGGTCTGGGCTTCCAGCCTGCTGCAAAAAGCAACAAGTTTAGCCTCGTGCCCGCCGAAAGCTACACCTGTGTGGTTCGAGATGTGGCACCTGTGGGGCTTGCTGCAGATTACAATGCGCGGTGCCGAGCTGCAGGGGACTACTCACGCATCATCGTCGACCAACTGCGAGTGCGCGGAGTGAACGGGCAGGACGTCGCCAACGTAGCTTACGCTGATGTTCTTCAGATGTGGGTGCATTATCTGTAAGTATTCTGCTACAGTCATATTCTAATGCTGTTATTGCTGTTGCTAGGATGCGCGATGCAAAGCCAGCGTTGACCTTGACCCTGGCAGACATCAGCTCTGGAATAGTGAGCACTGGCCTCGAAGAGCGATCAAAAAGCTTGGGTAGCCTTGCTCCGTCGAAGCAACCTCGACGCAGAAGCAGTCTGTCGATGGGGCCGGGGAAGCCCAACTCGCGACGCAATAGCCGCGCCAGCCTGGAGATTAAAAGTGACTGTGTGCAGCTCCCCGATACAACCTACGCTGAAGCGGAAGGTTCGGACGAGTTGGTGAACAACCTCAAGACCGAGTATCTTGAAGTGAGCCAGCAGCTCAGCTCAGTCAGAGAGCAACTCTCTGCTCTGCAGCAAGAGCGTGAGGAGGCTGTGAAGCAAGAGCAGGACGTCGCAGCGCGCCAGCTTGAAACCTTACTGCAAGAAATCCGCAAAGTGCAGCGAGAGCGTGACGACATGGTTGCAGTAAACAAGCTGCTACTTAGGCACAAGCGAGCGTCGGCTGCAACGCAGGCTGAATTGGAAGCTGTGAAGACCGAGCAAGTGCAGCTGCAACGTCACCAAGAAGAGCTCGAGCAGACTCTGCGAGACTTGCAGGCTGAACTTGCAGAGCAGACTGCGGCCGCCGAAGAGAGTCGGGAACAAGTGAGTCAGATCCGACACGAGAAAGAGATGCTGGCGCTGCAGTGGCAAGAGATGCAAGAGGAACACCAAGACACACAGAAGCAAGTGGATGAATTGCACGACCGACTTGTTGACGCTCAGCGAGCACATCGCGCTGTTGAGGTTGTGCTCGCTGCACTTCGAACAGCACATGCCGCGAAGACCCAACAGATGCGCGAGCTCCAAGCTGCGCTAGAGATCGCCAACTCGCGCGCTGAGGTAGCTCCGCCTACCGAGGGAATTCGCCCCAGCCCAGATTCCCCTCCGTCCGCTGCACTCAGTCAGCAGAAGCCCACGCCACCGTCACAACCTGAGACGAAGGCGTCAGCTACATCCCTTCCATTACTGGAGCGTCTGAAGGACGGAACCCTGGATCTGAACGAGCATCGAGAGGAGTTGTTGGCGGAATTCTCGTGTCATGATCAGCAACTAAAGCAACTGCAGGAACAAGTCCGCGCGCTGGAGCTGGTGAATACCACAAGCAAGCAGTTGTTGGCATCGCTGCATGAGGAGCTTCGCGAGGCCCAGAACCGTGAGCGCAACATGCGCGGTGAGTTTAGCGCTGAGCTCGAAGTTGTCCGAAAAAAAGTGGGGGAGGAAGCCCAAGCCATGCAAAGTGATCTAAAGCGCCAGATCCGCGAGCTCGAGCAGCGTTGCGAGGACGAACGAGCGGAAAAAATCCGACTGCAGGTGGCAGTGGACGAATTGGAGAGTGCTAGTCGAGCACGTGCCACAGCTCAAGCCAAGGACCAAGAGTTTCTTGCGCAATTCAAGAAGCAGCTTGAAAACGGCATTGTGGTGACCAAGTTCGGAGCGCGTGGCGTGCCTCACCAACGTGTTGTGTATTCAGACGCTCAGTGCCACTGGCTGTCGTGGCGTTCGCCTGCTACCTCGGTTGCACATGGTTCATTGATGCAACCGAAGGCCGACGCGAAAGTTGACACGTGCGATCTGGTGGAGGTGCTGCCAGGCGCGACCACGGAAACCTTCGCTCGCCAGCGCCCTGATGCACCTGCGCGCTGCTTCTCGCTCGTGTTCGTTCACCCTTGCCGAACCTTGGACCTTCAAGCGGACACGGCCGCGCAATGCCAGCAGTATCTTCGAGGTTTTCGTTTGCTGCAGGAGGAAGCTGCAATCAAGCGTCGTTAGGTATTCCATATACAGGACTTACAGAGCTTGCATGGTTGACTTCCTAGACATTTTTTAGCGTCGTTTGCCTATTCCTTTCATCAAACCGAGAAACCAACTGTAGTGTACGTCTAGATGCTTACTTGGACCTCAGTAAACTCCAACTTTCATTGCATGAACAGAAGCCTGAATGCGCCAACACATACAATCCCATTTTTGACTTTTTTCTATTGCTTTTCTTCTCCCTTTTGGTTGCGGCGACTTCCTCTTGCTATTAGTGATCTCGCCTACATACGGCGGTGGGGTCCTCGCCAGGCAACCTGACTGATATGGAATACACTCACTCGCTCAGCCCTTCCTTAATGCCAGCAACGACCTGCTGGTACTGCGGGAACCGAGGGATGTCTCCGGAGTAAACGAGGCTAGGCGGGTTCTGCATGGCCTCCTTCACAATTCGCTGGATGTCTGCAGCCGTGACCTGGTCGATCTTGGCGCACACAGACTCGGGCGTCTCACGCTCGCCGTACGTGAGCAGCTGACGACCAATGTCTTCGTACAGGATCATGCGGGATTCGAGGTTCATGAGCACCGACGACTTGAGCTGGTTCTTGGCACGCGCGAGCTCGATCGCGTCGACAGGCCGGTTAGCGACGCTCAGCATCTGGTTGCACAACAGCGCCACGAGGTTGCTGGTGTGCGACGGGAGGCAGGCGCCGTAGATACCGAGCAGACCGACGTCCGCGTGGATGGACGAGAAGGCGAAGGCGGACTCGACCCAGTAGAAGCGGTTCAGCACGCTCGTGTACAACCGCGAGTACATGCCCTTGCCAGGGCCACCGGCAGAGAAGCTGTCACCACCGCCCAGCAGCGTGTGGAGCACACAGATCGGCACGAGATCCTCGTGGTGCCAGCCACCCGTGGGGAACGCCAGCGCCGCGTACGAGAACTCGGACTCCGGGTTCGAAAGCGGGTACAGTCCCCCATTGTAGATCACCGGTTCCAGCGTCTCGGGGCTCGAGGGCGTCGCCATGGGCGTACCCTCCGGCGCAACGGGGACGTTGGCGAAGAACTTCTCGGCGAATTTCACCAGTCGCGCGTGGTCGACGCCCGATCCGGCAAGAACCATCTTCTGCGCGACAAAGTGCTCGGCGCGGAACTTCTTGACCTTCTCCACCGTGAGCGCGTCGATCTTGTCTAGCGGGCACTGCAGCGGGCGTCCCAACGGCGTGTCGGCTCCGTAGGCGGCCGCGTGGATGAACTCCTGCAGCATGGCCGGCGGGTTCTCCATGAGGTCCTCGGTCTGGATGCGCATGATGGCCTTGATGCCCTCCATCTCCTCCGGCACGAGGTCCACGTTGAGGATGGCGTCGGCCAGCAGCTCCAGGCCCTTCTCCACATTGTCGCGCAGCAGGTCGATCGTGTAGATGATCTGCTCGCGGCCGCACGAGGACGTCGTGAGGGCGCCGATGTCCTCGATCTCATGCACCAGCTGCGCGTGCGAGCGCGACGTGGTGCTCTTGAAGCCGAGGTGCTCCAGCAGGTGGCTCACGCCCACGCTGTCGTCGTCCTCGAAGCGGCTGCCGGCGTCGATGAAGATGCCGAGCGTGGCCGCCTGGCCGTACGTCTCCTGCGAGATGACGCGCAGACCCGAGGGCAGCACCGAGATCTCCGTCTGTGGGGGCTTGAGCTGGCTCGCGGGCTTGAGCTGGGGCAGGCCTGGCAGTTCGTGCTCCAGCGACAGCTGCGGCTTGGCGTCCACGGGCACCTCGGGCCGCAGGATGTCCTTGGGATCCACGTTCTGCGTGGGGGTGTGCGCCTGCGAGAAGGCGCGCGTCGGCAATGTCTGCAGCGGCGCCAGGCGGTTGCCGGCCACGCGCACGGCCGCACGACGCAGCGTCTGGAGGCTGCGCAGCGACACCATCGACCTCAACTGTCTGCTATGCGGAGACTTGGATAATGGGCGATCGAGCTGCTCCGTCCGACCGCTTCGACCCTCAGAATGATAAGTTTGGTGTGCGCGACACCAACGTACCATGATGGCGGTACACTTTGCTCGTTCACCTCACGCTCCAGCCATTACGATCATCACCATGGCCGGCAAGCGCAAGAAGACCCACTGGGCCGCGCGCCGCAAGACCAAGCAGGCGCGCCGCGACGGCCAGCCGGATGACGCAGAGCCGCGTCCGGACCGCCGCGCCGAGCGCTCAGACGCCGTCCACCCCGGCTCCTACGCGGCGCAGCGCCAGCGCCAGCACCCGACGGACGCAGCGGACAAGCCCGCGCTGTCGCTGCCGACCAAGCGCCGCTACGGCCTGTGGGTGGCCTTCTGCGGCAAGAACTACAGCGGCATGCAGATGAACGAGGGCGTCAAGACCATCGAGGCGGAGCTCGAGCGCGCGCTGTTCGAGGCCGGCGGCATCGCCGAGAGCAACTACGGCTTCCTACAGAAGATCGGCTGGAGCCGCGCGGCCCGCACGGACAAGGGCGTGCACGCGGCGGGCCAGCTGCTGACCGCCAAGCTGCACGTGGGCGAAGACGCCGACATCCCGGCCTTCGTCGGCAAGGTGAACGCCGCGCTGCCCGAGGATATCCGCGTGATGCACATGGTCACGGTCACCAAGAACTTCAACGCCAAGATGACGTGCGACCAGCGCACCTACGAGTACCTGGCGCCCACCTTCATCTTCGCCAAGCGAGCGCGTGCTGCAGCCATAAAGGAGTCGGAGAAGACGGAGGAGAAGGGAGATGCAGCGACTGCGCAATGGCCGTCGGACCTGCGTGACTCCGAGGAGGGCTTTGACGACAACGTGGTGATTGATAACACGACGCTAGAGGCGCACAAGGCCTTCCGACTAAGCGACGAAACGCTGGAGAAGCTGAACGCCACGCTGAAGGAGTACGTGGGGACCCACAACTTCCACAACTTCACGTCCAAGATGGAGCCGACCAACCCTCAGGCGAAGCGCTTCATTATTTCATTTGAGGCCGAACGTCCGTTTGTGCAGAACGACATGGAGTGGGTGCGGCTGCGTGTGGTCGGCCAGAGCTTCCTGCTGCACCACATCCGCAAGATGATCGGCACCGCTGTGGAAATTGTGTCGGGTGTTACGGACCCCTCGACAATCGAGCGCGCCATGCAGCTGACCAAGATGGACTTGCCCAAGGCGCCTAGTGTGGGCTTGTACTTGGCGCAAGCGCACTTCGAGGTGTACAACTTGAAGATGGCCGAGTCTATTCAAACGTCCCACCCGCCGCTGGACCTGAAGGAGCCTGCAGTCGCCGCTGCTGTGGAACTATTCAAGCGCGATTTCATCTTTGACCACATTATGAAGCACGAAGAGCGCACTCGGACGTATGCGAAGTGGCTACGCACCATGGAGGTGTTGCCGTTCGACTACGTGGCTAAGCCCTATTTGGAGTGGAAAAAAGAGAAGGAGGAGGAAGCCGAGCGTACCGACCGTGCTGGTAGGCGGGAGTTGGCCAAGGCAGCGCGAGCTGAAGTCGCTGCCCAGGCCAACAATCCGTCAGAGGTACCAGCCACAAAGGAAGTTGCCAAGACGGAGGAGGAATCTACCGCTAGCTGAGATTGCAACTAGGTTGGTGACTGCGTATTTTGGGATCATTTTGCTCATCTCATGAATAGACTGAAAGGCTTGCTACTACTGGGATCTACAAAATGCACCTGTCACAATAATATTAACGTGGTGCTCCTCGATACCATCGGAATATTTTTAGGAGACTAACTGCTGTGGCACGTATTGCTTTTTCTTGTGAAAGGGGCTACACGTTCTACGTGCGGGGTGCTGGACTCACTCGGGCCGCCAATCTCCAGTGCCTTTGCCGTTTACTTGGACGAGTGCCATCAGCTTGGAATTGATCGGAGCAGAATCGCCATGCGAGACTCCACAGGACCCGTGGAGCTTTCAGAAACAGCTCTGAAGCTGTCGAAGGTGATCGAGCGCGAGGCCAGACGCCGGTCAGAATTGCACAGCTCCCGGAAAATCCGCCTTCAATCTCATTTCCCGTCGTTTTCAAGGATGAAAACTGTGGAGCAGAGTCAGCGAAGCCAGCGGAGTGTACGCAGTCGTCGATCGATGTCGGTAACACCGACACCAGAGGAACCCACTATAGTCACGACAGTGGAGGGCAGTAGTCCTGAACTACCGGCTGTCGACTTGTCCAACGGCACGAAAGGAACTCTAACTCGGCAATGTTCTAAGACTGTCTCAGAGTCCCAGGCCGACGATGGCGAAGAGCCCACGAGTTGTATGCACAAGGTGTGGGTCTTCTTCGAGGACCCTCAGTCGTCTACTCCTGCGTACTACTTCTCGCTGAGCATCTATGGATTCATCATATTGTCTACATTCGTCTTTGTTGCTGAAACGGAGGCTGTGTTCGACCCCTACATGTCGGTGCTTAATGCTCTGGAGGCCATTTGCGCTGGTGTCTTCTCGTTTGAACTCGTTGGTCGCTTTCTCGTGTGTCCCAGTAAACTGGTCTTCCTCCAAGGTACGCCGTTGTTTATTCATTAAGATCATTACTATTACCCGTACGCGTTTGTTCTGACAACGTTTTAATACGTCACTCTGTTAGACATCTCCAATTGGGTAGACTTTGTTGCAGTCTTCCCTTTTTACATGGAGTCATTGCTGGCTTTCGACAATGCTGGATCCCTCGGGGCCATTCGAATCGTGAGACTTACCCGAGTGGCACGGGTCCTGAAGATGTCACGGTACTCATCAGCCATTCAAGTTTTCACGCAGGCTATCTCCATCAGTATTAAACCGCTGACCATGCTGATCTTCCTAATGTCGATCGCGATGATTATTTTCTCTTCTGCCATCTACTTCGCGGAGTATACAAGCGATGGTTGTCGTGCGGATGGCTGGATGGGCAAGTGTGACGGGGACGCTAAAACTTCCGACGTGGTGTATTCCGTCTCTGCTGCAGCGGCAGTCGCATCGGTGGAAACCAGTGACGCTTGCGTATGCGTGGATCCAAACCCATACCAAGGCATTGCCACGTCTTTTTGGTGGTGCATCGTCACCATGTCAACTGTGGGGTATGGTGACATGACGCCTGTGACTTGGACGGGTAAGGTGGTCGGATGTTGCACTGTTCTGACGGGCATGCTTGTGCTCGCGCTGCCGATCACGGTTATCGGTACCAATTTCCAGAAAGTCATGAAATCGGTCATGCACGAAACCATGAAAAGCAATGTGGACTTCCTCAAAGGGAAACGCATGATCTGCCGCAACGAGATTGAAGCCATCCTAGAACGCTTCCATGCTGTCACGGAGGGAATTCATCTCGACATCGACGATGTAATTAACGTATACGACACGGACAACAGCGGTATGCTCGAGGACGACGAACTCGCAAAGTTTCGCAACGATCTCGAAGTTCTACAGAACCGCGCCATTATGAACCAATTGGTTGTGCCTGGTGTTGGTCTCCACCACCACCACCATCGTCCATCGTCCACACACCCAAGGCATCGATCAGGTGCGGTGACCATTGCACCTTCGCCTACAGAACTGTTGCTGCAAAGCAAAGCTCGTACCGACAGCGTCGGGCATCGTTTATCGAACGGAACGATATCCTCACGGCCATCGACCGTTGTTGGTACTGACCCGAACGCATTTATCGACCCCTCACCTCAAAGTGGGCCCAATGCTGATGCTGCAGGTCTTGCTCAGCCCAAAGTGTCATCGTCCAGCTCGTCCCCTCTGATTATGCCGGACAATGAGCTGCTGCTTCGACTGCTCGATATGCAGGAGAGTTTCCAGGAGCGGCTTCTTGAAACCGAGCAGCGGCTCGAGTCCAAGCTCAACAACCTGACCAAGATCCTCATTCGGCTCGAAGGAATGATGGAGGACGAAGACTGAGAGAGAAATGCCACCATAACTATTTATTTGAACACGACACTCGCACAACTTTCGTCTAACCGAGATACGCCACCGTATTACTACTTAGTAATTCTCAATTTTGCACAAACTTATTGCTACTCTAGTGATTACGAAGTAAGTAAGTACTCAGCAATCAGCTTGGATTTCTGCGACGCCCATACTCCCCTTGGGCTCTAGTAGCTCCATGAAAAGCTCGAATGTGTTCTCCCACGCCTCCATAACTTCCGGAGATGCTCCTCGCAGCGCCCGCCTTAGCTGTTGGCTCCCTCGCCTCAGTTTCATGTCTTCACTCACGATGCCACCGTTTGCGTTGGCCTCGTCGACTACATCTTCGTCTTCTTCTTCGTCTTCATCGCTGTCATCGCCACTGCTAGCACTGCTCTCAATCTCTTCGTCGTCATCGTTGCTACTGAACCATTCGGTAACGAACTCACTCGTACTCTTCTTCTGCTGTACCGCAAGCTGCGCAGTTGCAAGTACCAGACTAAAGTACGGGTGCGACTGAAGCACTTGTAGCAGGTGCTCAGACTTCAGTACGAACAGGTCGCACGCGCGGATGGTTGTAACCGTCATGAGGCTCACGGAGTGGCCAAGCAGCCCGATTTCTCCTATATAGTCACCTCCCCTGTAGCGGTTAGCGGGGTACATGAGTGGGTTGGACACGCTCTTGGACAACAGGTAGCCTCGAACCACAAAGTACATGGCCTTGCACACGCTGCCTTCGACAATGACTGCTTCTCCTCGTGGATATCCTTCGAAGCGAAGGCACTTCGCTATCGAGTACGTGAGGTTTGCGATGTGGAACGTCACACCATAGTCCGGCTTTTCAACCTCTTCAGCACCCGCACCCTTGTCCTCAGCTTTTTCCTCGCCCTTGTTAGCGTCTCCACTCTCAGCGTCTCCATCGCCGTGAATGCCTCCGCGGATAAGCGGTCGAAACACTTGATACATAAACAAACTGAGCGGTTGTTTGGCGATGACCATGATACCCTCGGTTCGAACGCTCGCTGGTAGGTCTTCGAATATAAGCTGGTAGTCGACGCCTGCGTGCGAAGACCACCACGACGTAAGGAAGTTATCAGCGCGCTGCTTCAGCGCCGTGCTGACTTTCCATCGAGCCAAGGAGCGTTCAACAATGAGGTGGTTCTTGCGAAACTGGACCTCGTTGTCGATGTATAGCAAAAACACGTTGGCCATCTCCGCGATCATGAGGGCCATGATAAGCTGGCCGACGAATGAGATCACAATGGTGAACGCAAAGTTAAGCTGCGAGGCCGGTACAAATGTTCTGCTTTTCTTCACGAAAGCCGTGACCGCAAAAGACAAACCTCGGAAGAGTCTCATCATCAGCAACTCGGGCGATGGGTCATCCGAATCCAGCAAAGACGACGGCAGCCAGTTCTGCCACTCGGTACCAAAGCCATCGTAAATCGAAACTGCGAAGTAAGCACACGAAGTCCAAAACATTGCCAGCAGGTACAACAGCCAGAGCGTTTGGGCGCGGTTCACCTCGTATGACACGCTACGACGCGTGATCTCATTGCGGTAGTACACGAGGTTGACCACTTTCAAGCAGCGGTTGAGGCGCAGCCATTTACAAAGTAGCAGTCGACTTGGTCCACTCGAAAAGCTTGTGGCGAAGTGGTTTAACGGGAACGTAGCTGCTAGATCGAGAGCTAAACGTTCGCGCTTGTACCCCACGAGCTGGTCCTGCTCGTACAGCTCCATGGCTGCTTGGTTTGTTCGCATGTGGAATTGAAACCAGATATCCACCCAGAAGACCACCTCACACAGCGCTTCAATAATGCGCAAGCACACGGGAATCACGTTCCACCTGTCGAGTGAGTCGTACGTTAGGCGGTAAGGTATCATCACAGCCACGTAGACTGTGCAGATAGATAAAAGTCTCATCCACTGAAGGTAGAATAGGCTCTGAATCTCTGCGCCATGTGCGAGCTGCTTCGCTATTTCCTGTAGCGAACGCAACGCTGGAACCACCCAGCGTAGGACCAACTTCGCTGCCCGGAGCTTTCGCCACTGCTGGATAATCCAAGTCTTTAACCGGCGAGGGGCGTCCTCTGTCGAGTTTGGCCCCTTTCGGTGACTCAGAAGGAGCTGCTCAATGTTCTCCGCCCGAGCATTGACCAGGTCCATACGTGACGCGGTTCGCCGGAGTCCACGGCGACGATTAGCGGGCCCACCATCGGGAGCTTGCGCCTCGTAGGCAAGACGTTGCAATCGTTGTTGCTGCTGCTGAATCTTGACAATTCGCAATACCTTTTGCTGCCATTCAGGGTAGCGTACGAACACCAACTCCAATGAATGGCGCGACAGCTTGTAGAGGATGCATGACGTGTTGGCTTTCACGTACGCATTACGCGGAGTATTCGTGAATAGGGCCGCCTCTCCGAAGTAGCTTCCGGCCGTGATCTCATTCACTTTCCGCAATCCGCTGAGGCTAACTCGAGCGCCAGAAGGAGCGGTTGGGAAGGCGACAGTGCGACCACCCGCCCCGTTGCCACCTGCATGCGGTAGCAATGGGATGTAAATGTCTAATACACCAGTGTAGATGAAAAACATTTCGCTTCCTTCTTCACCGAAATGGCAGATGAACTCGTCCTTGACATACAGCACTTGGGTGAAGAGAGATATGAGCATGCGCGTGACTGAATCCTCCATGCCGACGAGGAACGCCACCTTGACGATCATGGGCTGCAGCTGGAACATGCGCATATCGACAACCAGTGACGGGGGAAGAACGCGTTCAAGCACGTGCTCCTGCGTGATAGAGTGGAAGCGTTTGAAGAAGAAATACTTCTTGAACTTCTCTTCAACGCGCGGTGGCAAGTCAAAGTGGCGCAGGAGCTGGCGTAAAGAACTCAACTTGGCCACGAAATGGCGGTTCTCCGAGTCTTGCAGCTCAATCACGTCGGAGATGTGACCAACGACGTATGCGAAGAGGAAGAACCCCGTCGTCATCACGATCACACTGAAGATGCACTCCCCCACCGTCTTCGGCAGCTCACCTTGGCTCGAATTGGACATCAAACCATAGGCCCAAAAAGTGGATGCTAGGTATTGGAGCCCACGCGCGCCTGACTCCAATGACTTGTAAGGGCCCCACAGTGTAGCTCCGAAGCTTGGCGACCAATCGTCTCCACCGCTCATAACAATATGAACTCCAGACTTGTGGGCTGCGAAATCAAACCAGATACACCCGAACATGTGCGAGGCGAGAAAGGAATAGTAGACGAGCTTGAGGAGCCGAAGCTCCGTCGTGAGCTTCACGTACTTCGTCTCCAGTGTACGGAACTGGCTTGAGCCCTTGAAGTATCGGAGCATCTTGTTGATGTTGAGTACCTCCAAACGCGTTGATGTTAGAGTCCAGTTGAGGATAAACAACGGGACGAGAGCAGCCATATCGATAGCGAAGTAGACCGAGCGCAAGTAGCGGCGCTGAATCACGACGAGATCCATCACCTTGTTACCGTATTCATAGAACCCCAAGCGCAGGTGGAGATACGCATCCAGGACGAATAGCAGCTCAAGCGCGATCATTACTCCATCGGCAAAGGCGCGACCGTGCGTGGTCTCATTCACCCCGAAGCAAATGTAAAACATGACCAACGTTCCTTGTAGAGTTGACGCCATTAGCATTGTGGCCTCCCATATCCCCACGAACGGCCAGTCCGGGTCTACAGCTGTGCCTCGCTGCCACCACTCCAGATTCTTCGCCAGCAACTCCACAAAGCCCGTCAATTGTTTGCGTCGAAGTGCTCGGCGCATGGTTGGGTTGTTCAAACCAAGCGCGACTCGCGGCTGGAATGCCCTCAGATCCGCCGAGCGTGCAACGCGCGAGTCGTGAAGTCGTTGCTCCAACTTGCGCAAACATTCGGGTAATGTCGGCAACACGCAGTGCATCGCGTGTAGATGTTCACGCGATATATACACCACGATGCAGCCGCTAACGGCAGTCACACGCTCTGCATACCCCACACCGGTAGTCGACCTTACACTTGAGCGCCGTCGACTTTCACGTCTGTCGCGAGCACCAGTCGATTGAAGTGCTGCCGTCCCGAAAAAGCCACCAAGCGGGACATGCCGAGGGACTTCCCCATCCAGCGTTATGGACACCTTGCCTTCCAGCAGGAAAAAGAGTCCGCTGGCGTAGTCCCCGCGACGGTAGATGATCTCTCCCTGCCCATAAAGCACAAACTTGATATTATCCAGGAAAATTTCTTCCAGCTGCTCGAGGACTGTCGGTCCTGCCGACTCCTGCATCGGTGTAGTAGCACCATCGCTCTCAGGGCTGGTCGTATTGCTGCACAGCATTTCCAACGAGTCCATCGCTGGTGTGCAAATGCTGCGCACAACATCGCGTTTGATGGCGCCTGGGAGATCCTCGAGCAGTTCATCAATGATAGCACCGCGATGAGCAGACCACCAGAAGTCCAAGAAAGAATTCACGCGTAAATGAATAGAAAGCGGGGCGTTCTGGCGCTTGAGAAAGCGCTGGAAGCGCGCGCGCGCCGCGAAAAACTCTTTTTGCTCCAGCGCTGACGCCGTAAAACCTTTTTGAACATGATCCACGACAATAGCGGTGATGAAAAACCCACTCAGCATAAAGATCAATGCGGCTCCATATTCTGTATCGCTGGCAGGCTCGACCATTCGCCCGACCGCAGCCAGCACGTTTGCAGCATAATACAGTGATCGAAAATATTGCTCTGCTCGTATTTCTTGAACTCGAGTACTGTCGGAAGCAAGGGCAATGCCAGAGATCGTTACGAAGTGGGTAGTATTTAGTCGCTCAATGTACACGTCTTCCGATGGCAACCACTGGTTCTCGCCTGTGCTGAAGCTGTCGAGATACGTCGTGCTAAAGTACAAACAGGCAACGATATGGTACAGCATCAAGAACAAAACCCCGAGCATCATGAGCTTGTGACGACTAGTTAGCCGGAAGTACGCTTCCACCTCGCTAGCATATCCACGCAATCGATAGCCTCCAATTAGTCTAGGCAGCCGAAGCGCTGGGTGTGTGAACTTCGCTGGTACAAAGATCCAGTAGGGCCACGAGCAGCATAAATCGAGGAAGAATCTCCCGCTTGACAGATATCGTTCAGCTGTCCGCGTGGGCTCCAAGATCTTCTCAGAGTTGACGGAGAAGGACAAGTGCAAACTTCCGTAGATGTTGACCCAGAGCACGAAATCTGTCACAATATTTAGCGCGATAAGGAACCAGCTCGTCCACAAGTCGTCCAAGGCGGAAAATGACAGAAGCAAAGGAATCATCACCCAGTTGTAACAAGTCACGGCAGCAACGACAGCAATCCATAACATTCTCCAACTCGACTCGGCATCTACACCACGGCCCATGAGGAAACGATGCCACCAGCGACGACGTGGTGCTGAAGATCCCGCGAGATGAGCAAACTGTTCATAGTAACCATGGATGGCATCGGCTGGCTTCACCTCGTTGTCATGGAAAAAGTTGTCGCGAAACATGGTCAATCTGTTTATTCCGGAGGCAAGAAATGACGTCCGTCGGTTCCCCGCGGGCGCCTGTTCTGTCGTAGCTGTACCAAGTCCTGCCTTGCCTTGGGGGATAATGGGGAAGATCTTGATGGAAGTCACGCCTTTCAGTAGTTTCCGTGACGATAGCACGCTGTCACTGTGAAAACTGTCGTTGTGCGAAGTCTTACGATGTGGCGGCACTGGTAAGGAGCGCCGAGGCGCCATCGAGCTTTCAGGAGTGGTGCGGGCTCCAAGAAGTGGTTGAAAAGGAGGTCGGGGGGTGATGACAGTCGTTGGCATAGCATCTTGAGGTTGCAGAGAGTTATCTTCTGCAACGTCTTGGGTTGGGGTCTTCGTGAGATCATCAGCTTTCGTGGGGTCATCCAACACCTTTCGCCTACTACCTTTCCTCGCATGAGCGCGTGCATGGAGAAGTTGTTTGAGTCGAACGAGCTGGACAAATGACAGAACCAACTTTGGCTTTGGTTCTTGTTCGCCTTGTGCATTATCAGCGGGAGGTGGCGGCATCTCCACAGTGCTGCTTTTGTGAAGCATCTCGGCGACGGTGTGGTTAATTACTTTGGCGTATTGCGGGTATCCCTCGAGAAGTTTGTCGGCGTCGGCACGTGAAAGTCGATACAGCGTACAATACGTAGCCGTGATGACTGTAGCAGTGCGCGGTTGTCGAGCGAACACAGCAACCTCACCCACGAAGGATCCTTTGCGCAGCTCGCGCACTTTCACCCCACCGACAACGGTGTGTAACACGCCTGTGTGAACAATGTACATGGCATTTCCGTGATCTCCAGCGCGAAAGAGCGCAACCCGTGCCGGCAGTGCAATCAGCTCAAGTAATCGGGTCACAGCACGAATGAAGATGGAGTCACACCCGGCAAACACCGGCACCAAGGCGACAGTGGCTTCGAGAAGCTCGACTTGGATATCCACCGAGATTGAAGGACAAAGGCGGCGCGCAGCTTCTCGGTCATTAGCTTCAGCTTGTGTGTGATATCTCTGAAGGTAGTCCACAGCTTGTGCCTGCAGTTGAATGGGGACCCGATGGAAGGCCAAAATGTGCTGAAACTGGTGCACGCGCGCCTCGGCCAGCTCTGCGTCGCCATCTTCGCACTTGGATAGCAGGAAGAACGTTGCGCATAGTGCCGTGAACAGTGTAAACCCACAAAGCCCGACCACAATCGTGAAAGCGAACTCAGCGTTGTAGCGAGGAAGCTCGCCCTCGAAGCCTCCCGTGAGAAGTCCAAACGCCCAAAACAGCGACATCAGATACTGTCTTCGTGCAGTGTGGTGTCCGTCTTGCGGGGCGTGAGGTAGCCAGTGATTCGTTTCCCCGCCTGGCGCTGGGTGATCGTAGCCAAAGCTAAAACGTCCACAAGCTACGAAGTGCGTCAACAGCAGCGTAAACCCGAGTACCTTGGTAAGCTTGAGCGCGGCAAAATGCCTTGCGTACAGGTCATCAAGATTCGAAGCGAGGGCGGGTAGACGCCACACCCGCACAAGTTTGTGCATCTCCAGCAGCGCTATCGAGCGCGATCCGGTCGTGCTGCTAGGTAATACCACAGAAAGTGGGGCCAGTGCAAGTAAATCTGCCAGGAACGCTGGTGACGAGAGATACTTTCGTCGCGCCTTTCGGGCGTCGCGTAATACATTGCCATTCTCGTAGTAGCCTGTGTTGAGTTGCACGTAGATATCTGCACAAAATAGAAGTTCACACACGTACACGACGGCAAGTTGCGACCGCGTGGCTTTGGGGTGAAATGCTGCTAGGAACGGGATGGCTGCGAGCTCGAAGAGAATTGCTGCGAGTCGGATCTGCTGACATGTCCGGATAAACCGGGAGCTGGGGTCGAACGCGTTGTGATTCTCGGACATGAGGAACTCGGAAGAGCCCGTGCGGCCACGCTGGCGTAGCAGCATTGCCATTTTGCTTGGCACCCGGGATACCGAAGACCGCCGGCGACTGCGACTGGACGGCCATGAGATCGACGGAGCCGGCACCACGCGCATGCCTTGGGTGGGGCCAAGTGGGTGAAGTACTCGGCCGATTTACGCTGCAGGCCGCGTGCAAGGCTCGTTACTCCGCTCTGCCATCAGCGCAGCAGCGTGCTATTCGGCGACAACAGTATTTATAGGGGAAATCGTCACGAAACGACCACCTCGACTCACCTCACCTCGCCAGCTCTAGCGAGTACCTTTGGTTAATCGCCACGCGACTAAAACAAGTGCACGCACCTCAAGACCTGCTTTCTCGCGATGGTGTGTGTCTGCTAAAGACCTGAATAAAGGTAACGAGCACAGTTCAGTGAGGCAAAATGTTTTCAAACTTAAGTTAAACCATGCTCTCGCAAGAGCAACATCACATCTTAAAACTCGACCACGTCCGGCAGCTCCGGCAGGTTTGTCAACTTTGCGCCAAAAGAGGGCGGAGGAGGGGGAGGGGAAGGAGGCGCGCTTTTGCCTGACGAGGAGGCGGCAGCGCGCTCTTCCGGGGTCGGGAGTTGCGGACCGATCATGGGCTCTTCCTGGCTTGAAGGTGCCGGTTCAGGTCCTGCAGCCTTACGGACACTTAGCCCGGCCACGAACCCCATGTTCGGACGCATAAAGCTAGGCTGCGGCCCCACGGGCGCGCCATAGCTGTATGGAGCTGGGTACATCGGAGGGTACGCACCAAACGTGGCTGCTAGACCGTAGGCAGGCATGCTCTGCGGGCCTGCCGGGTACGACGGCACGAACGGAGGCGGCACGACCTGGTACATCGGCATGACGTGCGGTTGACCTGCTGCTCCCTGGCTGTTTGGTGCAGAAGCAGGGGCGACAGCAGCAGCGACAGCCACGGCAGGGCCCACCACAGGAGCAGGGGCAGCGATCTGCTCGATGGCCGGGAGAGCTTCAGTCTGGACGGACGAAGAGGCAGACTTGGGCGCCGACACCGGCGCGGGCTCCGGAGCCGCAGGCGGCTGCTGAGCTGGCTCTGGTGCCGCGACAGGCTGTTGAGCTGGTTGCGGCTCCGGCGGCGTCTCCACGACGACCAGTGCATTCGAGACCTCGGCTATAGCTTCAACCTCTGCAGCAGCTGCTGCAGCACGCTCGGCGTCGCGCTCCTCTTTCTTCTGGATACGCTCCGCAGGCGACGTGTACTTCTCTTTCTTCTTGGTTTTCTTCTTCTCCTTCCTTTCCTTCTTCTCCTTGCGCTCACGCTCCCGACGCTCCTCCTCGGCCTGCTTGAGCTCTACCAGCTTCCGCAGCTCGGCCTCTGCCTGTCGCTGTTTGGCCTTCTCGCGCTTCAGTTTCTCCTTCATCTCGCGGCGCTCCTTCTTGTCGCGCTTCTCCTGCTCTTCACGGGCCTTGGCCTCTTCACGAGCACGCTGCTCTTCGCGGTGGGCCCGAGCAAGCTCAGCGGCCTCGAGAGCAGTCCGCTCCTCTTCCTCCTTCTCCTTTAGCAGACGTTTCTTGGCACGACGCTCGGCACGGTACTTCTTCTTGAGCAGGCGGAGCTCCTCGGCCTCTGCACTCTCCGCCTCAGTCATATCAGTCGCAACAACCACTGGGATGGGTGCCTGCTCCCCCTCAACCTCTTCTTCCTCCTCCTCTTCTTCATCCTCGCCACTGGCGTATCCGCCATTGATGCTGTTGGTGTTCTCGCTGTTGCTGACGAAGCTCTTCTTGTGGCTCTTGGAGCTGCGACGGCTGCGGCTGCTGCGACGCTGGTGCATCTCCTCGAGCTCCGCGATGCCCTCGACATCAACATCGCCTTCCATCACCATGGACTCGTCTTCGTCATGCTGTTCCTCGTCGCTCTCATCACTCCCAGCGGACGGACGGCTGTGGCTGTGACTGCGGCTCTTCTTCGGGTGGCGCGCATCCTTGCGCATGGTCGCGAGTCTCGCGGCCGCCATCTCGGCGTACAGGTCGCGGTTGGACTCGAGCTTCTGCGCGCGGCGCTTCATGTTCTTCTCGTTCTCCTTGCGGGCCTCGCGGGCCGCGAACTCCTCGTCCACGAACTCGGCGTCCTCGTCCTCGTCACTTCCAGGCGCTCCCTTGACGACCACAGCGCCGAACCTGCTGGCGCCTCCCTCTTCGAACAAGTACGAGTCGGTGGCGAGCGTCTTGGTCTCTCCACGCGCGTCCAGCAGCTCCTTGTCCAGCAGAACGGGCTTGGCGTTGTCCTGCACTTCGTACTTGGACGTGGTGGCCTCTCCGCTGGCCTCTCCGTAGAGCCCCCAGTCCGCAGGCTCGCTCTTGTCGCCGTTCGGCAGCTCCAGCGAGGCCGCAGACGCGTCCGACTCGGTCCTGAACAGGCCGTCGTGGCCCGGGAAGCGGCCCTGGTCCTCCGAGTCCGTGGAGTGGTCCGCGTTCACGTCGCTCTCGCCGCGGGGCTTGCCGCTCGAGGCGCCCGTATACGCGCGCGGCTTGCCGTTCTCGTCCACAGCCGACTCGACGCTCTGCGTGCGGCGCAGCGGCACGAGGCTGCCGACGCTGCCCAGACGCATGTCGCGGCCGCCTTGGAAGGCCGACTGGATGGCCATGAGCTCGAGCCACTTGTCCTTGTCGGCGGCCGAGGGCGCCACGCACTGGAAGAGCTTCTTGTCGCGCGTCTCCATGGTGAAGGCGTGCTGGTAGCGGTGGAAGCCCGTCTTGCCGTCCCAGTCGCTGATGCACTTGATCTGGTGCACGCTCGAGGGCTTCTCCGGGTGCGCGTCGTACGCGCGGCGGCTCTTGTAGCTGCGCAGCATCACGCACTTGTGGTCGTCGGCGTCCAGCTCCCACGTGGCCACGCAGTAGCGGTCGTGCATGACCGGCATCTTGGCCAGGCGCTTCTTGAGCGAGCCCTCCATGGCGATGGGCACGGGCGACGCCGGCTCGGACGTGAGGCTGCTGGTGATGCTAGCGCTGGCGCTGGCGCTGGTGCGGGGCACGTCGGCGACGTGCGAGTGGCGGGACTTGCGCTTGCGGCTGCTCAGAAATCCGCGAATGCGGTGGCGGCCCGACGGGGTGGACGGCTCGGCCATCGGGACCGGAAGACACTGACCAGAAGGGGCTCCAGGCGCGAGGGAAACTACAGCAATGAGCGGAAACACGAAGCTGGATCGACGGAAGTCGTCTTCGTGTCTTTGTATTCGCCAGAATAGTAGTTAAATACTACAGTAGTACAACTGCAAATTTGTATAATACTAATTTACGAGTGATACATTAGTAGTGTCCAGATCACCTTAAGCGGATTTGAAGATGGGGCAAACTTCCCCCAATGCAGGTTGAGACAACGTCCGACACAATATACAGTACTTACTTACCCTGTAGCTGGCTAAAATAATGAGCCGAGCGCCTTTAGAGATCATTGTTTGAGTATTATAAATCATTCGTTTTTTCATGGGATATTAGAAATAGGAAATCTAGGAGAAACGTGAAAATCCCATTATTCTTTAGGTAGCGATATTTCAGGGCGACTCATGAAGCACAATCGGATGGGCTATTACCGTGGATCATGTCCTCATAACGTGTATTCCGTAGACGAGGCTGCAGCAGCGCGCAGCATCAGGAGTAGATAGCAGTCTAAACCCCAACAAATTCAAATTCAGGTTGAACTCTAGTCAAATGAGTAATATAATTATTGTTCCTTGTTCGTAAATCTTTGTGTTTAATTTGAGCTCGATTGTAACTCGTTAATTTTCAAATAACCTCCCTTTGGTGGTATTGAATACCGTTCTGAAGCAGGCTGTTACGTGTAGCGTAAGTCATGCCTCCTTAAAAAGACAGTATAAGATGTGGAACCTAGACTTTTTGAGTCCCGAGTACCCTCCCTGACCACTGCTCCGCGACCTGAGCTCTAATTTGTCAGACGCGGCACCTCCCTCCCCTGTTTTAGCCAATTGCGCCCAGTTTTGCAGTAGCCAGATACCTTTTTGTGAGACGTCAGCAACACAAAAAGTTGTTTTTAGAGCCACAAAGCAGCGCACCAGATTACTTATGTGTTTTGCATACGCTTTGATTGTAGGGAAGCGCTATCATTGGATGAAGTAGACTTGGTAAATCAAAAAGTGGATAAATAGCAGCAAGGACCTAGGTACCAATAACCGAGTTGACATGCTGTGCAATTTTCTTAGGCTCTGATTCGCGTCGGAAAACGTGGTTTGGTGATATCGGACGATATTACCATTAGTACCACTCTATAAAACTACTACTACTACAGTAATCAGCAAATCATTATAAGTACGGTAGAATATAGTATTCGAGGTAGTAATAGTAAATTGAAATTTTATTTATTAATGTCACTAACGGCAAAAGTATTACTTTGTACTACATATTTTGGGTATATGCTGTTCCTGGACCCAATTGTTTTAGAATCCCTTCGACATGGCGACCAGTCCCCCGTTGCGAGGGCGGAAGTGCTGCAGCAGGCCAGCGGGCCGATATAATAGCGTACAGTGCATGCTATACATCCATGTAGCGCTGCTAGCTGGTCGCCACTATTATAGAAGAGCGCCTTCGCCGCGCCAATTGAGCACGAATGAATTTTGGAGAAATCCTGGTCATGCGATATGAATTGACCCAGCTGAGTTTGCCAGCCGTGGCCTCGTCAATCGATCCGCTTGAAAGACAAACGTCAAGACTCGAGGCAACGATATACCGACTGTATCTTTGCCCAGAAGATGCATTAGCGTACACACTTCAACGACTTCAAGGAGCATTTGATGCATGCTAGAGCCAAGCCTCAAGGTAGCTGGCAACATGCTCGTAGGCAGTGCTAACGTCGCAGCATGCCATGCCTCCCTACAAAAAATATCGAGGTGGTCTTCAGGCATACAGCACAGCTGGCGTAAACAGGCTAGCTGCCACGATTTTTTCATGTCTTTGAGATGGACTTGCAGGACCCATTTTCGAGCCCCGGAAAGTGCCCATTTTCAGCGAGAGCAACAACTGCTGCTAGACAGCACAGACACGCATTGCCCCGCACCATAGCGACGCACCATGGAGCCAGCTCATTCAAAACCTGCGGCGCCAACGAACGTCGGCTAGGGCTCTGCAATGCATGCGGGTGTTGGCAAGGCAGTGTTGCTGCCCGCTCGGGCAATGCGCAAGGTGGCTTTCCCTAGAGAGGGGAGCGACACGCGCCAAGGGGTTGAAGCTGTCCTCGGATCGTCGGAATGCTTCCTTTCCTAGTGTCCGTGTCGGTTGGTCAATACCCTGCGGGCTCAATGCAACCATCAGCCGACCGCGCTCACGCCGCCGGCTGGCTTGGAGGTTGCCGGCGATCCGTCTGGCATGCAATCTGCCGCTTCGCATGAATTGAATATCACACATGGGACCAGTGGCTAGCAGGCCGCGCAGGGTTCGCTCGGGTTGCATGCGGTAACCGCGCGAAGGCACCTCCAGAACGACGAGCGGTCTTAATTAAGCCAAGATCTCTACAGCGAACATGACAGATGCGGATGGAGTTGAAGCGGAGCTCTGCTTACCGGTAACAGGCACCTCAGACGAAGTACAACAAACTCGAGAAGTCGATATATTCGTTTTTCTCAATGCATAATGCGCCCGAAACTTGGACAATGCGCGCAGTGAATTCGACCTTCTGAGTATAAACTACCAGGAACTCTGCTACTGGACTTGTTACTCGCTCACTGCTTACAACGTGGGTTTATACTTCTACCAACGGCACTTTCAATCAAACCGCGGCGAACCTCGTAAGCTATCGGTAAGCTATTTTGTGGATCACGGTTCGTAGCGTTCCCATGATCAGTGGCTTCTGGTATTGCGGGTCACGCATTGCGGGTCTGATAAAAAAAAGATGTCGGAGCATGCACGGCCTTGGCTCACATAGCAACGATGGCCACTTCGGGTGTCGCGGTCGCAAGCTTGTCGCTCTATGGCAGGCAGGACTATCCATAGCGGTATTTATTATCGCACGCAACGCTGTATGTTGGTCGCCAAGTGACGAGCTACCTCTTGGCGTATCTTCGTCGCTATTATAGTATCTGTTATAGCGAGTCGCTCCACCGATACTGTAGTCCTGCACATGTTGTAAATGAACAACTTGTTTATAAAAGCTTTAGGAGCCCGACCGAGTTCTTCAACCGTACTCGACGCGGCTTCATTAAAATGGTTTACTAAATACCTTCGATAGATAACTGCACTGTGAGCTCGGCACGCTCGTGTCAATGTTTTAAAGATCATAAAGCCGAACAGTGGGCCGTGGCACGGGCATCGTCGCCGCGAAGTTCATCCTCTCTCCGGCGGGCCTCCCCTTGGCCCGCACGTTGGAGTTCGAATGCACTCGACTGACGCTCAACATGCAGCGCAGCAGCTCCTCCTGCTCCGCCAGACACTGACTGATCGAGCGCGAGGAGCAGAACCTGTTGCTCGGCTGTTCCGATGGGCCACTCGAGCCCAGTAAGGACTCGCGGCCGCTGGAACGCTTGCTGTACTTTCGCGGGGGCAACGCAGCTCCGGTGGTCGCTCGAGATTGGCGTCGATATTCCGACATTGGCATCATGTCGGTCGTGTCGATCACTTCCGTGACCTCCTGCGGGTCGGCCTGCTGCCTCCGAGCCGAGTATCTCCTGCTCATCGAGTACCGACCCGACATCGACAGCGTCTTGCGCAGTCTGGACTTGGAGTGTCGCGGGTTCTCGCCGAGCACCGCCACGTCGTCGTCGATCACATCCAGCGTCGTCACGAACGGCAGCATGTCTTCCTTGTCCAGACCGTTCTCGGCGCGAGACGTCCACGACGACTGCGACGAAGAGAGCGAACTAGCAAGCAAGGACCTCACTGAAATGTCCGAGGCGTTGAGCGAGGCCTTGTCGTCCGAGTCCGTCTCGGACCAGTCGGACTCGGACCATTGCGACGACGTGTCATCCCACCAGTCCTGGCGCGGCTCGGTCGAGTTGCTATGAGCCTTCCGCAGCGTGCGGCCGTTGCTCTCGGATCGCACCTTTTGAGCGCTGCTGGCATGCGTAGTCGAGCACGCTCGAGCAAAGCCCGCGAGTGACGAGCGACGAACGGATGACAAACACGCTTTGCAGAAGTTCGTCTTGGCCACCTGGAAGACGCGCGACTCGGCATCGCCTCGATGGTTGCGCGGGACGTTGCGGGAGATCACGCAGTGGTGGCAGAAGATGTCCCCGCAGAGTCGGCAGTGAGAGCGACGGCGTGTCGCCGCGTTGAACGGGAGCTGGCAGTTCGTGCAGGCCTTGCGCGAGTCGTCGGGCATCCAGTTGGTCTTGCACATCATGCCCTGCCTCAAGATGTACTTGGAGTCGAGCTGGTACGGCAGGTCGTTGTAGATGCGCATCAGCTTGCGGAAGTTCCTGGCGCTCACCGACGACCCGGCGAAGTCGTTCTTGCTCATGATGAAGAGCTGAGTGGCGTCCGAAGACGACGAGGACGGGCAGACAATCGTGACGGTGTGTGTCTTGACCCGCTTCACCCTCAGACGGCGGTACAGGTCAGGACACTCTTTGATCGACATGGGGAACGTCACCCGAACGCCGACGTCGCGTCCCAGCTCGTCTTTCGTGTAGGCCAGGTACTCGAGAAAGCAGTTGTCGCGCTTGCGCCCGAAAGACGAGGGCTGAAGGCACGTCCACTTGATGCCCATGTACTCGTGAGCCATCCGAGAGCTCCTCGTGTGGATGTTCTTCAGCACCACCGCGTCCACCGCGTACCCGTACATGAACTGGTTCCACTCGAAAAGCTCGCGCGAAGTCTCGGCGTATTGGAAGTCCATGAAGTTCCGGTAGTTGCCGTGAATGCGCCCGAACAAGCGAAATTGGCTCTTGGCCAGGCCCTCGGGTGTCTCCTGTCGGACCGCAGTGAGGGGGCCTTCGCTGCCGACGACTACCCACGGCTCGCCGTAGATGGGGTTGGCCCCCTTCAACTCGTGCCGCTCGTACTCCGCCAAGGCGTTGTGGAGGATTTTCCGGGCCTGCTTCTCGTAGCTGCGGACCTGCTCGTCCGTGAGCTTCACCTCGGGGAAGAAGTCATCGGGCAGTGGGAACGTCTTGGTGTCGTTCCTGTTGGAGTGGCATCCATGAAAGAGCGTCAGTTTAGTTATCGGAGCCCGTGGCCGATTGATTGCCTCTGAGTCAGCACCTGCACCTACCGAGATACTGTACGGCGACTCGAGGGCAGCACCATGCTGGCGGACCCGCAAATACAAAACTAAACTAATCGAGATCCCGTGCGAGAGCTGCAGTCCTATTGAAAGGTACACACGCACCGAGAGACGGAGGCCCCAGCTAGGGACATTGGCAAAGCGATGTGCACTTCAGACGCGACGTGATGCGAGCGTAGCCGGAGCGGAGCTTCGAGCGCATGAGTGGCTCCACGCGGGGCAAGCGGCCTCGGGCTCAAGGTCCCGCCGAGCTTGCTCGCGTGAAAGGCTTTCACGCGAGCAAGAAAGCATGGCGTGCGAGCATTTATGCGCCGGAGCTAGCAAAATGCTGGGTTGGTTGGTCAGGTTGGCTGGCTGGCTGCTCTTCCTTGGGATCGGGCCACGCTCCCAATGATCATCTCGGCTGTCACTGGGTTCCGTAGAGTCTACGGCGTAGACCGGTGGCGACCGAGGCTCCGAGCGAGCACACCAGCTACATTATCATCCCCAGGCTAGGGAATCCCAGCCTCGTGCATGCATATCCGATAGGTCTCAGCATCCTTTGGGAATGTCGTTAGTGCTCGTGGTGATGGCCCTGCTCGATTTTTTCGCGGCTTTGGGTTGGTAGCGCTCGCATAGAGAAGAGAACCACCCATGCTTGTTGTGGTGGCGAGCCAAATAAATGTATCTCGGCGTTCGTCCTCGGTCCCACTTGACGAAGCATTCCGTGATACAGTCCGGGGTGGACCGTGTTTTGTGCCGGAATTTGTGGCCGCCTCACAGCAGCTCCACATATTGGTGTAAAAGATGAGCAGTTTGAAATGCACAAAAGAAGGAGAAACACGATGAAGAGGAGTCGCAGCGAGCGAGAGTCGAGCATTGCAGCAAGATACTTGCACACTGCAAGATGCGGTTCACCCCTCGGATTTTTAGACGTGCCGCCGCCCGCTCGGCCCTCACCAACCAGCATCGACGCACGAGACTTTTGATCCCTCCTGGCGGTCTCCGCTTGCGAACGCATTTCGTGCTCGCGCTGGGAGTTTGGATTCCGACCGACCCCGAGCACATCGCTTGTCAGCTTCTGATGTCGCCGCCGACCGCTGCGAGCGAAATCCAGACCGGCCGATCACTTTCAGTTGCCTCCTTCACCGACGCGGCAAACCGCGGATGAGTGAACTTCCTCAGGGAGGGAACCGCGTGCCTGCTGAGCCGGGTTCAACGAAAGCGTTGAGGCGCGTCTGCCTTGGCCCCGTCTTGCTCGGTCAATACGGGAGGCCTGAAAAAAAGTGTGCTCGCTCGACGCCAACGCCGACGTCTCAACGGAGGAACTTGCACGCACCAGAGCTGCTTAGCGGCCACAACAGCATCTCCGGGCGTCGTAAGCACAGCCATTTGAAACGAGGGCACTCACCACGAGGCATTTAACACGGTCATCTGGCCGTTATCGCCCCGAAATAATGTGCGGCGAGCTCGGAAGTGTGCAAATGACGGCGTCAGCTACTTGTACATGTCCGCCGCAGCCACAACCGGCGCCTTCATACGCATGATGATACATGTGCATTGGCCATGGAGAAACCAGGTCTCTGGACGGAATCCCCTGCCATCACCAAGGCCGACGCCTTGCTCCACGCGCGACTAAGCGCTGCCAGAGTCGATCACCAGGCTTGGCCAGCCCGCGCCCTTCCGCCCTGCTCTAAGAGCATTTGACCGCCTAAGAGCACTGCTCTTAGGCGGTCAAATCCCCTGCGCGCTTCCCCGGCGGCACGAAACCGGATGTCTGACAGCTCGACGCCTGCATATTATGCAGTGCATAAAGCCGCTCCAAGCCGCGAAAGGCAACTCGCCGACAGCAATTGCAGCGTTGCAGCATTGCACACGGTGGACGGTCCAGCCACAACCGCGCACAGCGCGAGTGCTGGCTGCGATATGCGCGCGCCGCCAGTGTGGCGGCCCGCCACAGTGCAAAAGGAACGCTTGGTGTCAGGAGTGCGAGTGCACGCGCCTCGCTCGAGTCCCAACACTACAGTACTGCAGCTAGCGTAGTTCCTCCTCGGGGATTGCAGCACCTGACGATGAGCTCGAGCAACGACAAGTTCCCGCTGCCCGACGGCTACTTCCCGCCGGTGAAGCTCATCCCGGCGGAGATCGAGGTCTACGAGCAGCGCGTCGAGATCATCATGAAGAACGCGCTGGCCGAGTACAACCTGCACGAGGCCATGGGCGCTCGGCCGGACTACGGCTCCCGGTGGAGCGTGGTCGGCAACGTCGAGCACCTCACGGCCATCCGCGAGGTGGACCCGTCCAGGGCGGTCGAGTCCTCGCGCGTCTTCGGACGCGTCGACGGGGACTACCGCAACTTCATCGACTTCTACTACTCCACCACGGCGCAGGAGGTGTTCGCCGTCAACCAGTTCATGTTCGGATACGCGGTGGATGCCGCCGTGCTGTGCAACATCCACACGAAAGAATCGGCCAAGCCGCATCTGTATCTCGGCATGAAGTGGGTCTGCCTGGACCCGTCGACGCTGTCGCGCAAGCGCGATATGTGCTTCCTTGAGTACCTCGTCTTCACGAAGGACCTCCAGGAGCGCGACGTCGGCGTGCGGATCACGCTGCCGCTGCAGCTCGACGAGTGCCCGCCGCTGCCCGAGAAGCTCAAGACCAGGCGGATCCAGTCGCACACGGTCACCATTGTCCGCCCGACCACCGACAGCGCAGACACCACGCAGATCTTCATGACGAGCGAGGTCGACATGTTCAAGGGCTCCGGGTTCTCGTCGGTTGCTACGTTCAAGAAGCTCATGACGACGCTGAGCTCCATGGCGCTGTACGCCGACTCGAAGAAGATCTCGACCTACGGCATCCTGGACCGCAGCAGTTGGGCGCCGAAGAAGGCGCGGTCGAACTGCTCCGTGTGCAACCGCAAGTTCTCCACGACGCGCCGCCGCCAGCACTGTCGGCTCTGTGGCGAGGTCGCGTGTCGGCGCTGTATGACAGTCCGCGATGCGCCAAACCTCGATGACAACGCGACCTCCACGCCGCGCACGTTCCAGGTGGTGAAGACCACGTTCTGCAAGGCTTGCATGGGCAAGATCCGCGGCAGCGACGTCACCAACAGCATTGCCGGGATTGACAGCCAGGACGAAGGATTCTCCGACGCCGAGTCGATCAGTTGGTTCCCGGACAGGTCCCAGCGCCGAAGCTTGGACAACGATACCAACTTCACGTTGACCGGGGGCTCGGCAACTGTATCGCTCTCGCCCGTTGGAGCGAACGCTGCTCCTGCTCTCACTATTCAAGATATCATTGTTGAGAACGCTGAGGATGAAGGCGACTACACTGTTCAAAGGAAGCAGGACAAGTTTTCCAGCAGCATCAGCTCCGAGGTGTACTCGGAAACGAAAACGAGCGTGTCGTCCTCGCAAGATGAAGACGAAGAGATCGAGGTTGAGGTTGAGGAAGTCACGGAGCCTGCTGCTCCGATGATGATTGATCTGCGTCATCTCCGCACTATGGCTGGTGCAGAGCGCGTCGTACAAGAAGCCGAAGAAGCTGAACTGCGGACGATGCGTGAGTCTCTCGCAGCGCTGGACTTCAAGACGGTTCGTCTCATGAACTCGCCGTCGAACCAAGTGGACGACAATGCTGGCGATGAAGGGTTTTCGAGCAACAGGAGCGGTAAACTACCGCCCATGGAGGAAGACGACGACGACGACGACGACGACGATGTCATTGAAGTAATCGACACGCCGAACCAGATCGTGTCTACTTCACGGCAAATCGTGTCGTCTCCTTTGGACGAATCGCCCATGGATGAACACGCCCTGGCAGACCAGGTGCTGTTTGGATCGAGTCGGTCAATCGACCAGTGCCTCCAGGAGCAGGAAGTACTGCTCAAGCGCTTGGTGATGGCAGCGAACTCGTCCTCCGGATATTATCCACCCACCGCGCGCAGCCAGAAGTGATTCAAGCGATGAAGCTAAGCAAGCTAAACAACCAACGATGACTACTGCTCATGAACCTGTACCCGCGTACGGTAGTCACGTACATCAACCACATCACGTAGTTAGGATTTTCTCGAGTGTAATGCCATGTTCCTGAACCAATGTTTCGGTGGCTTTACCGGTTGCTCCTCTTGAAATTTTACAGCACAAACAAACTCGAACGTGAAGCCACCTCCGGTGCAAAGCTTCAACTCGATCGCTCTTGCGATCGTGAGTTCCGCCCAGGCGCTTTCAATTCCTCTTCGATCGAGCTTGGCATCGCCAGGACGGCACGATGGCAGGAGGGGACGAAAAAGGACTTCACCAAAGCTTCGGTCCGACACCGAAGCACTTCAAGGACATTTTCAGCTCCAGCAAACACCGATCATTCCAGCAAACTTTGGTCACTTCCATCCAGCAACCTTTGCACAAAGCTTAAAAAATTCCTCGCGGTCGTTCATAGCGCGCGATGGGCGATGGCTCATCGCGCGCTATGACTATCCCATCCGTGCCATCATGCCGAACACAAGGCTCGATCTTGAATCGTTGCTCAGAAAGTTGCTCAGAACTGCCAGGCTGACATGAATTTCCTGTCGAGGAATACTCTCGCAGCGACAGCCTCAGGGCTGCGCCTCCTGCGCAGCGAGCACCAATCTCCTCAACAGCTCCTCCTGCTCGGCGATACACTGCGTAATGGTTCGCCTCGAGCCGTTTGTCGTAAGTCCGGGAGTAGTGAGCTGGTAGTGGGCGGAGTTGTCCTTGTCGAAAGCTCCGGCGTTGATGCGGCGCATCATTTGGGAGGCCGACATGAGCTTCGACATGTCGACGCCGATGGAAGGTGCCGCCCTGTTGCCTCCGTCCAGGTCGCTGCGCTCGTCGTCATCTACAAAACCACCATCACGTTCGTCCGACGATCGGATCGTCTCGAGTAGTTCAGAATCTGACGAGGAGCGGGCTAAGACGCGCACGTCTTCATCGTCAGTGTGCTCACCGTCAGGCTTCGTCGACGCCCTAGAGTCTGCGAACGCGCTCAGTGTGGTCGATTGGTCCTCGCCCTTGCCCTGCTTTCCCGGATCCGGCAGCGTCACGTCCACGTCCCGCACTTTGGCGACGCACACGCGGCAGAACTTTGTCTTGACTACGTTGAAAGTCCGCTGCGCGTTGTCGCCGTCTTCCTCGCCTTCCCGAGCTCCGCGATGGAGCAAACACTGCTTACAGAAGACCTCACCACACAGCCGGCAGTGCTGGCGACGGCGTGTGGTGGAGAAGCCGCGCGAGCACAAGCGGCACTCCGATCGTGCCTTCTTGTCCACCCAGCAGCTCCGCTTCATCATGCCGTGGATCAAGATCAGCTTCGCGTCGACGTACTCGGCCATGTCGTTCAGCTTGGCCATGAGCCGCTTGAAGTAGAAGCCCGGTACAGCGAACCCGGCAAAGTCGTTCTGGCTCATGAGCAACAGCTCCGTCGACTGCGGGTCTCCCTCAGCCGGGCGCACAATGGACACGATCAGCATCTGCATCCGCTTGGTCTTCATCTTGTCGGGTAGCGGCGGACACTCGGGCAATGTAAGCGGCATGTTGACGCGCACGCCAATGTCTCGGCCGCGCAGGTCCTTCGTGAAGGCCATGTACTCGAGGAAGCAGGTGTCGCGCTTCTTGACGAGAGCGAACGGCTGCAGACACGTCCACTTGATGCCCAGATACAGGTGCGGCTTGCCCGAGGAGCTCGTGTGGATGTTCTTGAGGACGGCGGCGTCCACGGCGTTACCGTACATGAACTGGTTCCACGCGAAGAGCTGGCTCGAGGTCTCCGAGTAGAAGAAGTTGATGAAGTTGCGGTAGTCGCCGCGCAGGCGGCCGAAGATGCGGCACTGGCATCTGGCTGCGTCACCGGTCTGCCGCACGGTGGTGAGCTCAGCGACCGAGCCCAAGGTCTTCCAGCCCTCGCCATAGCTCGGGTTTGGCCCCATGGCCTCGTGCATATCGTAGTCGGCCAGCGCGTTCTTCACCGCCAGCATCATCTTCTGCTCCAATTCGACCACCTGAAGCTGCGATAGATGCACATCCGGGAAGTAGTCGTCGGGTACGGGGAACGAGTTGGCACGGGCAGCGAACATGTCGGCCCTGGTACAGTTCAAAATGACAATGAGTCAGGGATATTTGGCGCTGGTGGTACCGGTAATGCAATCGAAAGGAGGAGGGAACCTTACGGTTGGCTCGAGCCTGTAGAGGACATTGCAGAGGTCAAGCAATTCGAGAAGTGCGCGTGTGCCGCACAGCCTCGAGTTGAGAGTTGGCCGCGCACGGAGGTGGAGATGCGAGTAAGACAGATGGCCGCTACGTTCCTGGTCCAAGAGCGATGCGAGCACTTCCTGGATGACATGATAGTCGCGGCTGAAGGATTTGTCCTGCGGCGTCAACTTCTCCATGCCGCCGCCATGCAAGCATGCTCGACGTCTCCGCACCTAATCGGCACACTTGCCCGCCGCGCCAAGCGAAAGCTCGCACTCATCTTCAGTCGTCGATCCACGCACTTGACTCGACCTGTGGGCTCCCGAGCTCTCCTAGCCGCTAGGCCGTAGCGAACAAACCATGATGAAGCTGGGGTAAAAGATCACGTACGGGTGCCAGTACATGAACACCAAGATGGTTGACGGGCACAACGCAATGGAGCTACCAAGCATCTGTCGCTGTGAAGTGGTGAGTCACGAGTAGTGAAGGATTTTCAGCATGTACGTACATCTATGGATATCTATGGTACTCGACCGAATGGGAGCGAGTGGTTTACTACTGCATCGCTGCTTTCGCGATGAATGTCTCTCTGTCTACACTGGGGCGAAGTGCATTTACAGCTCATAAACGCCATCATCGTGGCTATCGTCGTCGTCGTCTTCGATGATGCCGCTGTTACTGCTGAAGGACGAAGCTTGGCCGCACGCGCTCAGCACTTGCTGCAGGAGCTCGTTCTGCTCGGCGAGGCATTGGTCAAGCGATCTCGAGGAGCTGGTGTTCTCGCCCTGGTCGGTGCTGCGCGTGCGTCGGCCGGTCGAGCGGGACGACATGAAAGTCGGCGTGACGGGCGTCGAAGTGTATCGAGCACGAGCCGTGTCAGGGAACTCGTTGTAGAAGTCGTCGTCAGACATCTCATCCGTCGACGCCGAAACCGAGGACTGCTTGCTTCGAAGCTGCTTCTCGGGCACCATGTCCTTGGTGTCGATCACCTCGTAGATGCTGGAGCGGCGCACGTCGACGTGGTCATCAGTCTGTTCATTCTCGACCTCACGCGGAGTTTGGAGCGACTGCACTGCCATGAAGGAGTTCCTGCCAAGCGAGTAGTCCGAGCTGACTGATGAGCGCACGGTGGGGGCGCCGCTGTAGTTGCGCGAGATGGAGCTGAAGCGGCCGGATCCAGACTTCCAACTGCCGGTTTCGGACTCGTTCTCGGACCACCACGATGAGCGGTTCTTCTCGATCCAAGTGGCGCTGCGTCGAGTCACGTCGGGTTGTTGTTGAGCCTGCGAGTTGTGCTGCGCCGACGACGTCGGGGTCGAGCAACGAGAGCTTTGCGGCTGCGTGGATGATCCCATTGACGACCGGCGAGGCACTGACGACTTGGAAGAAGCCAAGGAACGCCGAGCTGCCTCAGCCTGCTCCTGCAGCACTTCCGCCTCCTCTTCACGGGAGCGGGTAACACACACCTTACAATACAACGCCTGCGCCACGCGGAACGTCCGCTGGCTGGCCATTGCGATGTAGTTGGTGAAGGCGTTCTTCTCCTGACGAATGCCGGCGCGTCGAACGAGGCATTTGGAGCAGAGGACGTCCCCGCAGAGCTGGCAGTGGCGACGCCTGTGACCAGCACGGAATGGCCGTGTGCAACTGGTACAGGTATTGCGAATGCCCGTGGGCACCCACGGTTTGATGTTGTCTCCGAAAACCTGTTGCTCACCGCCAACCCGCGACTGCTCCACGAATCCAGGCGTGCTAATAGTAGTGGCGATACGCTTGGCATCGGCTGAAAGAGACACGTCCTTCAGAGCCTTCAGCAGCTTCTTGCAGTACTTGGTAGACGTGACGAGTCCCTTGTTCTCGCACTCGGTTAGCATGAAAATCTGGGTAGCGTTCGGGTGGGAATCGGACGCGCGTACAACTAGGACGGTCGTGACCTTTTCGCGTTTGGTCTTTAGCTCTTGCGACAGGGGCGGGCACTCCGGGATATCTACGGGCATGCGGACAATGACCGCGGCGTCACGGCCCTGATCGTCCTTCCTGAAGACAATGTACTCGAGGAAGCACTCGTCGCGCTTCTTGGTGAGCACCGAAGGCTGCATGCAGGTCCACTTGATGCCTAGAGTCGCCTGCGTCTCGGACTTGTCCAGGTCCATCTTGCACAGCACAACGGCGTCAACAGCACAGCCGAAGAAGAACTGGTTCCACGCGAAGAGCTGCTCGGACGTCTCGGACGAGAAGAAGCCCACAAGCCGGCGAAAGTCGCCCGTGACTGTGCCGAACGTGCGCGTGATGGTCGTTGAGCCCTTCTTGCGGCGCACAATCGACAGGTCTCCGTCGCGCGCGACCTCCTGCCACCGCCTCTCGTCCTCCAGCCCGAAGCCGGCGACCCGCGCCTCGTGGTCCAAGCATGACGCCATTCCCTTGGTCACCATTTCCTCCACTTGCGCTTGGTATTGCTGCACCTCCGCCAGCGAGAGGCTCACCGGGGGAAAATAGTTGTCGGGCAGGGGAAACTGGAGCTTGCCCGACCGGTAGCTGCATTCGAGTCAATAGGAACATCAAGGCAATCGTTAGTATGCCGGGAAGCTACGTGGGACGAGTACCGAAATGAGCTAAAGGTAAGGTATCCGCAATTGTGACGGCCGTTACAAACTTCAGAAAGCTGCTAGACGATCGCTACGTACGTCGAGGTGGTCGAGGTGACCGAGGCCGTGCGCGGCACCGAGGGCGACGACCTGCGCGGCATGGCGTCGATTGAAGAGTAACGATGAGCGAGCTCTGAGCAAAAGATCCTTGCAGCGGTCGTTCGGTCGCGCAGGTCTAAGCCAACTCTCGCTAAGGCGGCGGACCGAGCGAACGACACGACCCAACACGGGGAGCAAGTGTAACGCTGGCAAGTCAAGTCTGGAAGTGTTGACGGCAGGACGAGTGGACCCCATCACCGTCCTGAGAAGCGAACTCACTCTGAAGCAGAGCAGCGGCTTGATTTTTTCGCGAGGACGCTCGAATATTCCGTTCTGGGGTCCGTCAGCAACAGCGCAGTGGCAGTGCTTTGTATGGCCCGCGCATCGATGTGGCGTCCATGAGCAGACAAGGAAGGCCCACGATATGCTGTTTGGCGGAGGCAGCGCTCGTGCAATTGAAGGATCGATCCGTTCGCGCGTCTCAGATGCTGAAAACCCCAAATCACGGAAGCCGGTTCAACCGGTGTGTGGATCGGATCGCTTGCCTCGGTTACACTCTCCGCTCCCCTTCCTGCAGTGCAATGCAGGATGGGTTCTTGTCGCGGCACCACAAGGCGATGGAGGAGCTTGCTTCCTTCCTGATGAAGGCCTAGAGCTTCAAAAGTTGAGGATGCGTGGACCCAAAAGCTCTTTGCAAGTTGCAACGCGACTACGCCAGGAAAGGCACCTCGAACGAATGGGTTTGTCACACGTTAAAGGCTGCCATGAAGCTCTACGGCTACGCGGCTCAAAGCTGCATCGGTAGGTTGGGTCGTGTGCTTTGCAAGGGCGGAAGCATGGAAGTCGGACAGCTCAACTTCATGCCCGCCGTTATACCCGGCCCGGTATAACGCGCACCGTCACGGAGACCGCAACGCGGTCGCGGCGGCTCCAATCTCAAGCACTGCCAAGTGGGACCAAGCAACGGCTTTACGGTTGTACTGTAGCAAACGCACTGCAACATCGATTCATACTTAGGTTAATACTGTAAGGCTGGCTTCCCGCAGACAGGGACTTCGTGTAGCTAGCCCTCATAGAGAGTAATGTCGGGGCGCGACCTCGTCGACTGCGGATTGCACCCGCTGCTACCCAAGCTCCCGCTTCCTGGGTTCGCGCTGTTTTGGCGTTGCAGGCCGCCGCTGGCCGAAAGCATCATGCGTCGCAGCAGTTCCTCCTGCTCGGCCAGGCACTGGTCGAGGGACCGGGGCGACGTCTTGGAGCTCAGCGGAGACCACCCCGAGCTCGTCTTGCCGCTGTCTGCGTCTTTGCTGGGCGAGCTCGTCCGGGTAGCGCTGTACTTGCCAGAAGACCCGAGCAGAGAGACCGGGACCATGTCCGTAGTGTCGATAACCTCAGTGACCTCCTCCTCAATGAGCTCGCTCGCGGTCATTCTCGGGTCCGCCAGAATTGTCACCGCCTCGTCATCAATGACGTCCAGCTTGGACACGAACGACATCTTGCCCAGGCTCGAGGACATCGACGAGGTTGAAGTCGACCGCCCTTCGCTGCTCCCGGTCTCGGAGAAGAAGGAGATGTGGCCGCCCTCAGACTCCGTCTCGGAGATGGTCGACTGCCGGAACTCGTCGAGATCCACGTCCACGCAGTCGACGACCGACAGCTTGCCGCTCGGCGCGGGCACCGGGACGAGCACGTTGCTGCGCGACTCGCGCATCATCGTAACGCACAGCACGCAGAACTTCGTCTTGACGATCTCGAATGTCCGGTTGCAGCCCGCGTCGTCTCCATTGTCCTCCTTGGGGGCGTCCCGCACGATAGCACACCGCCGGCAAATGAGGTCTCCGCACAGGCGGCAGTGGTGGCGTCTGCGTGTGGGTCCGAACTTGCGGGCGCAGACGCTGCAGCCCTTGCGTGACTTGGACTTGGCCCAGTCTTTCTTGTCCACCACGCCCTGCATCAGGATACGGCGCGAGTCCACAAACACGGCCATGTTCATGAGGATGTTCATCATGCGCTTGTAGTAGTTGGCGGTGACTGCCAGGCCGTTGAAGTTGTTCTGGGACAGCATGAAGAACTCGGTCACGTTGGGCTCGCCGTCGGCCGGTCGCGAGATCCAAACGGTATTGAGTCGGATGCGCTTCGTCTTGAGCTTCTTGGGCAGGTCGGGGCACTCTGGAATATCAAGCGGCAGCGTGACGCGCACGCCCACGTCGCGTCCGCGCAGGTCCTTCGTGTAGATGAGGTACTCCATGTAGCAGTTGTCGCGCTTCTTGACGAGCGAGGACGGGTTCAGACACGTCCACTTGATGCCCATGTACAGACATTTGTGCTTGGACGCCACCGTATGGATGTTCTTGAGCACGGCCGCGTCCGTGGCGTAGCCGAACATGAACTGGTTCCACGCGAAGAGCTCGGCCGACGTCTCGGCGTAGAAGAAGTCGATGAAGTGCCGGTAGTCGCCGTTGATGCGGCCGAAGATGCGCGCCTGGCTCGACGTGGGGCTGTCGGGGGTCTCCTTCTTGATGGTGGTGAGGCCCTCCACCTTGCCCACGACGTGCCACGGGGCTCGGTAGACGGGGTACGCGCCCTTGGCCTCGTGCAGCTCGTACTCCGCCAGCGCGTTCTTGACGATCTCGTTCATCTGCGCCTCGTAGTTCTTGATCTCACCCGACGTCAGACGGATCTCGGGGAAGTAGCCGTCGGGCAGCGGGAACTGGCCGCCGTTGTCGTGCATGGTCTCGCTTGAGTCCCTGGAATCGGATGACAGTCAGTCAGCTATACTGTAGTCGTTCTACCAAGCGGGGTAGATTCCGCGCAATTACCGGCCGGAGGATTGCGAGTCCGAGAACGAATTGGCGTTGTGCCGAGGCATCGTGACACCGGACTGTACTGCACCCGACGTCTCTTTGTGGTCGCTACGCTTGCTAGGTATCGATCTTGGGGCTGTACGCACCAAGGACCTCTGCTCTAGCTGGCCAAGTTGAGAGTGAGGCCGACAGCTCGCGCGAGCTTTCGGCAGCTCCGGCCGACCGCCACATCTCTTGATGTCCCCCATCTGTCACCGCGCTGCAAGGGCGTTGCTGACGCGTGCAATGGTGGGACAGCTTGGCGTTCGCGCGAACTCGGCCGAGCCAGCCGGCGGTGATCGCTCCATCAGCTGGTCGTCCTTGCTTCTCCTCAAGATCTCGGCCGATTTGCGAAGGACAAGTCCCCGATGGCATTGTTCCACGCCCCCGCTTGGCCTCGGACTGCGCCAAGTGTTGCTGCTTGTCGCGCTTTAGCGTCGACGTCTTCAACTTACGAAGGTCAAGAGCGTTGCCTCCGATGCTGCAGACTACTGTGTCATGCATGCCACGGTTTCCTCGGGTGAACTGTGTATTCGTGCTGACTTGTTGCAGTTGCTTCGAAGCGGCGCGATTGGCGTGACGTCGATCGAGGAACCTCACGCTGCTGCTGTGACAACATGATCTGTAATGTAAAGTGCATTGCGAGTTGATGCTGGCCAAAAGCAAACGCTAGGACTGGGACAGCCACCTGGCCGCGCAACACAATACATGCATTGCTTGGCACCATGAATTACATGCACACAAATTGGTCGGGAAGTTCCAGGTGGCGGGAAGCCGTGTCATCTCCACAAAGCCAAGCGATCTGCCCTCTTGGTTTCAAGGTGGGGAAACGTCAAAAGGTGTATGAATTGGAAACGTTTTGTCAAAAGCGGTTAACATGTGTCAATAGGTGTATGTCGGGGTTATCAGTATCGACAGTAAGTGTATGAAAGGTAACTCGTGTCACAACGTGTATGAAAGCTCACACGCCAAAGTCACAACATATATGCCAATGCAAATGAATAGCTAGGACTCCGTTGAAAACGGGTTAAGGCTCAAACCCGGCAAAACCCGGAGTTCTGTGGGCTTCTGCATGTCTTACTGAGTCCGATTCACGGCTTTTAAGCCGTCAGTAGCGGATATTCCGACTGAGGGAGTCGACGCAGATGACATCAGCGACGACGGCGAATCAAGTGATGTCGAGACTCTAAGCATACTCTGCCACTATAGCACCCTCAAAGATTTTCTCGGTCGTAAAAACAGAATATCCAACATCCCCGCTGGCCAATCGCAGCCCGTCCAGAGTCCGCAGACGATTGCCGCAGTATTTGCCGTTCAGACAATTGTTTCGGGCGCCGAAAATGCTAGTTACAGCATTGGGGCATGTGTCGAGCCGACAAATGAACTCGCAACCGCACCAATCCATCGATCCCAAATCTGGAACAGCAATCTTGCATGGATTTTGTGTGTGCGTGATCTCCTCAACTTGCTCTGGCCAGGGAACAGCATCAGCTTCTGTATACAGGCGCGGTGTAACCGCATCAGGACTTGGCTCGGTACTTAGCGGTGATTTTGAATTTTCCTCTGGCTCTGATTCCATATCTCCCTCGTAGGCATCGTTGTCACCAAAATGATCGTGCACCTCGCCATCATCCGTTTTCTTCTTTCCCACCACCGCGCTGAGCGGTCCGTCCAAGGACGACCGTATGTCTGCGTCTTCTATTTTGTCCACTAGACTGTCGTCCTCGTTGGGGCTGTTGTCGCTGTCATTACTCGATAAATCGATGCAAATAACTTCTGGGCTGATAGGCGAGCGTGGAGCTTCATCCGCGACGACTCTGGTATTTTCGACGAGCGCAGCATTCGATAGACGCCTCTCTTCAGCTCCAAACAATTCACCGCTGCATGTCTCCGAGTCGCTAGAACTCAACAAGCAAATAACCTCTGGTGGTAAAAGTGGTGAACCACTCTGGTCAACATGACCCACACCAACGCTGTTTGCAAGCTCGTTTCGTGTATTCGTACCGATGGTACTAGCACTAAGCTCCACTTCTTGCTTGTCGTCATCACTGGTGCCGTCCAAAACGATGACATGCAGAACCGGAGATCTAGCACAGGAGGTAGGAGGATCTGGACCATTACACCTATCTGCTCCGCGCGGTTCACTGTCCTCTTCTTCATTGGTCAGGTCGACCAAATATGCCATGTCGCGAAGCGCCTCATCCTCATGGCGACACTCCGCCACTGTCTTGCCCACCCGCGATATAAATGGCCCTGAGTAGCATGCACCCTTGGAGAAGGTCTTGTACTTGTTCAAAGGCGCGACCTTTATCACGCCACAACGGTACGCTCGAGCCGAGTAGCTCGCTGTCGCATGTGTTGCCTTTTGCGCGACTTCGCCTTGAAGTAGCCTGTCGTCGTAGTGCGCGCGGCGTGCGAACGACGCTCGTGCTGCGCGTACGTCGGTGGGGCTTGCTTCCCAGACACCCGAGTCATTGCCGCTCGTCTCTCAGTCGGATGATGTGGGAATGAGATGTGCTTTTAGTCCGAATGGTTCCTAACGGGTCGGGTCTCAGTGGTATTACACCGGGTTTCGACCCGGTTGCACTGGCTATCAACTACAGTAAAAGCTCTCACTTCCGGTAACGAGGTCCGACCATCTCCTAAGATTTGCCATTTTATTATAAAGGGACCACAATGAAGTACTATACACGTAAAATATATTTTAAAAGCTCAACTGCGAAGCACGAATTATAATATCTTCTACACTGACGTCTTCGTCATAAGTAGTGTCGTTGGAATCGCCGCACCTTTCATCTACACCGTTAAAAACAATTCCAGTATGGCGGAAGCAGTTTTCGATGGCCGACTTATCCTGCAGCTCTTGCCAGATCTCCTTGTTCCACCGCATTGCTTGCAACTGATCGACCGCGTAGGGCTTCTTCTTCAGCTTCTTCACGTCCTTGATCTTTTCGTACACCCAGAGAATCTGCCTTCTCCTGTACGCCCGCTTGAACAGTGCAATGATGCCGGCGTCCATGGGTTGCAAGTAGGTAGTAGTATGCGGGGGTAGGAACTCCACGCGAATGTTTGTACACACCAGATCGCCGGTCTTATGAGAAGACACGTTATCTAGCAGCAGCAAGATATGACGCCCTGCCGCTCGCATGTCCCGATCCAGATTGTGTAGCCATTCTCGGAATATCGGTCCTGTCATCCAGGCCTTCGCATTAGCCCGGTATGAGAAGCCGAGGCTTTCTGCAGAGCGCTTCTCAAAGCAATGAGGCTGCTTGGCGCGACCCAGGAACAACGGCGGTAGTGCGTCCGTGCCGTCAGCGTTCACCGTGAGAGCAAGCGTAATACGGGTCTTCTTCTTCTTGACTCCTCGCGCCCGCTTCGTACAAATAGAAATAGACCGAGCTGGGGCCATTGCGTAGCAAAGCCCCGTCTCGTCCATATTGTAGATGTCCTTTGCAGGGTAGAGATTCGTGATTTCTTGGAGTCGTTGACGACCTTGAGCTACAGCAGCGGGATCAGCGGATCCAGACTCGCCGGGTCGATTGCGGTAGCGAAGGCGATGCCTATGTTCAAATGCAGTGAGCCAGCCGTCGGAAAACCCCAGGTCCCATGCGTCGCACAGCTCACGCTGAATGTCGATCGCTTTCATCCTTATCAGCTCGCGGGACAGACAGACGTTCTGGGCCTCCACCGCCTGAATCCACGCCCACAGTCGCGCCTCCAGCGCCGCCGAGGTCACCTTCAGGGGCTTGCGGCGGTTACCATCGCCGTAGTCCTTGCTCATGATCAACGCAGCCTTCTTGAGTATGTCGGACACGGTCGACTGGGCTGGTGCGCGCTTGAGTTTGTAGTGTGCTTTTGTCCACGCTGCGAGCGCTGCTTGTGACATCGTGGGCAGTCGGCTGCCTTCTGTATGAGGCCTCGCTTCTGATGTATTTTCATTCAGGACCCCCTGGCGTTCTTGTACTTGTTTGGCTCAGTGAAAATTCTGGTATGAAGACCTGCTTCGGGCTGGCTGCTGTTGCTCTGTGGCAATGACTGGTGTGCAGTAGTTCGCGCCAAAACTCCCGCCAGGGTTTAGTAAAAATAAACCTTTCCAAATAGATTACATCGTTTTATTCGGGATATTAATTTATACCAGTACCGGACGTGGGGCGCTTACTGTAAACAAGTGTCAGTACGTGTATGTCGTTCAAACGTGACCAGGCCGCTGTGAGGCACCGCTTCTGACAAACGTTTCCCCAACGCATACACCTTTGACGTTGTTCCTTCAAGGTGGAGGGAGATCTGCTCAAGGCTCTCCTCTCCTGGGCTGAGCGAGGGGCCCCACGCTCCATGCAGCGATTCCGTCACCGCCGTGACGACGACCCCAACGCAAGAAACGATTCACGCGAACTCTTCTCTTGCCCGCCGGTCAGCGGCACTGCAAGAAGAACCGCGACTTTTGTCACCAGCGGCACAAGAGGCCGACCGACCCAGCCATGGACGCGACTCGGGTTTCTCCATGTTCAGTCTATGGGGTGGATTCGACCAACACGTCAGCGAGCAAACTTTTCAAACAGCAAAGCTCATGCTCGGCGTCCGGCTCTGGCTCATGTTTGCGGGCTGGAGGACTCAACAGTCGAATGCGGCAGCTTCAACGTGTTGCACGAGATAAAAAGTAGCTGGCGCCACCGCGAATTCAGCTGAGGACTGCAGACAGCACTCCTCAAATCTGCCTCCTCCTGCTAGGAGCAGCTCTCAGATGTGCCTGTGGGCCTGCTTCCCGGTCACCTCGACACTCGTCGCATTGTTCACGGCCATGGTGGACTGGCCGAAGTTGGTAAGGTTTGATAGCAGTTTTTCTGACTGGCGACCTTTGAAGATCGATGTCGAGCATGGAGGCGGTCGGCCGCTGTGAAGGCTGTGGGTCTCCTACTCGGCTTTCGGTTGTCACCGCGGAGGGGGAACAGTGCAGTGAAGGCGTACGCGAGAGGTTACTGCTTCACTGGGTCAACTCGCTGCCTCTCACCAAGTGTTTGCTGGTCGAGGAGCTGCGTGATCTGCGCTTCGGAGATGTACTCTTTGAGGTTGTGCAGTGGTTGCAGGTACGGAGTTGGTAGATGACATGCCGATTGATGCCCTGCTGACAGTTAATCGTTGCATCTGAAGAGCAATTCGAGTGATGAAGGAACTGCGTCCGAAGCTTCAGCTGAGATCGATCTGTTGGCCGCTGATGCCGTTGCGGAGCGTCTTCGTCGCGTTGTCCAGTTTGCTGCTAGTGAATGCCGGAGTCAGGATGAAGATGCCATGTACATTGTCAACGACGCGGAGTGTGTGGCGCAGATGATGGAGGGAAGCAGTGAAGCAATCTGCGCAGTGCTCACCGTGTTGAAGAGACTCAGCATTCAGCGGATGCAGCAGCAGCAGTCGATTGAAAGCGATAGAGACGCTCTCCACCGTCGCCGTGCCCAAGAAGAAATGATTAAACACTCGCTGCAGCAGCCCCGATCGCCTCCTAAAGTGATAGAGGAGGTTGTCCAACCCAAGCAAAAATACAAGCGAGTGCAGTCGTCTCGAAGCCGGCCACATGTCCTCCAAAACGCACCCAAGTCTTCCAAGACCGCCCAAAGGAAAGGGTCGTTATCAACGGAATCAAAAGCGCCAAGGCCAAGTACCAAAGGCCCGACGACTGTAAAGAGAAAATCTCGTACCCGTCCTCGCTGCAGTTTAGCCTCCAGTACAAACCCAAGAAAGACTACCCAGTCTGAGATTTTTCACGATGAGCGTGGGCTTCGAGTGTTCGGGATGTTGGATCCGATAGCAAAATACCAGCCTCAAGGCGAGAGCCCACACGCTGATAGCTCCGATGAGGATGCACTTGCGATGCGATTTTGCAAGTGGGTGCAGCAAACGTTGCAGATTGGGATGCCTCTGAAGCAGATTTTCGTAATACGGGCGAAGAAGTGGAGATTAAATTCACCAAGACGCGTTCGACAAGTGTTTTCTAATGGAGTTTTGCTGTGTCGTATCGCTTTCGCTGTCCTTGAACGGTACGGCAAGAAACTTAAACAAAGTGTTCCTGACGCGAAGCTACTCCATTTCGACGGTCTCGCTGCCATAGCCGATCCTCAGACGCCTATTGACCGGCGGCACAATTTGGCATTAGCTCGGGCTGCGTTCGAATTCTTCGGGGTGTCTGCTAAAGCTGTTGCCTGCTTTGAAAATTTGCAGTGTCCGGGGAAGCTATGTTCATCTAAGGCGTTGTGGGGTGCTCTGGACAACCTCGTCCATCAAGTCAACAAACTTGCTCACGTCGATGAGGTCTCGAAGATACCCCACCCAGTGAAATCGGATGTCGCTAAAAGCCTCACTATTGCCAACAACGATGAAAATACTGCTGTTCACAATGTCGAAGGCACTGATGGTCCCAGTCCCACGCACGCCCAGGAACGTCAAAGGAAAGCAAGGAGGCCTGCGCTCTTAGATTCTTCATCCGTCGGGTGCGCTCCATTAAAGCGGAACTTGCCTTATATCACAAACGAACAGATGCATGCAGTGAACGAATGGCTAACGCTTGCCGGTCTGGATCCGAAGAAAGTAAGATATTGGTTGGGTTAGCCTGCTGCCTGGAAAAGACTAACACGCTTTGTACAATTCGCAGGCCCCAACCGGCGGTGTCTTGCTGGATTCGATGCGCAACGGTTCCTTGCTCTGGTAATCCGATGTTCATAGAGCACTGCTCCATTCTAGTCGTATACTGAAGTATCTGTGCCGTGCTGTTTGTAGTGCGCTATTGACTCAAGTGGTGAAGAGCGCATCCTTCCCGTTTTTCAAAACTCCTCGAACGTTGACGGAGATGCGGTAGGGTGACTCATTTTCTGTTGTCCAAGCGGATGGAGTTTTACTTATCGACTCCATTTGTTTGCTATTTTCTACTAGAGAAAATATTTCCAAGGCATTTGAAAAACTTGGCGAGCTACCAGGTGGACGGATCCCGTCGTGTTATTTGACTGCATCTGCAGAGCAGGCTGTTCTCATCGGCGATCGACAAGTCAGCTACGGGATTCTGTGGCACCTCTGGCAACTCTTTCGGGAGAAGCGTAAGACAGACTCGCTCGCTAATAGCGCGGTTCATGAATCCTCGAAGGTAAACCCGCGATCCAGGGAGAAGAAGGAGTTAGCGAGTCAGGGGCCAAGTCCAGTACACCCTTCTCCCTTGCAACTGGATATCCCCGCTGTGGCCCTGGTTGAGCATGGAAAATTCGCTGTTAAAGGTGACCACGCAACGTTAGTTCAGGTTAAGCTGCACGAAAGCTTTGCGCGCCGTCTTGCATGGAGTAAAAGTGACCCGCAAGATGACGACGATGATCTGTTTCCAGTACCAAAGGCACCCTTCTCGAGTCCAGTATACAGCGAGCCATTTCACCCTGGATCTTTCGAGGCTCGCGAGTACGAGTTGAACCACCAGGACATGGATATATTGCCGGTCCGCACCGAGTTTAGCACCACCGCTGCGGTGGCTCCAAGCAAACCTGGGCAAGATGAATCCGCTTTCAGAGCACCGAGCATTGCACTGTCAGAATTATCAGGTGCGTGCCAACTTTGATCGATCTGTGGCCGTGTACAGCAACACCTAACAATTTTGTGTAGGCGAAGAGACGGCGAGGGTAGCCCCAGTCAAGACAACCGACCGAAGCAATGAAGGGTTGATACATGTAGAGCCATCACCGATCAAAGCTTCAACAGCTCCAGCACGCTCGACTTCCGCATTATCGCGGGAACCTGTCGAGGAGATTTTGTCGTGGCTGAAAGGCTTGAACATTCACCTCAAGAACGCCTCCGCTCTCCAGGTGCGAATGCAGCATCGCATCAACACTAGTCGTCACTCCAAAACTCACACTATCCTACAACTGCGCAGGATCCATCAGCGACGTTGACGGAATTCCAGTCAGGCGTGTTGCTGTGCTGCATCGTTGAGAAGGTGGAGCTCATGCGCAGCATCCCAGGAATCACGCGGCCGTCCGGCAAGCAGCCACTCAGCAAAACCAGCTCACTGCACAACATCACCAAGGCGCTCGCCATCCTCCAGCAGAAGAAGGTAAGTCGTCCCCTCCTCCATCCCCATCCTCCAGCTCTAACATAACACTCCTCTGTTTTCAAGACCATGCCTCTCCACCTCCTCCGTCGCGCCGCCGCCATCTACGCCGGAGACCGCGCTGTAATCCTCCAACTCCTGCTCCAGATCCGGAAGGCGTATGGCCACCACCACGCCCCCCGTCAACGCCCCAAACAGCAGCAAGCGCACTCACCCGCAGCGTAGAATAACCCACCCCACCTTACTACCAAAAATGCACGTGTGTATGAATCAATAGGCTCTTCTACCGTCGACCATCTCCCCCTCCTCGTCGTCGTCTCTACTTCTGCCGCTGCTGCTTCCAGCGGTACACGGCGGGCATGCCGTTCTCGGCCGCCTTGACCTTCCTCTTGCGGCCCTTGGCCTGCACCTTGCGCTCCAGGTCGAGCTTGGCGCTCATGCGGCCGATCTTGTTGGCGCGCGCGAGGCGGTCGCGCATCTCGCGGTACTTGGCGTTCTTCTCCACCTGCATCTTGTGCTTGTGCTTGGGGTTGGCGGCCAGGTCGGGAAGCTGCTTGGTCTGCAGGTCCTTGGTGCGCAGGCGGTTGAAGGCGCGGTCCACGAGCTCGGGCGCCGTGTCGAAGTGCTGCGCCACGTCAAACGTCTCCAGCTGCCGGTCGTCCTCCACGAACACCGTGTGCTTGTTGCCCTTGCGCGCGTCCACGAAGTGCAGCCCGCGGTTGAGCTTCTCGGCCTTGCGCAGGTCCACGGCGCGCTTCATGTGCAGGTAGGCCAGGTCCTGCGTCTTGAGGGTGCGCAGCGCCTCCGAGTCCACCTGCTTGATGTGGTTGTGCGTGGACACGTGCACGCCGCCCTCCGTGCGCGCGTCCGCCATGCGCTGGTAGAACTCGTCCGGGTTGCGCAGCGCCGCCTTGAGCTGCAGCGTCTGCAGCCGCTTCTGCTTCTGGTTGTAGTCGCGCGCGCGCTTCACATAGTCCTTGTGCTTCTCCAGCAGCCCCAGCTTCTTGCGCTCGCGCAGCTGCCCGCGCTCCTTGTGCTCGCGCCGCTTCACCACGTTGCGCAGAGACGACATCCTGGCTCCTTCCTACTGCTTAGTGACGGGCTTAATTGGAGGAATGGCTGGCCTACCATTAGGGTACGTGGTTACACTTTTGAGGGTACTCGAAGGGTGCATTTGTACCCCCAAACACAGATTTGAATTTAATTTGTTGAAGCTTGTTGAAGTTGTCCGGTACACGTACCCCCCGCCACCAACTCTAGCCTACCGCTTCTGGTGGTTGAGGAACTGCAGCGCGAGAACGCGAAAGACTACGGCGAAGACCAGGAGCGCTCCAAAGTAGCGGCCGATGTCGTCGTGCTTCATGTTGTACGCGTCTTCGAGCAGCCCCTTGACCGTCACGTTGCCGACTGCGAGTGGGGCGTCTTGCAGCGGCTGGCATCTGATCTCCGGGCCAACATCGATGTAGTCACCCGTGACGGCGTTGAGCTCCGGGGTCGTGGAGCAGTCGCCATGCGTCAACGTAGCGAGGATCGGCATGGCGTAGCGCTGCGGGGTGATCGTGTAGAGCCACTGGTAGCCGGCGGAGATGGAGCTGCCCTGCGGATTGAACCCGACGAAGAGGAAGAAGACCGTGGACACGACGGACCCGGCAAGTGACGCCATGACGATGTTTGGCAGCACGAACGCGAGCAGGTGGCCCGCGTAGACGTCCACAAGAATCGAGAGGGACGTGGCCAGCCAGAACAAAAGGAACTTGACGAATCCGGTGAAGCTCATGAAGAGGAACAGGAGCGCCGAAATGATCAACCCCTTCGCGAAGACATACGGGATTTCCACGACCGTCCCAGCAGCAAAGTAAGACAGGTAGAAAGCTGCGCAGTCGTTGAAAGCGAACGGAATTGAGCTATTGAAGGACACGAACCCTTGGAACTGGAACGCGACGAAAATGATGCCGAGGCCCGAGGCCACCCCCTGATACGAAGTCGTGGATAAATCCATACCGACAAGTCCCAGCACGATGATACTTCCAAGTGCTACACCCAGCAGTGTGAGGCTGTGCGCCGGAGACCGCCAGTACATGATGAAAAACCGCTGAAGCAGGAATTTCAACTGCACCACCGTAGAAGCTGCTCGCTTACGATGATATCAAAGGTGGGGCATCAGGAGACGAACGTCCAACGCCGTCCTCCTCCAAAACCACATCCAGCTGCGATTTGAGTACGCTCTCGTTAAATCGCTGCACGAAATCCTTGTCATCTCCTTCAGAAACCGGATTGTTGACACCAGCGCCGATGCATTCGAGCATCCAGGTTGCAGGGTTGTACTTTTCAGGCAGCGGTTGCACACCTGGGATCGCCTCAAAGTAGTCAACCAGCGTCTGACAGTCCTGAGCTCGCCGAAGTATACCGTCTCACCGCCACATTTGAGCAGTAGCAGGTTAGTACGACGGCTGGTGAATTGTACAGATAACCGTACGCCCAGAGTTCGCGACCTTGCAGATACTGTCCATGATCATCTTGGCGAAGCGCGCGTCCAGGCCGCTCGTGGGTTCATCCAGAAAGAGCACACTCGGCTGGGCCGCTAGCTCCACGCCAATCGTCAGTCGCTTCAGCTCCCGCGTGCCATGTGATCCGCCACATTCTCAAGGCCCAGCAAGTTCACGATTTCATTCACGGACTCGAGCTTGGCACTCGCTGGAATGTCACTGTCCTGACGGAGAAAGGCACTGAAAGTGAGCGCCTCGCGGAATGTCGCCGTCTCGGAGTGAATATCCGTCTGCTCGCAGTACCCCGTGCACCGCCGGATAGCAAGCTCCGTCGCCTCGTGACCGTTGAGCAGAATCTTACCCCTGATAGAGCCCGTGTTCTTCCGCCCGGCGATCACATCCATGAGAGTTGTCTTGCCGGCACCGGAGGAGCCCATGAGCGCTGTGATGGTCCCCGGACGCGCGAACCCGCTGATTCCCTTCAGTAAGTTGATGGACTCCGTTGGTTTGCTCGGGTTGGGAACGGAATACCACAGGTCCTTGAACGCCACCGTCACTGGCACGAACGCTTTGAGAGGTTCTTGGATATCAATCGATACGGCGTTACTCGGTGATTTTGATGGCGTAGTTCGACTGCCTTCCTTCGGAGTTGCCGCAAGCTGATAGTGATCAGAACCGTCGTCCTCGTCGCTCATCGTTGCTGACTTAACTGCTCGGAACTCCCCCTAGTAGCGCTTGTATTCGAGTGCGAGATAGCTGAGAATGGTGAATGCGAGGATCAGCCCGATGAGGTAAACGATGCCGAAGACAACCCACTCCTTCCCCGGCGGAATGATGTACACACCCAAGTAGTACTCGCCCATAGTCTTACCAAACTGATCGCAGTAGTCCACGTCCTCGTACATGCACACATCAAATGTTGCAGACCGATACTGGTTCACAGCCAGCGCACGGAAACCCCGAGCCATCGGGTTTAGCCAATGGAGCCACGACAGGTATGCTCCTTAGTGACGATGACACCAGGATGACTTGAAGAATTCCTAGAGCGAGCGGGTTCGTGACGTAGATGTTTGGAGATATCGCTGCGACGAAGAAGAAGATCAGAACGGCGGCCATGACGATAAGGAAGACGACGAGCTCGTACACGATGAAGCTCCCGGCGTTAGCCTCAAGACCACCAATCCAGTACAGGAAGGCTCCGAAAACGAAACTCTCTGGTAGCGCTATCAGGACTTGGCTGACGACTTCGCGAGCACATACGCAGACGTCTGGAAAAAGCTCGCCGATCGCTGCTTGTAGAAAAGATCTCGCATCTCGATGAACATCGAGCGCTGCGAAGTCTGTTCAAAGAGCGGGCCCCGACACAAAGAGCACTCCAAGCACCAACGGCGCATTCGTGGGAATCGCGTCCATGAACACCGTGCCTGCCACCAGTGCCGTCAATAGGACCAAGACCATCCGACTGCGGACCGTGTTGACGTCCCGCATGATGAGCATCAGCTGCCTAGCCACGAGTGTACGGATGTTCGCCCACACAGATCGCTGGAACTGTGGCATTGCTTCGGCATACTCACTCCACTTGCCTCGAATTTCATGGTTGAATAAAGTCGCCAAAAGACTGAGATTGCCCTGGTGAATGCTGGAAGAACGGAACTTGTCCGCGTACTCGCTCGCTAGGCGGGGAGCCTTTGCTCCTCCAAAAGGACCAGCAGTCGACGTGGATTCGTACGCGTACTGCTGAGAAGTTCCGAGGTCCAGCAAGAAATCCGCGACGTCTCGGTTCGGAGGACAGCTGAGTCCCAGCTCACGAAAGTACTCGACAACCATCTCTTGAGGCCCATAATACATCACTTCGCCCTCGTTCAGGAGAATAATGTCATCAAAGAGCGCGGACACGTCAGGGGACGGCTGCAAGTGCGAAATCACTATTGCCTTGCCAAGGGTCCGAGCGATGGTGCGTTGGGTGTGAATGATGTCAAAGGTGGCCGCGCTGTCAAGCCCAGTGCTGTAACGGATGCAATGCCTCCGTTGAGCACATCGTGGATCGAATCTGGTCGCACGGATTTATGCAGTGTTTGCGACCACGTTGTAGATATGAAGTCCTGTTGTTTACTTTTGTTCACTGTAGTTTACGAGCCAAAATGAATGGCCACAAGAGTGTAGCTGGCGTAGCAGACTAAAGAATCAATTCACTCCTCAATTTTCCATCGTGAGCGCTAGTCACATGACAAGTGCTGATCGTCCATGAACACGGCACGCTGCATCCCGAGAACCATTTCACCAGTCGTCACGCGCTTCTTCTCTCCACCCGACACGCCACGCACCAAGTTGTCGCCAACAATGGTACCCAGCAGTTCTGCAGGTCAAGCTGCTCCTTGATCACCTCGGGGTAGTTCTGAAACATGTCGATGGCAGATTTGAGGGCTTGTTGACTCGCGTGATCCGCGTCTCGCCCCAGCAACACCGTAGCGTGACTACCTCCACCGGTGTTGAAGACGTGCGCGAATGACAACGTCTCCTTGACCGACAGTAGTGGGAAATGGAGATCAGTGTGAGGCACGTACGCCGCCAGTTGTGGCAGCTTGTTGGCGATGGAGTGTTGAGGCACGCCGTTGTACGTGATATCACCAGCCAGCCGAACATGGTGTCCGAGACGCCCACTCAGCGCCTTGAGCAGCGTCGACTTTCCCGATCCCGGTTGCCCAAGGACCAACGTCATGGTCCCAGGACGTAGCACACCGCTCACTCCATTGAGAATCACACGCTGCTCCGACTTCCTTGAGGACAGCAGGGTCTCCGCTGCACGCTTGAGCGTATTCCAAAGCGTCGGCAGTTCCGGAGAGGCTTCTTCTTCATCGTCTCGCTGCGACTTGACCGTGGACGCCTTGCAGGATACCGAGAGATCCGAGAAGCGGATTTCAAGATGCGGTTGCGAATGGCCAAGCGCTTCCTCCAGTTTGTCCGCGAAGGATTCGTAGAAGACTTGAGCATTGGTAGTTGTCAAAGACTGGCCTGAGTCTGGCTCACCAAGTCTCATGATCGGAAAGTGTGCTGGTTTGCTGGGGGTTAAGAGGTAAATTGAAAAGCGAGTTGCCCCACTCAACGCATCGCCAACGGTGGGTCTACGGACCACAGGCTTATAGAATTCCCTTGTTAAACGAGCTCATCCATGCGTGGGATTGCATCATTCCAGCAATGACGCAATCTTGTGTTGTGGACAGTCGCCGGGGCAAGATGACGGAGACATCGCTGTCGATGCAACCAACACACTAGAGCGCGTGGACGACTTGTCGACCATAGAGGCTCTAAAGTAGAGCAGTAGGTACAAGCCAATGAACCACGAAATCCCAAATTTGACCCCCCCCCCCCAACAAACCCACGTCGCCAGTACCTACATAATCATTAACGACCTCCACTCACTCACCCGCGAGAGCGGACACATATCGTTGCTCAGCTCTGTTATACGACTATCGCATGAAAGCAGCAAGGAGTTTTGCAGCCATCTTGAGAAGAAGATGGATGGAGGCGTCCATGCATCAAAACTATACTTGGTGTGCACCACATACCCCGTGTACCATACAAACACCGAGTCATTTTCATTATCATTTTCATCTCAACGTGATGGCCAAGTCGGGGACTGCTGCCCAGCTGCGCGCCTCGGCGTTCCTGCGGCGCGGCGCCTGGGAGCTGCGTCAGGGCCAATGCACCGGGGCTGCGGCCACGCTACTTCTGCTGTTCTGGCTGTCGGTTCTGAGTCTGACCCTCTGGGTCTCCCCTCCGACGCTGACGTCGCAACTGTCAAACCTTCGGAAGCAGTTCCAAGCGAGCGGCGACGAGAACCCGCTGCGGTGGGGGGACGGTGATAGCGCCGTCATACTCAAGGGGCAGCATCTAAAGCGGTTGCTGCCAACTCAGTACCCGAACGGAGCTACCAACAAGTTCCAGTGTGACCTGCCGTCGCTGCGGTACGAGTGCGACCTGAATGCGGAGGAAGGCTGCAAGGCCTACCCGCAATTGTTCCCGTCCGCTGCGCTCTTCGACAATTGGAAACCGGAGGACACGCAGATTCCCCGTGCCATTTTTGATAGTATCTGCCACTTTAACGTTTCCGACCCGGTGAGTATTGAACGACAAGTTGCTGAGTTGTGGTTTACTAAGTGTTCGTTTTGTTTGTGTTTATGTGTAGTACGAGTTCCGCCTGGCTCAGATGTTTCGGGAGATGGAGGTTCCGTTTGTGACCTACGGCGTGCCGGAGCTTACTGCGGCTACGGAACTGTGGACGGACGAGTACCTGACGCAGAAGCTGGGTCCGACGGCGCGCTACAAGGTTCACGTGGCAAACGACACCCACTTCATTTACTACCAGAAGGGCAAGCAGGTTGCAGGTCAGAAGGACCCTTATGAGTCGCGCTGGATGACGTACCCGCAGTTTGTGAAGGCGGTGAACGATGTCAAGCTACCCGAGGAACTTGGGGAACCGCACGAGTACTACTACTTCATGCTGAAGAAGAACGACTTTCTGAACCGAGCAGCATTCATCTACGAAGATCTTCGGTTCCTGAGCGCAGTGCAACCAAAGCACGACCCACGCTTCGGTGACCTCTATATTCGAGATGTCTCTATCGCCAAGGAGCACGGGATGCGCTGTCGTCTTGGAATGCGAGGTATTATTGCTGAGGGTCACATCGATGGCGGCTTCAACCATATCTCCATGATCCGTGGAACCAAGCGCTATGTGATATCCCCGCCAAGCTCGTGCAAGTGCCTGGGTCTGATGACTTCGGGTCAGTCTGCGCGTCACACGACGTTCAACTGGTCGGACACGAGTGTCCTGCCCGAGACCGCGCGCAATTGTCCCGCGGCGGAGGTGGCGCTCACGGCTGGCGAGGTTTTGTATCTGCCATCGTTCTGGTATCACCATATCGTCTCGTTGGACACGAGCATTCAGTGCAACCTACGCTCTGGTGACGCTATTCGCGATGACATGAAGGGGTTCCTGATGGACTGTGGCTTCGGCCGTGGTGGTTGAGCTCGTTGGCAAGAGGAATTCGATGAAATTTTGCACACGTAATGTATTGGGGTGAATGCTTATTGTAGTGTCGGTGGTCTTTCAGAACGATTCAAGTACTCGATAAACGTCGAAGCTCACAAGTTTGGCGACAAGATATGGCGAACAGAGCCCGTCGGTTAATTCTGCACTTGGGCGCTCACCGTCCCTGCAGCGTTTGCCGCGGCGGCAATGCCGAACTTGGCCACGGAATCCGATGTGAGCAGGCCGAACGACTTCTCGAACGCGCTGGTCTTGTATGGCGTGTCGAACGCCTGGAAGAAGAACGACTCGCTCTTGGACTTGCTCCACTCCTTGTAGTCGCTGTAGAACGTCTTCAAGCCATCCGCGCTGCCGACGTTACCCGAGAGCGTTCCTTCCGAGGGCCATCCAGTCTCCGTCAGCATCAACTTGCCGGCAAAGTTCGCCTCCATGGCCTTCCACTGGTTGTCGAGCACGTTGATGGCGTTGTCCGCAGTGGTCTGCGGATTGAAGTACGGCTGAACGTTCACGCCCAGCACGTCGCAAGCCGCTACAAGCTCCGACCAGCCGGCAATGCCGGCGTAGTTGATGACCTCGGTGTTGCGCTGCACCGTGCCGACCTTGACCGTGGCTGGTACCAGCGACTTGATGCTCTTGATGAGGCCGATCATGTCGCTGGGCACAGCTTTTGCGCCTGCGAGGTTCTCATTCCCGACAAAGATGTAGCCCACGCCACCGCTGAGCGCGGCCGTGAGAGCAGCGTCCTTCTGCTCAACGTAGTCGGACTGAGGGTACGGCACGCCCAGAGCGACCGTGATGTTGTGTGTTGCAATGGTCTGGCCCAGGTTCGTGTTGCCGAACTTAGAGATGTACGTGCGGACTGCGGTGAAGCCCTGGCTCTTTAGGGTCTTTATGTCTTGGTTGACGCTGCTGGCGTCCATGGCGCCGCTCGCGGCGTGGTTCGGGTCGTAGCAGACGCCGTTGGCGCTCACTTGAGCTGCGAGCATTGCGACGGCAGCGAAGATCGGAGCGAAGAACTTCATGGCCTTGATTGGGATCGGTGTGCTTTGCGCGGTTGAGTGCAAATGGAGAAGTGGCCATGGACAGCGAGCAGCTCCGGCCCGAAATGAAGCGGGTATCCAGCGGTGGCGTGCTCGTAAGCTGTAACAGCTACTCCCCAATTTCAAAGGAGCACGACGCTGACTGCTTCCCGCCTTTGGTCGCACAGGCATCGCGTGCGCCTGGAACACGCCGATGCATTTGAAAGTTTCATTCATTGAAACCCCCGCCATGAAAACTTACCATCGAACAGCGCAAACGTGCTGTATACTACGACAGCGCGAAGGTGTCTGCCGACGGCGGCGAAAGCCTGCATGGGGAGACGCTCTGGAGCTCGGTGTCACACAGGACAGGCGTCGTTAGCGTTCGCGCGCGCGAAGGCACGCGGCTGTCCAGTCCGGAGGCCAATGCTCGAGTGATTTCAAGGCTTTCAAGCTGAACACGTAGCCATACATCCTCTGGGCAAATTACGCGTTGTTGTGTTACTGTTGGATTATTTTACTACTGGTTAGCATAGCTTAGCTGGCCGACGCCGTCATCCCCATCCGGAAGAATCGACTGGCGGCGGCGCTCAATGGCATCGGAGTGACAGACGTCGGCACGGGTGGGTGGAACTGCTCGATGTCTTCGCACAGCAAGTTGATCAGCGCGTCCTTGGACAGCTGATCGTCGGGCAGGTCGAACGAGAAGTCGAACGCAGTCGACACCACGAGGTCGTTTTCGTCGAAGAAAGTGGCCAGGTACGGGTGGCGCAGCGCCGCGTCCACTGAAATACGCTTCTCCGGGTTGAAGAACAGCATCTTGCTCAGTAGATCGATCGCCTCCGAGCTCACGGCGTTCTCCGTGCCGCTGCCGGCGAACACGTCGCGCCACTTTTTCGGCTTGGAGATCGCGAGCTTCGTGAGGAAGCGCATCGCCTTGGTGTTCTTCACAAACCCAATGTCCTCCTGCTTTGGCGTGCCCAGGAACTTGATGATGAGCTTAAGCTGGTGCAAATAGTCGTTTCCGGGGAACAGCGGCTCGCGCAACAGCATTTCTGCGAAGATGCAACCCACCGCCCACACGTCGATAGCTGTAGTGTAGTGCAGACAGTTCAACATGATCTCTGGCGCGCGGTACCACCGCGTGACCACGTACTCCGTTAGTTCACCAGGCTGCAGCAGCTCCTCTTGTCCGCCGACCCCTCCACGAGCGAGGCCGAAGTCGCACACCTTAAGGTCGCAGTTCGCGTTCAACAAAATGTTGCTGGGCTTCATGTCACGGTGCAGCACGCCGGCCGAGTGGATGTGGTGCAGCGCGCACAGCATTTGGTACAAAAAGTACTTGACGTGGTCGTCCGACATGGGCTGCATCGAGTAGATCACCTGGTGCAGGTCGGTCTCCATGAGCTCGGTGATGATGTACATGTCATCAAACTGCTTGCGAGAAGGAGGGGGCGACAGATCCAGCAGCCGCGTGATGTTCTTGTGGTTGAAGTGGCCCAGCAGCCGCACCTCGCGCAAAATACGTTTAGCATCCACCAGGTCCTCGAAGATGTTGGTGATCTTCTTTACGGCCAGGTTCTCCCCACCGTTCACTACGTCCTTGACTGCGATAACTGCACCGTACGCTCCGTTGCCAATGGGTTTAACTAGCTGGTAGCGAGTATCCAGAGTGAAAACCTGTCCGTTCGCATTGAACGAGTGTGTCTGTGGCCGCAGCGTCGGGAATAAACCGGAGCTGCTAGTTGTGGCGCCAAAGGCAGCACGAGGGAGACGGCCGCGTCCGTTTGCTACTGCCGATCTTGAGCCAGCTTTCGTGTACTCGTCCTCCAGCCCCACGCTTTGGTAAGCAGCAACGCCCCTGCCTGCCAAAACTGCACTTTTGTATGGTGCCACCGAACTTTGAGTGGCGAGATCTCCAGCAAGAGAGTCTTCTTCCGAGTCGTCATCGCCCTGGTTGTCCTCCTGGTTGTTGCCTTCCTTTTCGTCCGCGGCGTTGTTATTGTCCGTATCCACTAAATTCTGTGAGTTCGATGATCCACTCCCACTTGATCGATACTCGGGCGTGCAGCAATACTCGATCGCCCTCCTCGCCGGCAGTTCTTCATCCTCCAAAGCTGGGGTGACTCTGTCGTATCGTTCATCCGCGGGCGGTTTCGTTTCGTCCTCGTCTTCCTCCCCAACGGCATCTTTCCTCGCCGCACGAATCTCCTCCGCTGGAATATCCTCCTCGTAGTGATTGTTGTTGCTGCACTCGCTGCTGGTGAAGCTGATGGCGCTCAGGTTGTGGTCGCGGTCCCTCGTCATCACCAGCATACTGGACCGCCGGCCTTCATCTCCGAACATGGGCACGATCTTGGCCGCTGGCTCCGTCACGGGGTTCCAGCCGGCGGCGTCTCCGTGTCGGTACTGCCGCTCCTCGGCCTGGAGCACGAGCCTGCTGATGCACGAGTTGAGCATCTGCAGCCACTTGACGAGCGTCCGCTCGTCGGTCGCCGCGAGTCGCAGCAGCTGCGACGCGCTCTCTTCCCTGGTGTCGTCGTCTGCGTCCCGGGCCCCTGCGATCTCCACGCGCTGATGCGCCGCCGCCAGCTGCAGCTCCAGCGCGTGCTTGACCTGTCGGTGCGTGCGCAGGTCCGAGACCACGTCGTCCGGGGACAGCGTGGCGATGGCCACGAGGCGGCCGGGCCTTCTGGTCTCCGGCAGGAAGTGGAACTGCCGGAGCGTGAACGTGAACTGGCTGCCGAGCGTGTCACCGGCACCGGCACCGACCAGCGCCTGCTCCAGCACGAAGTAGCAGGGCTTGGAGCGCCAGTAGCGCGTCTGCGCCAGCTCCGTGAGCACGCCCTCCAGCAGCACCTGCGCGGCGTCGGCGGGCGGCGTGCGCACCTCCTGCGGCCGGCTCTTGCGCTGCAGGCTGAGCGAGCGCAGCAGCGCGCGCATGGGCGAGTCCACGTGCGTCTTGGTCTCCTCCTCCTCGCCGTACAGCGAGCGGCTCAGCGGCCGCGGCGCCGCGGGTGACCGGTCCTTGCGCCGGAACAGGCGCGACAGCAGCGTCTGCGAGCGCGCGCCGCCGCCGCTGCCCGGGCCCGCGGGCACGGGGGACGCCACGCGGCGCAGCAGCGACGACGGCGCCGAGAGCGGGGAGCGCGCGGGCGTCGTCATGCGTTGCGTCGTTGCGGGGTAGTCGGGAGCTGCTCGAGTGTGTGACCGACAGTAGGTGGGGGCAACTACTCAAGATTTCCTCCAAGAGGCGTGCGGCCTACTGGCCCCTTCTATATTTAGGCTCGGGCTCCTACAAAACAAGATTCGACCAATGAAAGCGCATCTGCTATGACACGATATCAGGACGTGTAGGTTGGGCTGAAGGTCTGAGACCGCTTCAACTTGCAGCGGCCGAGTCTCCGTCTACGGTACTACGGCTGGTTGCGACCAACTCGTCCTTCAGGCCGTGTCGTTCATCAGCTTGTTGAGCTGCTTACAGGCGAGGGATAAACTGATGAAACATCTCCAAACTACCAGTAAAACCATCCTCGCAGCATTTTACTTAACCAATCGCTTCCCGGGCACTGCTACAGCGCTCATGCTAGCGCTCGCATTTGGCGCGTTTGCGACCCTGGGACTGCTCTAGCTTTTTTTCACGCGGACGCTTGATAGTGTCTCCACCCTTATTGTGACAGTGGCTGGTGCCCTTACTACCGTCATCGACCGCGTTCACACCAAAATTCTTGCTGCTGCAGCCTGGCGCGCACGCAAGTGCTTTACGTGCGCTCTTCAACAGCTTGGCGCTATTCGCCGTGACCGATAACTTTGCATACGAACTAACGCTCTGTTTCTCATCGTCACCGCGATCGTCCACCACAAGCCCCAGCGGGTCATACTGAGACTTCACCATGTTTGCCAGCATCGAACGCTCAGGAACGAGAATACGGCGCTGTTCAGTGAACGGAGGCAGATCGTGAAAACAGGCTCCTTCTCCTTCCCCTCCTGTGTCTCCTCCGATATAATCGTGACGCCGGGGTTGGTCTCGTTCTTCGCCAGGCTCTCTGCTCTCATCTCAGAGGCACCAACCGTGTTGCCTCCCACCGCTTCCATGCCGTCTTCCTTCGCTGTCGCCTCACCCCGCTGGTGTGGCGATTTTTGCAAACTATCTTTCATTGTCGTGGTGTAAATGCAGTTACCGTCGGCCTCTTGACCGCGCGCAGTCATATAGATACGAATGGTATCATGGACACCCGTGAAGCTCAGCTGGTTCTCGTCCACCGGATCCCCGCTCAATTCATCGGTATTCCTCCGTTGACGAGCTTAAATTGCCGAGGTTCTTCTTTCAAACCCAAACGAAGGCCATCGTTTCTTCGTCGCCGTCTCGCAAAGTCTTTCGTGGGTTGGGAAACTATTCCCCACTTGAATCAACATCATCAACACCTCATGCCCCTCCTGCTCACCCCTCGTAGTCTCCCCACCGACTGGCCTGCTGTTGGATCTCTTCTTAAACATCGGGATCAACAAATCGGCTCCACTTTGGTTACGTGGGAAAATACCTGCGGCCCGACGCCCCAGCAAAAACCACAGCGTGTCTTCATTCGGCTCGAGATGCAACTGCACAAAGTGGGTGAACCCCACGTACCAGCCTTCCCACTTCGAGCGCCGCACTTTGAATTCTGGTCCCTTCGTGATTTCACTGTCCATCTTCTTACGATATATCGGTCTCTCCTTGTTGCCTTGCAGCACGTCTAAGAACTGCTGCACCGGTACAAATTGCCCGATCGTGTGGTAGCACTGGGAAAAATCTTTGTCCCCCATCACACACTTGTCCATCGCCAGAAGCAGCAAAATGCGAGCAACCATCTCGCCAACTTCGCCAGATCCAGCGCTTCGTCCAAAACCAAATTCTTGAGCTGCGGCAGGATATACTTTGCCAGACCATGTTTCAGTTCATACCACACTTTCATCGCTCCTAAGGCAAGCACCGGGTCCGAAGCGTAGCTGCTCACTAAACCCTCTCGCTTGAAGTTCACATACGCGAGAATCGCCATGAAGTCGGCAGTCGCCCGAGATGCCAGAGCCGACGTTGAATGCGGGCGCA